TGTAGCATGAGCCTGAAGGTCAAGATGCTCATTGAGCGCTGCGAGGCGGCCATTGGTGAAGCGGTGGATCTTTCGACGGCCATTGGCTCCTACACTGCGTTGCCCCACATGGATTGGATCAAGGCATTGGTTCAGCAGACGACCCTGGTGAAGGCATTGGGAGCTGGACGATACGACGAGACATTGTCCAACCTGTGGGCAATTGTCTGCTTGCCTTTGAGTCTGGTTCGGACATTGGTGGGCATGGATACCGATGATGCTGAGGGAGACATTGAGCTGGACTGGATTGTCTCCCATGCCGCCAGCTGAACATCGCCTTCTCAATTGAAGGAGCCGTGGCGAAGCTCGCTCATTGGGTCAGGCAGACCCACTTGGAGGCCCATTGGCAGGAGGCTGCGGCATTGGTCTTCTTCCGGCCAACAAAGGCCTTCATGGCCCCAATTGCCAAGAACCCCAGCTTCACCGGGGGGTTGAGCAATTGGCATAACCAGTCGTATGTGCCTGCCACGACGCTCATGGTGGCGACCGACTTCGCATTGTCGCCATTGCAGCGGGACCTGGCTTTTGTGGTGGAATTGGGATGCACGGTATTGGACCTTGCATGGGCAATCCACCAGGATGCCATTGCGAACCCGATTGGCTTCCAAATGGGCTTCACGCGCTCCGTTGCCTACCCGAAGGCATTGAGGGATGTTTTCTCGATGTGCGGCATTGATGATGACATGAACGAGGTGGAGATTGGCGGCACAGCCAGTCGCCCATTGGAGCATCGTGGTTCGGTGCCCGAAGCGGTGCCATCCATTGGCACGACCATTGTGGTCCCGAATGGCAGCCATGTCACGATTGGCTAGGTGCATTGCCTGAGTGCAACAGTTTTGATGAGCTGCTGATTGGCTTTCGACGTCGTTTGCTGTGTTCTGGATCTCAGAATTGCCTCGAGCAATATATTGACTGGAATTGGCGGAATCGATGGTTGATCGTTCTCAGCTGCGGTGCATTGCCACACGTCACTGCGTGATGTTGCTTCCACGTGGCATTGTACAGTCTTTTGAGCCGGATTCTTGCAGATTTACATTGCAGTTCCGAAGTGCAAAAGAGATTTGAGCCTGAGCAGTTGAGTCGTGTCCTATTGTTGCTTCTTGAATGAATTTTGAAGCTGATATATATGTTGGATGGAGTTTGAATTGTTTTGAGAATCTGACCTGATGCGAATTTGCAATGAATTGCGAATTCGAGGGACCGTGTTAGGATGATTGGTCAGATCACCTTTGTATCCACACAGAGATGCATTGGTCACCAGAGGATTGCTGGATCAACTTTGGCTCAAGTCGGAAAACATTGAGCTCGAGTGATTGCATCACACAGCAGAGTTTGTGCTTGTTGATTGTGCTTGATTGAACTGAGCAGTTCTGAGATCACCTGATTGAGTAGACGATTTCGCTTTTGTAAAATTTCATTAAAGGGGGGCTTAAAGGGGGGCTTAAAGGGGGGCTTGAAGGGGGGCTTCAAGGGGGCTTTAAGGGGGGGGCTTAAGGGGGGGGCTTAAGGGGGGCTTAAAGGGGGGGGGGCTTAAGGGGGGGCTTAAGGGGGGGCTTAAGGGGGGGCTTAAGGGCTTTGACCCTTTCCCCCCCCCCCCCGAAGGGACCCCCTTTGCAGGGACCCCTTTGAAGGGGGGCTTAAGGGGGGCTTAAAGGGGGGCTTAAAGGGGGGCTTAAGCCCCCCTTTGCCCAAAGGGGGGGGGCCCATCCTCGGGGTTGGGGGGGGCGCAGCCCCCCCCCCCACCCTCCACAAAAGGCCCAGCGAGTATTCGGCCGGCCTCTTAAACTGCTGCCTAAATCCTCCACAGAAGGCCCAGCAAGTATTACGCCTTTTGAACTGTTGCCCAAACCCTCCACAAAAGGCCCAGCAAGTATCAGGCCTTTTGCTGCTGCCTAAACCCTCCGCAGAAGGCCCAGCAAGTATTACGCCTTTGAAACTGCTGCCCAAACCCTCCAAAAAAGGCCCAGCAAGTATTAGGCCTCTTAAACTGCTGCCTAAACCCTCCGCAGAAGGCCCAGCAAGTATTACGCCTCTTCAATTGCTGCCCAAAGACCCAGCAAGTATTAGGCCTCTTACACTGCTGCCTAAACTTTCCACAGATGGGGGGCTTGGCTGCGGCTTCAGGGGGGAGCTTTAGGGGGGGCTTGAAGGGGGCTTAAAAAGAGGGGCTTAAAGGGGGGGCTTTCCTTAAAGCTCTTGGGGGGCTTTAAAGGGGGGCTTAAAGGGGGTTTAAAGGGGGGCTTAAAGGGGGGCTTAAAGGGGGGCTTAAAGGGGGTTTAAAGGGGGGCTTCAAGGGGGGCTTCAAGGGGGGCTTAAAGGGGGGCTTAAAGGGGGGGCTTCAAGGGGGCTTTAAGGGGGGGCTTAAGGGGGGGGCTTAAGGGGGGCTTAAAGGGGGGGCTTAAGGGGGGGCTTAAGGGGGGGCTTAAGGGGGTGCTTAAGGGGGGGCTTAAGGGGGGCTTAAGGGGGGGCTTAAGGGCTTTGACCCTTTGCCCCCCCCCCCCCCCCCCCCCCCCCCCCCGAAGGGACCCCCTTTGCAGGGACCCCTTTCAGCCCCCCCCAACCCCCTCCACAAAAGGCCCAGCGAGTATTCGGCCGGCCTCTTAAACTGCTGCCTAAATCCTCCACAGAAGGCCCAGCAAGTATTACGCCTTTTGAACTGCTGCCCAAACCCTCCACAAAAGGCCCAGCAAGTATCAGGCCTTTTGCTGCTGCCTAAACCCTCCGCAGAAGGCCCAGCAAGTATTACGCCTTTGAAACTGCTGCCCAAACCCTCCAAAAAAGGCCCAGCAAGTATTAGGCCTCTTAAACTGCTGCCTAAACCCTCCGCAGAAGGCCCAGCAAGTAATTACGCCTCTTCATTGCTGCCCCAAGGCCCCAGCAAGTTATTAGGCCTCTTACCTGCTTCCTAACTTTCCACAGATGGGGGCTTGCTGCGGCTTCAGGGGGGCTTTAGGGGGGCTTGAAAAGGGGGGCGTAAAAATGGCTTAAGGGGGGGCTTTTCCTAAGCTCTTAGTGGTCTTAAGGGGGCTTAAAAGGGGGGCTTAAAGGGGGTTTAAATGGGGGCTTAAAAGGGGGGCTTAAAGGAGGTGGGTGGCTTAAAGGGGTTTACGGGGGGCTATCAAAAGGGGGCTTCAAAGGGGCTTAAAGGGGGGCTTAAAGGGGGGCTTAAAGGGGAGCTTAAAGGGGGGGTTGAAGGGGGCTTTAAGGGGGGGCTTAAGGGGGGGGCTTAAGGGGGGGGCTTAAAGGGGGGGCTTAAGGGGGGGCTTAAGGGGGGGCTTAAGGGGGGGCTTAAGGGGGGGCTTAAGGGGGGCTTAAGGGGGGGCTTAAGGGCTTTCACCCTTTCCCCCCCCCCCCCGAAGGGACCCCCTTTGCAGGGACCCCTTTGAAGGGGGGCTTAAGGGGGGCTTAAAGGGGGGCTTAAAGGGGGGCTTAAGCCCCCCTTTGCCCAAAGGGGGGGGGCCCATCCTCAATTTAGAATACATTCCCTTCTTTCTTTTCAGAAAGGGAAATAAATGTTTACAGAAAAAAACAAACATAAACACAAGATTCGAAGGGGGTGGAATTTAGAATACACCCTTCTTTCGCTTTGTAAACGGAAATGTATGTAAACAAGATCAAGAGGTGGAATTTAGAATAAATCCCTTCTCTCTTATCTTCAAGATAAAGTAATGTTAGAGTTGCCCTTAAGCCTCTCTTTTTTCATCCCTTTTAAGCCTCCGCCCCGTTCAGCCTTCCCTTCTTCACCTGAGCACTCTTTAAAAGCCCCTGCCGCTTCTGTAAAACAGCAGTACGCTTCTTAAATGGCTGCTTAAAGGCCCAGCAAGTGCCGTTGTTAAACTTGTTTTGAATAAGCAGGTTCTTTTTTGTGTTTGTTTGTCTTGTTTGGATTTCTTGTAAACGGTTTTGTTTTGTTGTAATTCTAACAGTTGAAACAACTTGTTTTTTGTTTCTTGTAAAGCAGTTAAGGAATGTGAAAAAAGTTTAGTTTTCAAATCACTTGGTTTTTATTGTAACTCTAAAGGTGTATTGTTTGAAGCGGCTGATTTGTAGACTTAAACATTCTCTGAGATTGTAGCAAGTGGAGCGGCTGTCAAGGTGGCACACCTTCTAACAGGTGTAGCATTTAAAGTGGCAGATTAGCCGCTTCAAATGCCGCGCCTGCTCTTTCTTAAGCTCCCACCTTTGCAGGGACCCCTTTGAAGGGGGGCTTAAGGGGGGCTTAAAGGGGGGCCCCCCTTTGCCCAAAGGGGGGGGGCCCATTCTCCTCAGCTTACTCAGCTCTGGTGGATTGAAAACTCCCCGCTTAAGCAGCTTAAGCAGTTTTTTGTGGCTAGGGAAATCTCAGCTTCCTCAGTTTTTTGCGGTATGGGACATCTCTGCTGACTCAACTTTCAATGTCTTGGAAATCTCAGCTTACTCAGCTTTTTGCGGCTTGAAAAAATCTTAGCCGAATCAGCTTTTTATGGCCTGGAAATCTCAGCTTACCGCTTTTTGCGGCTTGGAAATTCTCAGCTTGCGCAGGCTTTTGTTGCCTTGGAAGCTTTTTGTGGTGGCTTGGAAACCCTCAGCTTAAGCAGTTTTTGTGGCTGGAAAATCTCAGCTTCCTCAGCTTTTTGCGGCGTGGGAAATCTCAGCTTACTCAACTTTCGATGTCTTGCAAATCTCAGCTGACTCAGCTTTTTGCGGCTTGAAAAATCTCAGCCTACTCAACTGTTTTATGGCCTGGAAATCTCAGCTTACTCGCTTTTTGTGGCTTGGAAATTCTCAGCTTGCGCGGTCTTTTGTTGCTTTGGAAAAGCTCAGCTTACTCAGCTTCTTGTGGCTTTGAAATCTCCGCTTAGTCAGCTTTTTGGCTCGGAAAACCTAGTTTGCTGCCGGTGTTGGACATGCTACCCTTTACAAGAACCTGCAGATATTTTGCTAATACCTTACAACGCAGTGGCTCATTTGCAACTGGTCCGATGGAAAAATACAGACAGTTCGCCGATGGAGGCCTTTCGGTGCCATGTGTACAGGTGCTGTGAAGTTTTTGGGGCAGTTGCCGCAAGTCACGCTTGTCCAACCCCAATTTGCAGGCACGGGCGTCAATCCGTTTGTGCCAGTTTGGTCGCATCACAAGGTGCAATGTGGTCAACGTTGCATTGTCCTAGCCATGTTGCTGGTTGTTGACACAGGCGGGCTTGGCCTTGCAATGTGCCAAGCTGGTTTTGGCCCAAGTTCCGCAAAATGCATGTGATTCATAAGCTTGCTGACTTGACGAATGAGGTTTTGCTGCCGCTCGCGTTGTTGCGGCTATGCATGGTCGCGACAGCATTGTTGTGGTCACAAGCTTGGACATCAAGAGACAAAATCAACAACACAAACCGCCCCGTCGTTGAATGCTGCCACGAAAACAGGTTGGTTCTTGCAGAACTACTTTGTTGGCCACTCGGCATTGTTCCCATTGTGAGGCGAGCCTTGCCATTGCAACAGTGGCATCAAACAGTGTTGCTGGTTTTGACCTTGTTCGTGTCAAGATAGCCCATGTAGAAAAAATTGCCATTGCACCGCATCAGATTGTGCGCATGGTTGCCCAAAATACACGCTGCCTTGTGCAGGCGTCCACTTCATTGGCTTCTGTCGTATGCTGGGTGTAGTCTGGCGCTTCTCGGTCTGGGTGAGAAACCCAGGGCCAAGATGAGTTTGTGCATTGCTAGAATACTTCCTGGTTCGCATGTATTTATATCGATGAATTTCCAAATCTTTGTTGTTGTTTGCTCTGGCGCACTGCTGTTAAGGTTTCTGGTTCACGGCAGGAGGCTTGACCATTGAGTTGTGCCCTGGACGAGTTCTCAAAGCATGCTGGCCTTGCCAGGTCATGTCTTGGCAGATCACCGGCGGCTGAAGCTTGCGCCACCAAAGGCACTTTTGCGACAATCAGTAGACGCTTTCGTGTTGGGGAAGGTCGGCTCACATAAATCTCGCCGGCACTTGCTGCCAAAGGTAATGGTGCTGCATCTTTTTTTTGGCACGTTTTGTGGAGCCAGCCAACAGGTCTGTTAAGTTGGCATGAGGAAGTCTGCAGTGCTTGTTTGTGGCGCTTGGCATCATGGTGAGGTGAGCCGTTCCTCGTGCTACGATGCACGTCGAGGGTGTTTGGTGCTTTCCAACATGCCTGGAGCCTGTGCACATGGTGTGTAAACGGTGAAAGCAAGTTGCAGCATGTCTGTAGCTGGTGTGGTGCCGTCAAGGCAGGGATTGACGGATGTCCTGTACCTGGGCATGAGGTTCGTCGCAGAGTTCCGGGCCCACTGCTGTTGCTTTGCATGGAAGCGGGGCTGCAGGCTATGTCCGGTGTTTGTCTTCCCGGCAGTCGATGGATCGTCCCTGCCTTCTTGTGGACTGCATTGAAGCCGTGGGGAAAGTTGGTGGAATGATCCATGGCCAATGATCGTGGTCTCAAGGGTGTCTTTGGTGTCTTGAGGCCTGTGCCCTACTACTCGATTCTAGGGGCGCTTCGACGCGTGGGTCTTATATTTGAGCTTCAGAGGGGAGAGGGATGTCACCCGCATCACATACCAGGAGCTGGTGCTCGGCGAGCTTCCGCGGCTCCTGAGAAGCCGTGCTTTTCTCAGTCTTTGCAAAGCTCGGCTCAAGCAAATTTTGAAGCACAACTTAGCAGACCAGCATACGGCCAGCACGCTGCATTGCACAGTGCCTACACATGCTCGTAACAGTGTGAGTTCAGGCACTCCTTGCTGGACATCGCCGAAGCAGCTAGAGCAGGCCGCCCGAACGGTGTTTTGTGGCGTGCTCTGCAGCATCACCATAACTGAGGTTGGCGAGGGCCAGTTGTGGTGTTCCCGGAGGCTCCTGAGTTCCATGCCATCTGCCATGACATTTCACCTTGCGATTTGCCCTTTGCAGAGTTTGCGCTGCTCAGGGTGCACGGACTAATGGCGCGGCAGTACTTGCACGGAGCCCAAGCCACCTGTGCAACACACCCCAACGCACCCATGGAAACTTGAGCAAGCACATTGCAGGCTTGGAAGAAGCGCACCTTTGAAGGTTTGGAGAGCTTTGAGAAGCTGGGTCCCTTGCATTCCATGCAGGCTTGAAAATCGTCAATTGTCACACCATCTTCGCCTTGAGCGGACTCACCACCGTCCCGAGCACATCTGAGACCGGTGGGCACTGCGCTGGTGGCCCTCGAATACAACAAAGGAGGGGCCTACACTCCTCACCATACCGTCGGAACAATGTTTCAGCCAGTGCCCGAGAAAGGGTGCTCAGCATGTGAGCAAGCTTGAGGTGTTTCTTGTGTTTCTTCATCGCCCATCAATTCCACGGCTGTTCACACCTGCTCAGGCATATCCTGTACCTGTGCATCCAGCCGTTGCACTCGGTCCAGACCCATGTGAGCACGTGGTGATCGCAAGAGTGTATTCCTGTGGAGTTCCAGTGTGAAGCCGCCTAAGGTCAAGAGTACCTGGCTCCCGTCCAGTGATGTGGCAGGGCATGCAGCATGATGTGCATTGTGCATCCTTGTGCTGCGGTGCGCGCGCACCAGTTTTTGAGGCAACTGCCGTGAAGGGCAAGGCAACCATGGACTCAATGACTTTGCTGAGGTCAGCGTGGAGCACAGATGAAGCGCTGCAAACTGTATCCGATTCCACTGATGCAATGCGGTGACAAGCTTGTTTGCAGTCAGAAGGTTAGTGTGGTACTTTGTGGCACTCAGGTGCTTGCAAGGATGGTTGCAGGAGTCGGTCCACTCAGTCTCCCATAGTTCCTCGATGCTTCCTGCTTCTTCTTGCTTTGCGGGTCCAAGAGGCTGTTGAAGTGGACGTGTACTCTGAGAAGCATCAAGAGTTCATGGCGTGCGGACCTCTGCTCGCAGCCCTCCGTCACGTGAAATGTCCCACAGAATCATCTCAGGTTCTGGGAAGCTTCGCAGAAAAAGGGTTACACCAAAGCGGTGAAGAAGCGGCCGCCTCAAGAATACCTGCCTGTGATTGACTGAAGCGGTGTGGGGGATGAGGTCATGAGGGCCGAGCTTGTCAGCTACATCTTCTTCATCAAAGAAAGATGTCTGACAGTGCAGAAGTGTTGCTTGTTGAGTCTGTGTGTGTGTGTGTGTCTGAGAGTTGTCCATATTTTCATGTTGAGACGTGCTGGGCTGTACAGCAGTGCAGCTGTCCACCACCCAAAGGCAGAATCGTTTTTTCTTGCACACGGCAGAACCCAAACTGTCGCAGCAACGAGAAGTGGTGTCAAAAGAAGATGAGAAGTATGCAAGGGACACTTGGGCATTGCCAGTCGTGCCATCGTGAATGGAGCTTGCCCGCTTGCGAACGGCACTTGGCGAAGGCTCTTCCATCACAGTGCAATACAGTCATTTGGCTCACTGCTGCTGGCACATGCTGGCATAGGCAGGACGCTTGAGTTGGAAATCGACAAGCTGAGGGCGCTCCTGGGCGCCATCGAGGCAAGGCACGCAATGTACGTCTGTAGCTGGCCAAGAGCCACCCCAACATGCGATGAGGCTGATGTTCGTATCTTGCGGCAAGTCAAGCAGGAGAAGGTTCCTGCCGAGAGAATGGGTGAAACAGTACTAGACAGCTTGCAAAACCTGAAGACGAGACAGGGCGAGCTTCGTGACTGCACAGACGGTGAATTTATCCTCCGTGTGCTGGCTGCAAGAGGGCAGGACAAGGAGTGAAGGTCTTGTTCCGGCTGCAGCCTGTACATGCCCTGACACTCGCAGGCAGTCCGGAGCAGTGAGCTCAGTTTGAGGAATTGCACAAGATCAGATTCGACACTGACATGTAATGCAGACAAGCAGACGCGACACTGACACGCCATACAGCTTTTGTCTTGTCCAGCCGCTAGCTTTTTCTAATTTGAGGGCTTCGTAGCTTGGGTTTGCGACACGTGGGATGTGCTTGCCGCAAAGAGGGTTTTGTCCCGTCTGCATCCCTTGCATGCTTTATCCATGCCTTATCAGCCTTATCAGTGGCGTACCCATGCCTTTCCAGCACCAGGCTGCTCGCCTAGGTCCGTTGTTCTGCTGCCTGGTCTCGTGTCACTTGCTTCAGGTTCTGTTGCGTGCTGAGATGTCGAAGGTTTTATTCTTTCACGACTCGGGCGTGGCGTGGACTTCCCAGCATTGGGAATCCATGTCAACATATGAATGTGAAGCTGGGATGTAACAGGAATGTGGTGTCAGTCATGAATTTGCGGCACCTGCCTGCTCTTTGTGTCTGCTTGCTCTCCGCTTAGCTTAGACTCCATTCCCCTGTTTGCTTCACCGGCCACAGACACACGTCTTTCGATTGCACACACGTGTAATTCCAATTCTGAGGAAGATCACAACTATAGGATCCCCTCTTGCCCACTCTAAGAGTCAGATGACTCCAGAGGAAACAAAAGGTCTCGTCGCATCTCGTCACCAGGCGCCGGAAACGGATGCTGACGCAAGCGGTGCAATCTCATGCCCTCATCCCAGAGGCAGAGGCACCAAAGGCACCAAGAGAGAACAGCGAAGTTTTGCAGTTCCAAGATGCAGCGCGCGTTCTTTGAAGGTTAGATTTCTCTTGACAGTGTCAGGCCGCGCCTCCGCCGTTTCACGGGAAGGAGCCGGCGGCTGTCGGTCCACATCCATCGGTGCCTCAAGGCCCGTCGCCTCGAAAACGCTCTGCCGTTGCTGGTCTTTTTGCTGTCAATGTGTGGCCGAGCGGGGATGACTCCATAAGCGACAGGTCTTCGATCTGTGAGGAGTGCAGTGGAGCTTCGTCAGCCACTTTTAGTGCCAGGCCGGATCAATGCAATCCCGAAACCTTGAAGGTTTTCAGCAACAAGCCTTCAGCCCTGAGAGGCGAGGTTGGCTAGGGAAGAGAGCACGATGTCTTAAGTCCTAGAAAGACATGAACAGGGCCAGCCCTAAACGCCCTTGGGATAAGCTATCTCCTTCTCCAGCTCATGTCTTGGGAATGCTTGCGACATCTGCTTCCGGGGCCTGGGGATTGAGATGAGGCTGTCTCTCTACGGATCAGGGTTAGAAATGAAGTTGTATTCCTTCAGAGCTCGGGGTTTAGGGCCCAAACTTGCCAATATTTGGGGTGCTACTGGTAGGGGGCGAAATGGGCAACGCCTCGGGTAGGGGCGATTGTAAGGTAAGTGCAGAAACAGCGGAAAACGGATGCCAGAAAAAACAAGTAGAGCTCGGACTGGGCCTTACGTGACCGCAACCCTGTTTTGACAGTGCAGGTGCAGTCTTCCGGCGCATGGTTGCTCTTGTAGTCTTTTTGGCAATCGCCTCTGTGAGTTTGCACTTTCTTCTGCGTCCTGTAGGCACCTTAACAGTTTTTGCTGGCAGGTGTGGGAAGGAGGCCCCTCAGCCCAATCAGCGCAGGATCTTTGCCAACACCAGGCAAGGCGCATTCATTTAAGATAAGTGCCGCCTGTTGCATGACGTTCATTTGTTGCAACTTCGTTTGTAATTTGTGTGGGATGAAACGCCATTGAAAGGCCAAGGTTTTCAGCCCGTCTTGGCAAAGCAGCACAGCCACCTGTCAGGCAGGTGGCGTCAGAGTCCAGTATTTTCGCATCTTGAAGATAAGTTGTCTGAGAAGGACCCAGACATCACGCCACACCAACAAGTGTAGCAGTCAGCCCAGTGCAACGCCAGCCAGGCTGTGTATGCTTGTTGTGCTTGATGTTTGTCGTTTGGTTTGCACCGGTGGCCCAAGCCAGACAATATTCAGCTAATGTCATGCTGGCTGCCAGGCAACGGGCTACGTCTGGCATCGCCCCCGCTTCGTCCTGGGCCGCCAGGTCGTTTTGCAGTTGGGAGACCTCAAGGTGGCAAGAAGTTCTTGACTCATTGCAGGTGCGGCTTGGAAGGGCGGGGCGGTGATTCCTCCAGAAGACAGCACGCCTGCGCAACTGGCAGGCCCGTTACAAGTCTGGGGTCCGTACTGGCAAACGCTTCCACGACACGCCGGCAGCCCGCATGTTGGCGGTCCAAGCCATGCACCTCGGAGTTTGCAGTCCGCATGGTTGGGCAGATACGGAGAGCGACCGCGGGTCGAAGAAAGGTGCCGCTGCAGAGCCGTATAGGCTAGCTGCTGGACCCGCCGCACTTATGGCAAACGCTATAGGTTGAAGTTTGCTTTCTGATTGGCACCAAGGCCAAAGAGTGTCGCAAGAGCATGCAAGAGCAAGGGGAAGGAGGGCTGGGCTGTCGGGGCTTACTGCACCCCAAACAGGACGACGGATGTGTCTTGTCACTTGTCCAAACATGTCCAAACCAGTTTAGGGTCTTTTGCAATTGGGAGTTGGTGCTGAGGATCTAGATGATTTTCGTGGTAGCTGCTTTTCCGTTCAGAAGTGCTTTGCCGCGCAGCATCACGTTGCACTCATGCTGCACACCTTCTAGGGTTTAGGGTTATTTGATTTGAGCGAACACTGATTGGCGGGTTCGCAGTCTCAACGTAAAGATTGTGACGTCAACGAACGGTGGGTTTCGGTTGCCTCTCTTTGTCCACGGGGTCATGTCTCCGTCATCTCTTAATGCGTGGTCCACAGGTCGGGAACAACCGGCGTCTTCACATACGCTCCTGAGAACGTGCTCATCTTCGGCATCTTCAGGCCGCGGCTTTATAGGGATCCTTGATGGTATGCTTGTTCCCTTGAGTAGCGGTATTGGGCTCTCTGGGGCTCTTGTCCCTAAAGGTACCCTTGTACCAAGAGGGGGGTCGATGAGCCCAATCATGAAGATGCATGCTATCCTTGTTTTAAGGCTAATAAAAGGGTCACTCTAGGCAGTCTAGGCAGGAGCATGTCCTCGCTTTCGGCAGGTTTTAGCAATCCAGCTTCCGCGACCGCTGCCAAGATCCCAGCAGTGCCACAGCCAGGCCGGATGGCCGCAATGGGCTTTAACACAGGTGTGTTTTCTGGAGGAACTTTAACTTTTGCAAATTCAAACAATCGCGAGACGTAAAAACAGACGTCGCAACAAACGCGGGGGCATCTTGTGCAGAAGCATGTTTCAACCCTGCGATTTGGAAGCACTCGGTATGCGAAAGTACTGTGATCGACCTCCCCTTCACTTGCCATTCTTCGGCCCTGGCCAACCGAGAATTCCTCAAGAACATTTGCTATCAAGTGCTTGTTGCAGCCATTTGCCTCTTCGCTTGTGGCCAACTGAGAATGCTGCAAGAAGTGGTACAACTCAATCGCACAAGGTTGGGCTAAACGTAGTGTCTGAACACTGAACCAATAACACACATATGGGAACCTCCGAAGCGGACGGCTCTCGTGAGTCGGCTTGCTTGGAGGTATGGGAGAAATGGGAGAACCTTCCAGCATGTTCAGGGTACCCGGCTTGCGGTTGCTCCAATCAGCAAAACAGATCGCGTGCAGTCATGCCGCAACAAGCATGCGGTTTTGTTGGGGGGGGGGGAGATCGGCTGCTGAATGTGACATGGCTTATCTTTTGGGGGGCTCAGTGGGCCGACTGGCTGCCCAACATGACAGTAGAAACGTCGACGTAGTGAGCTTAGTCGCCTCCAGGCTCAGATGCATGCCAAGGTGAGTGAAAGCGCTCTGCAGAAAATTTTAGTGATTTGGGGTCGGATCAGTTGCCAAAGCCTTGCGACAGGTTGGTCTCAGCTTGGACCTGATGCCAGCTCTGACTCGCCTCTCGTCACAACTCAAGTGATGCTCTTTGGTGCATTGTGTCTACAACGGTTCTGTCAGAGTCGGCTGTGGCGGCACAGGTGGACCTGCCAAAGAGGAGTCCCGAGGCAGCCTGACCGTCACTGCTGGTACTGCGGCCAGTGTGGCCCTCGGGGTGCTGACTTCCTTGGATGATTTTCTGCCTAGGCTCCAACAAGTATTCGAGACCCCAAGAAAGTTTGCAGAGAAGTAAAGATGACGTATGATGATGACATGATGGTTTGAGCATCGCGAAGGCTATGGCCTGATAACCAGTCTATGCAAGGACTTGGTCAGGGTCATGTCCTGTCAACGGAAGCTTCTTGAAACCTCAGCTTCGGTTACGTTTCGCTCCAGGACACCGGAGCAGGGAATCATCGGTCGTGCAGCCTGCGCATGCGCTGCAGGACACACCAGACACTGCAACACTTGTCACGACGACTGGCAGACTCTCATGGAACGGCATCAGCAGGCAACCGGGTCTTCGGATTTGCTCCAGCGACTCGAAGCTGCTGGAATCGGGTGTGCGCCTCATGTCCACAGGAAAATGTTTGCTTCGTACAGAGTTTTGGGAACTCTTTTGTGTGTTTCAGGCCTTGGCAAATCGCTGAGCTGAAGGCGAGCGCGGCCCTTACCTCGATTCGTGTTGTTGTGCAAATCCCAATGTTTGTTGCGCTGAGGTGAGGCGAGGCTGGCAGAAATAGCAGCTCAAGCACCTGGCAACAGATAACCGTGCGTTACACAACAACACACCCTTGTGGAGACTCGGCAGGCACAGGGCCATTTCCTGTTGTGCACGGCATGTGCGCTGTGCACACTGGCCATTGGGCCATCATATCCGAGGCACAAGAAGCTTGCCATCGTCCCGAGAACCTCCGCAAACCTTCTTTGAGGACCAAGAGCACTCGAAGACGTCTTGGGGGGGGAGGACGGGTAGTGGTAAAGTTTTGAGTGTAATTGGACGCCTGTATCTCAAAATAGCTTGCCATAGCTAGCACTTACATTTGCCTTAGGACACCTTGCACATCCTGAACGGACATGGCGAGATGCCGCGTCGCCAAGGCCTTCGAAACCTCCAATGTGTTTGTTTGGGGTTTGATGCTAGGCAACTGGGTTAGAATTCGTTCGGTGAAGATCGGGGAACGGAAGTTTTTGAATTGTTTTGACGCAGTCTTCTTCTCTACTTGTCATGTCGTGATTCTTGGCAAGACGTCGCTAGAGTCGGGTAGAGCTGTGGCTGCTAAACGAGCACCTTCCGCAGGAGAGACGGCCGAAGTAGATGATGGTCGTGTGTGCCAGCTGCTGCCTTAGAAGACTCCGAAAGTCTGGATCACCAATGCAGGCAGCTTGCAGGTTTGCAGACCCTTGGAAGGTGCAGTTGGCTTGGATCAGCTGATTAGTTAGAATCTGAGTAGAAGTGTTCCAGAGGTGTTTGACCAGAAACCCATGCCTCTGGAGATTTACGCGCAGTCTCTGTGGCAGAAGGCTGCCCAAATCAGAAAACAAGACCTTGAATCACACACCCATGGTTCAGAAAACAGCACGGGCAGAATCAGCAAACAGCGAGAGCGACTTAGCATGCATGGACAGCCATGCATTTACATCGGTCTCTCTCACTGGCGGGCCATCGCCGTAGCCTGGAGTGGGCGAGCAAGGACAGAAGAGCCCAACCCCAACCCAAGCTAAGCTAACCGAACCTAACCTACCCGAACGGAACCTACCCTAACCTAATCTGCAATTCAAGAGGCCAGGCACCTAGCCTAACCTAACCTAACTTAACTAACATGATAGAGTTTAAGGGTGTGCTTTTAGGGTTTAGGTTGAGGGATCTCCCCCAAGACACATTCATTGAAGATAGATTTTCTAAGTACCCCCCCCTATGATACGCGTCGATAGACCCCTACACAGACCCTATGGTAACAAATTTACAGCTTGCGCTCGAGCAGCAAGGTTTGCATTGGGTTTTTAGGGTTTAGGGTTTAGGGGTTTTCAGGCTTTAGGGTTTAGGGCTTTTGAGGGTGTAGATCTTGGGGGGTTCTTGGGTTGAGGGCTTAGGGGGTTTTAGGGTTTAGGTTTTTTTCGGTTTAGGTTTTGTTTTGGGGAGGGCTTGAGGCTTTAGGGGGTTTTTAGGATTGAGGGTTTAGGGTTGTCTAGATTTCAGGGTTTAGGGTTTTTGTAGGGTTTTTGGGGGGTTTAGAGTTTAGAGGTTTTTAGGGTTTAGGGTTTTTTGGTTTAGGACCTTAGGGTTTTTGAGGGGTTTGGGGTTTAGGGTTTAGGGGTTTTTAGCTCCCCCCTCCCATTTGCAAACACAACACTCGCATGATGGGTTCGAAAAAGAATAAAGCGTGGGGGTTGGGGGGGCACACCCCCCCCCCCCCATTTGCAAGCACAATGCTCGCATGATGGGTTTCAAAAAAACATGCCTATGCTTAGGGTTTTTTCGGGTTTTGGGCTTAGGGTTTTTACAGTCTGGATTTATTAGGGTTTAGGGCTTCGGGGGTTTTCAAGGCTTTAGAGTTTTCGGGTTTGATGTTGGGGGGTTTTCGGGTTTTGGGGTCTTTATGGGGGTTCCAGGGTGTAGGGCTTAGGGCGTTTAGGGTTTAGGGGTTTTAGGGTTTGGGGTTTAGGGTTGTTTAGGGTTTAGGTTTTAGGGGTTTTGAGGGTTTCGGGTTCGCGGTTTTAGGGTTGAGGGTTTTTTAAGGGTTTAGGGTTTGTTTTTAGGGTTTAGGTTTTTTGGGTTTAGGGCTGGGTTTAGGGTTTAGGGTCTTTTCGGGATTAGGTTTTATGGGCTTAGGCTTAGGGTTAGGCTACGGAGATGGCCCGCCAGGGAACTCTGCAGAAAGCACAGTGCAAAGATGCATTGCACCCACTGTTGGTGGCTTCTTTTTTTTTTCTGCTTCGTGCCCTGGTTGTTCTGATTTGCCCTGTCTTGTTTTCTGATGTGCCCTCATGTTTGCCAAGTGGTTGTTGGAGGATCCGGATCGTCGTCAAGCCATGCCCAAGTTCGCAGCCATGCACGACGCCATGACTGCTCTCACTGACATGCACAACAGCATTCAGCTTGCATATGTCAAGGTGATCAAGGATGGCAGAACACTCCTCAAGCTGCGCCCGCAGCAATCCGCCAGCGATGAATGGGCAGAGGCTTTCACCTGGATGCAGCAATCTTTGGTCTCGCTCAAGGCGGAATCCAAAGACGCGGCGCCGCCTGGCCCAATTGTTCGCAGCTTGACGCACCGTGACAAGCCTGCTGAAACCGCAGCGTGACTGAACACTGTGCCGATGTTCCCGTGCATTTTGGCATCTGCAGAAGCAGTGCCCATTTAAGGGACTCTCCCCTTAGGGCCAGTCCCCCTTCCAAACTTTGGGGTCGCAGGATTGGCAATTTTGCTTGCTGCTTGATTCCCGTGTGATTGAGTTCGCGCCAGCCCAGCTGACGTGCGCAGTCTCTGACTGTGGTGTACACTGCAGCGATGTTCCCCTCTTGTCCTACGACTGACGATCGGACCTCGCTAAGTGGATGCAATGCAATGTAAATGCCCTCATGTTTGCCGAGTTATGCTTGGCTGATTTGCCTGTCACCCCTCTGTGCCATTAGAGTGGTCAGTGTGACGAAAGTCCAACAGTCGCTTGGATCCTCTTCCTTTCCCTGCCTCGACCTCGAAAGCCAGGAAGCCACCCGGCCTTTTGCGGGCGTGCTGGGAGCATGGGCAGGGGCAATGCCCTTTCCTTGCTAAACGTCCCATGCCCAAACAAGCAGAGAGGAGTGTTTTTCTGCTTCGTTTCGGGGTTTGTTGGGAGCTTCGGCGGTTCTCGGATCTCTTTCTTTACCTGCCTCAAACTCTTATGCCCAAACTTGCGAATCTGTAGGTAGTGCCACTTCGGCGCCTTTCGGGGTTGGTTTACTGAGGTCCCTTCTAGGCAGGATGAAGAGGCATCACCCTTAAAAAGGTTCGATCTGCGAGTTTGGGCGAAGGAGGTTGAGGCAGAGAAAGGAATGGATCCGACCCCGGCCAAGCCTCAGAAAGGCCGTGAAGAAGCAACGCCCTGAAAACATTTTATTTGCAAATTCGGGCACTAGGATGTTAAGGCCGGGTAAGGAAAGGGCAGTGCCTCTGCCGAATTCCCAACCAGGAGGCCCCAGAGGCTTGGGAGGGCCTCCCAGCCCTCCGAGACGCGCGGCATCGAGACATTCTGGGTGTTGGCTCGTTGGGGTTTTGTCGCTTGGCCAGGCTCGGATATGTTTCTGTTTTCCTTGCCTCAACCTGCTCTACAACCAAGACTTTGGCAGTGGCCATTGCAATGCCTGGTCTGCACTTTTGAAGGCGGTCTAGACTCGAGGTTTGCCAAGGCTATATAGAGCCCATGCTCTTGTCACCGGCCTTGTGTGCAGCTGCCCACAAGGCCTATCAAGCCAAAGGATGTCTATTCTGAGCTAGTTTTCGCTAGTCTACTAGGGTTGAAACGGCACGACGTGCAACTTGCTCAGGTGCAAGATGCAGACTTCACTCGAGTCAAAAGAGGCCAGCACATATGCAGTCTCCTGGACTGCAAGTCAATCCTGCCACCTGTCCACTTTAATTTTCTGCTGGAATAGATGAGGTTGTTTCTTGTTTAAGGTGTGAGCTGCATTCTGAACGACACCAAGCCGATGCAAGCTGGCGATCATGGTGAGAGGCAAGGTTCTTGCTGGTTGCTTTTGGGAGCTTCGATGCCAGCCTTGCCACCCAATGTCATTCCTGTTGAATGTGATCAGGTGCATCGGGTAGTCTGCCTGGGCTATACACTTCGTGCTCGTGCTCCTTCAAAAAGCAAGGTGGATACCCAACGTGCGAAGCTTTGGCTTGTGCTCAATACATGTGTTGTCTGTTCTGTTCGCAGGTCTCGGAGTCCTCTTCGTGCCAAGTGCTGTGGAAGATGTCGCCAAGCTTTGAATGACTCCATGAGCTGGCGAAATTGCTATCATAGCTGAACACCTGCAAAGTCTAGTGTGAGATTCCGACTCAGCTGTGTGTTGGAAAATGCTTGAGCTTTGGAAGCACGGCTGCGACTAGAAGTTTGTTTGCAAAGGCGGAGCTAAGCTAAAGCATGTTCAGAATTCTGGGTGCTCGCAGGCCAATACGGCCCGAGTCAACATGTGTAGGGTGCTGCGGGGTCTGATGCGTGGTCCTTCAAGACATGCGTGCCGGGCACGTTTTTGCTGGGTTTGTGTATGTTTGTGTGGAGGGCACCAGGCAATTAACCAAATTGGGCCTCGGCAAGATTTCTTCGACGAAGGGTGGTGACAAGCACGTGGGGTCAGCGACTGGTGCTTTTGTGTGCAGATGTACGACAAGAACTTAGAGTGCCAGTTCAATGCATGCTCAATATCCCCATCTTTGTCTTCGCTGCTCGACCCAGGGTCGCTGAGATTTCGAATTTTGAAGACCTTGCGACTTGCCATCGCCTATGTGGCACCTCTGGTGTGAACTCTGGGCGATGTTTCAGGTCAATCCATACCGGGACGCCGATCACACACGTACACGCGCACCTTCCAGATCGTCCACAGATGTACACAACACGGCATTGGGCAGCCCCTGTCCCCTGCTGATCTTTGCAAGACCACGGCTGCAACAGAGAATAACAGAGTGATGTGCAATATGATGTGCATCTCGTGTCGTGTGCTTTTGTGCCAGGTCAGATGACGACGCCTGTCAAGGTGGCTCCCGGGCCCATTCGGAGCCATCCCCTCATAGTTCCTCACGGTTCAACTTCAAGACAGCGGCAGCACAAGTGCAAGCCCATTTCCCCATGTCCCCACACATCTCAGATGTAGCCTTGTGGCTTTTCAAGGCCTAGACCACCAATTGGTGCCGCGCGTCCTTCGCGTGTCGGGTGCGGATCCTGGAAAGGCAGATAGGAAAGGCAAATAGGAAAGGCACCTGGACATTTGTCAATTTGAGGAATGCTCGATCACGACATCTCAGAGCTCGAAAGCCTGCAGCTGAACGGTTTTAACGTTTAGACTGTTTAGATGTGACAGTCCATGACCATCCCAGCACATCGAGGCCTTTGCGCACTGGGGATCAGCCCAGGCTGGCGCTAGTGCAACAGCCCAGTCATGTTCTGAGCCGGTGCGGTTTTCAGGCACGACCCAAAAGCGGACCCAAAGCGTGAGGATTCCGAGGAGCGCGCCTTGAGGCGCGGGGGCCATGAGCCGCAACGACTTGCCATTGACAAGACTCAGACCGATCAGGAGAATCTTTGCGCAGAAGCCCATGATAGAGGACCTTGGGACATTGGGACCATGGCTGTGTGGCATTGCGACTTCTGAAGCTCCAGGCTCGTTTGCTGGAAGAGGTGGCCAGATACACACGTGAGTGCGAAAAGCAAGCCGCTTCCGTGGCTTCCCCAGATCAAGGATTTCCCGCCCAGGCTTTGCTACTTGTAAGGGTGTAGCATCGCTTTTTGTGTCTTGCAGGTCACCGGGCCAGCCCCTAGTGGATATGCGATTGCTGATCCCACGCCGGCTGAGCAAGACATGGTGGGTGCAGGCTCAGTCTGCCCAGCTTGAAACAGAGCGGGTGAAACAAGGTTACCGTTTGTAAGACGCATACCTTGCCGATTACCAATAAGCTGGCAGTGGCACAGGCACAACCAACGTCATCGATGAGTTTCTGCTGGATTCCTCAGCCACTTCCTGCCATTCTGAGATTCTGGTGCTCGAGCCCTGTTAGCTGACTTACAGCGTTTAAGGTACAAGCTGGACAAGGAGGCCTGTGTCTTGAGCAAGTCGTCTTTTGAATGGAGAGTGAGCTGAGAGGGCGCTTCCTCCTGAGAGAATGCTTGTAACGCTGGTGTCGTGAAGCCGCAGTGCTGTGTGCTGTCGCCTAGGAGCCTGAACAACCCCAACAACCTCAACATGCACAGATCGAGGAGATGTCAAGGCCAAGCGCTCTAGCGCGTTTGCTGCGCTTTTGCTGCACTCGTGATTTTTGCTCGTGATTGGCATGTCGAGTTGCAATGGGTGCGTACTGAGCGTCGGGTGCCTTCCTTGCGCCAGGCCCGCCACCGCCCAGTCTGCAAGGAATCCTCAGGCTCCGGAGTGCTGTGAGTGTGGATGTGCCATGAAACTGCTCCTGAGAGGCACCGGCTCGCGTTGTTGGGGTCCGAGGTTCCGTCATGGCTGACGTGGGTGGTTAAAGTGTCGATTTGCTCCGTTTTTGTTTCGGACAGGTGCCGAGCGGCTTGCAGAGCAGGTGGAGGAGTTCCGAGCCAAGGCAGGGCGACCTGGCATTTTAAGGTTTAAGGACTGCGTGATGGATAACTAGCGGCTTTGAACCCGTCTTGGCAGAATGGGACGGAAGAAGAATGGGCGATTGGGTGTTTGGGCGCTTGAGTTCCGTAGTCTCCGGTGCAGCAGCGCAGCCCATGTTGCGAGAGAAGCCCCTGGCCTTGAGCCAAGATAAAGAAAGAGAAGCCAGTGGGGAACACCTGATTAGTCTGAGAACATAGTGGCACAGGCACGGCACACATCAGGATAAATCAGCTAGAAAGAAAGTTAGAAACGTAACTCAGTTGTTCAGCCTTGCAGATGGCCAATGTGCTTCGTGAGAACCGGAGGCTCAAGGACCGAAGTACAACTGACCCTAAGCCGCTCAGAGTGACCATCCTCGTCTCAGTTTTTCTTGCTCCATGCAAGGAGACCGTTGAGTTGAAGGATCAGAAGATCAGAAAGCTTTTGGATGACATAGCGCAAGTCTCATCTTCGGCTTGACTTGTCTTATGGAAGACAGCATGATGCAGCATGTGAGCGTTATGCGTCTCAGCGTGCGGGGGTCACGGATCATACGCCAAAAGTGCGAGCCCGCGGCTCGTCACAGAGGGGGACCCCATCAGTCACAGCAACAAAAACAAGCAAGGGGGGTCACGGATTCGGGTTTCAGGGTTTAGGTTTTTTTTGGGTTTAGTGCTGTTGCCGTTAGGTTTTTTAGGTTTTTTTCGGTTCAGGGGGTCTAGGGTGTTTAGGGTTTGTTTAGTTTTGTCAGGGTGGGTTTAGGGTTTTGAGGGTAAAGGATTTTTCGGGTTTAAGAGTTTTAGGGTTTAGGGTGTTTAGGGTTGAGGGTTTTTGGGGTTAAAGGGTTTTCAAGGGTTTCGGGTTTTCGGGGGCCTTTAGGGTTTGAAGGGTTTTATGGTTTAGGGTTCTTACAAGTAGGGTTTGGGGTTTGTAGGGTTTAGGGTTTTACTCAGCTTGTTGTGGCCTGGTGAATCTGAGCTTGCTCAGCCTGTTGTGCCTTGGTAGATCTCAGCTAGCTCAGATTGTTATGGCTGATTGACGGGTCTTTAAGGTTTTTGGGTTTTTGAGGGTTTAGGGTTTAGGGTTTGTTAGGGTTTAGGGGTTTTCGGGGTTTTTAGGGCTTTTGGGGCTTTTAGGGTTTTTAAGGTTTTTTAGTGTTTGTAGGGCTTCTAGGGTTTTTGGGGTGTCTAGGGTTTTCAGGTTCAGGGCTTTTAGGATTTAGGGTTTTTAGGGCTTGGGGGTTTAGGTTCTTTAGAGTTTGCAGGGTTTAGGGTTTTTAGGGTTTAAGGGTATTTAGGGTTTAGGGTTTTTAGGGTTGAGTGTTTTTAGGGCTTATTGAGGGTTTTTAGGGTTTAGGGCTTCCGAGTTTAGGGGTTTTCAGGCTTTGGGGTCTTTGGAGTTTAGGGTTTTTAGGGGTTAGGGTTTTTAGGGTTTATGGTTTTTCGTGTTTTGGGGTTTTTAGGGTTTAGGGTTTTTTAGGTCTGCCAGCGCAGCTGGCGCCAAAACAAATTCATCTCTTTTGTGTTTTTAAAGGCCTTATAGGGGTCGACCCCGAACCGAAGCTGCTTAAAGTGCACTTACGTGTTTGTGTTTGCGTGGTTCGACCGGGCCGCGCACGGAGTTGCAAGATGGATTTTCTTGATGTGAATTTGGATATAAATTTGAAAGTAGCTTCTTGGTTTGTGGTTTGGATCGGGTGGGCCCCCGACACATTATTGAATTTAGGGTGTGTGAAGGCCCAAACTGGTTTTAAAACACAAAGAATATTTGGAGATGGTTAAGGTCGCCAAACCAACGAGAATCCCTGTGTTTGGCAAAGCACAAAATGGTCAAAAACAAAAAAGCTTGCCATTTGGGGGCTTTCAAGGCTGCCACTAGCGAAAACACTTATGTTTTGGGCCCTAGTTGCGGCCGCCAACTGGTGAACAGAGTTTGTGTATGCCAAAGCTGATCAAAAATCTCAAAAATTGACAAGTTTCCAAGGCCACCAAGTGAGCGAAAATCCTTATATTTTGGCCCTACTTGAAAGTCTGTGAAGGTGAAGGCTCAAAAAGATGAAATCGCAAAACATAGCCTTTTATGGGGGTTTTCAAGACCCAAACCAACAACAATCCCTGATTGAGGGTTTGTGAAGCCAAAGATGGTCAAGAATCACTAACTTTGTCACTTGGGGTTTTTTTCTTTGCCAAACTAGCGAAACGTATTATGTGTTTACTAAAACTGAGGGTCTGTGAGGGCCCAAAATGGTCAAAACATCGGTGCAAGGAGGACAGGTGTATACTGGGGCAGTAGCCGTGTGGCGGTGCCCCACTCAGGTCCTTTGCGCATGGATCCATATTGGACACTCGGGCAGGGTCTCATTTATACAACCAAGATGTTGTGGACATTTCTGTGAGATTGACACGGGATCTGCCATGCCTCTTTGAAGGGGCCCGGTCAGATTGACATCGCGGTCCCTGCCGGGAAGACCAAGGGGCCCTAGTCCGAAATCTTCTGATGATGCTTTTTGCTGCTATTTCTGCCAAGCCCAAAATGCGCCGGCACACACGGGCGAAGCTCTTCAAATTTAAGGGTTTTTAGGTTTTGGGTTTTTAGGGTGTAGGGTGTTTAAGGTTTAGGGTTTTTCGGGTTTAGTGTTTTTAGTGTTTACGGTTTAAGGGCTTTAGGGTTTTGGGTTTTTAGGGCTTAAGGTTTTTTAGGGTTTAGGGTTTTTTAGGGTTTAGGGTTTTTTAGGGTTTAGGGTTTTTAGGGTTTTAGGGTTTTTAGTCCGGGGGGGGGCTTGGATGGTTTGGTCGGGGCTGCTGGTGGGACGGTATGGTCGATCGGGGGGGGGGGGGGGGGGCTGGGACGGGGCCGTGCACATCGGCCGTGAGTTTCCTGTTTCTCGCCTCAAAAAACAGGAAACTCAATACAGGAAGAGGCTGCTTAAGCCAGGCAGACATGCGGGTATGACACGGCATGGTCGGGGGGGTCGGGGGTGCTTGGGGTAGTATGTGGGATGGTGGAGGGGGCACAGTTCGGTCCGGTTTGTCCGGCGTGGTGTGGTGGGTGGGGGGTACGCTTGGAGGAGGGCCTGGAGGGGGAGGGGGGGTTGGGACGGCATGGTTGGGATGCGGTGCGCGGCGTGCCATTCCAGACCCCAAACGGCCTGCGATCCAGACCTTCTTTTGTCGCCATCCAGGGAGTTTTCTGTGACGATCCAGGCTTTTTTGACTGATCCGGGCCCATGTTCTCCGTATCCAGCAGTATGTGCGTGGCCAAGGAAAGGATTCGCAAGGTGCGCGGCTAGCACAGCAATTTTTTGCATTCGCTGTTTGCCGTGGCAACCCTGCGTGCGCATAGGACCCCAACGTTATGCACCCAAGCATACTGCGATTGCGCAAGTGGCCACCTCAGTAGAAAGCAGGTCTTGGACGACCGGGGAAGCAATAGCAAAGTGGTAGCAAGAAGAGGGCAAGATCATGGTTCTCACACTTGAGAGGCTGGGCCTCAACACGCCTGCGCTGGCAGACTTGGGTGACCGATGGGCAGGGTGCCGTCTGACATGTTCAGCTTTGGGCCTTTTGTTCTTGTTTTCTTGATCTCGTCAAAGAGGTGGCGAAGCTGTGTCTGCTGTGGAAGCACTACGAAGCAAGTGCGCCAGGTATGTCTTGGGACGGGCATCCATGGCCATGGAGGCTGGACTTGCCGGGGGCACGACGGAGAGACACGAGAGACACAAGAGAGATGGAGAGATAGAGAGATCGAGCAGCGAGCAATGGATCAAAGGCTGTGCTTGTTGAATGGGCAGGTCGGGAGCTTTTCCTTTCGAAACGTCTTTGCCGCACACGCGAGCAACGGCCATCACCTCGATCCCCAAAGCATCAGAACAGTTCAGAGTCTCTCATTGCTTTTGCAAGGTGTGCTGACCGAGGAGTCCTTTAAAACAGTATTGAGACAGCTGCTTGACTGAAAAAGCTTAGAGCTGCACGTCCTGTGCTGGCACAGCAGGGAGAGAGAGATTCTGGCTCAATTCCTTTGTTGCGTTGGAAGGCCCAAAGAAGGAAGCACCACCTTTCGCAATCATAGTTGTAGCTGAACTGTTTCATGGGGCAAGGTTTGAGCCGTCGATCAAGAGTGATCAGCTGACGCGACTCTGGTGCCTTGGATTGGTAAGCCCCAAGTTTCCCGAGTTCAAGTCCTCATCTTCACAAGGTACTTTGCCGATGAAGACGGCTCCGGCAGGATTGACCTTTTCGAATTTATGCGCATGGCAGGTCTCAGCCTCAGCTTTTTCCTCCTACTTGTAGCTACCACCTGTATCCTTTGCCTCCAGTATACGACGCCGATCGACTCTTGCTGGCCCGAGTCAATGAGTGAGCTGATCCGTGCAGACAGCAAAAAGCACCCCGCCAGGACAGCTACAAAGAAGCACTCCGTGCAGACAGCAACAATCCGCACACACACACACACACACAGCCAAGCACAAATCCGACAAACAGGACCCAGTTAGGGTCGGTAGGAGTTTTAGTTTAGTTCTTAATTATTTTGAACAAGCTGAGCGCAAACTTTGCGTGAAGTGTGAACAGCATCCTAATCCTGTTCAGTGAGTTTGCATGGGAACCTTCTAGACTCTCCTTCATTCCCCATCGAACGATTAGCAGCCGATTAAGTTCTCATGCAGAACTGAGGAATAACTGGCAATACGTGGACTTCTTATTGTTGGTCCACACCGCACGGCCATCGTGAGCGAGTTGGGCTCAACAAAAGTTGGGCTCAACAAAATAGGCTTGTACAGACAGCAGCAGAAGCAGCCCACACGGAAAGCAAGAAACCGTGGTCCACCCCACACCGTCCGAGTCAGTGAGTGAGCCGGTGAGCCCACCCGCGCAGACCCAAACAAAAGCCGCAACCCGGACAGGCAACAGCAAAACTTTCACCGCGCCAAACGGACAGCGCAGCCGACAGACAAAAGGAAGCCACACTCTTGCCTTCCTGACCAGGCTCTTCGTCTGCTTATTTGGCCTTTGAGCCACACTTGTGTGAGAGGCATGCAATGTGCAGAAATACCTTCGCTGTAGGTTGCAATTCCAACGGAGAGATGACAGATGAATACTACGAGGTGGTCGTCGCCTTTGACTCTTGCAAACATGCTGTTGCTTTCTTGATACATCCTGCGACCAAGGTAGCCATGCACCTCTACCGCAAGTTCCATGCCAAGGGCGGCGTCCGACGGGTTTATGCCACTGCCGACAAGAATTGGGACCGCAAGCTGCTCTGTGGGTCTGTGCGGTCTTGTTGCTGCCTTGTGGATTGACGAGCCGCCTAGTTATCCTGTGTTGTCAGGATCAGCACTTAAATCTGGCAGAATTCAGCAAGTTCATCAAGGTTCTGTTGAAGGAGCTTTTGCTTCAAGCTTTGTGACTGAGCGTGACGTGCAACTGCTCTGCATCCTGCCCCAAAAGTAGCAACAACTCATGGAGGATGTCCAGCTCACCAGGCGAGAAATAGCTCAGGCCACGGTATTGCGCGGAGTGAAACTGGTGGTGCAAGAACACAAAGCGACATAGTTTTCCGATGGCAGGTCTTCCAGAGGATGAACGTGTCCGGGTCAGGGATGCTGAGCGTGCTCGAGCTCGGCTGGCAGAGCTTGACGGAGCTTGTCAAGTTGCTTTTTTTAATAGACGGCCATGTCACATGCCAGGCTTGAATCTGCTTTGGAAGCAGTGCTTACCTTAGGAATCAGCCGTTTCAGCATTGGAACTTTGAACATCGAAGCATCACAAGCTTGGGAAAGAGGCCGGCGCCAAATGCCACGTCTCCGAAGCCTGGGTGAAAGACACCTTTCACCAGCTGGCGACGTCAATCCAGGAGCCTTCTGCGAATACTTCGGGCATTTCGCAGTCTCTGGTGCCGGCATGCTCAGGATGCGGGCTTGAACATCAAGTCGCTGTTCTCCACTGGGATCGTCGTAGAGAAGGACGGGCATAGCTGCCAGCCGAATGCTGGCAGTACAAGCGTTGCCAGCACAAGAACAGGAGTTCCGCGAGATCGCACTTCGATTCTTGACCCAGCTTCGACCTTCCCAACTGGACGGGTGTGTGACGGGGGGAAGAGTCTTTTTTGATGACGTTTGTGCAGTAAACAGCCTGCACGGCCTCAGCCTGCTCGCTACAGCTCTTTACAGTGCTGTACAGTGAAAAGGACCGGCTTTGGAAGTATCTGCAGACCGCGTGTGCAGATGATGCCATGCAAGTGAGGCAAGCCGCGGCAAGTGCAGACTCGTTTTTTTGAGTCGTCACGTTTCGTACTTCACGTTAACGGACTAGGTTTGGGGTGATGCCTTGAGAGGCACGCTGGTGGTGACAAAGATCGCTTGCCATCCGACAGTGTCCTCTCAGTCAACATCTCAGGAACGTATAGCCTTGGCGAGTGGCACTGCCATCGGCGATGCTTGCACCCGATACTCTATGAGATAAGCTGTGCCGAGTTCCAGGTTATTTTCGGTCCTACGCTCACAAGCAGTCCGAATGAGATTTCATCTGGTGCACCTCAAGGCAAGATGCAGCAGCAGAGCATTTTTTGATCTTTGCAGATCGCTGGAATTGCTCTCTTGTGGTGTCCTTTCTGAAATACTACTTTGCTTTGCTTGGGTTGAGACTGCCCGCTCTGGCAACCTCTAGGAGAGCCTGGAATATTTCCGCGGCATACAGCTACATCACAGCAAAATCGCACCGCCAGGAAATAGCAAGAACAACAGTCAAATCAGCGAGACCTCCCAGAAAAGTCACTGCAGACATCCGTCCTGAAGTGAAAAGTTAAAGGGGTGTGACCAGCGGCCTGCGCGAGCATGCGCGCCGATCCTGTACAACGAAGCCAAGGGCCTGTCTTGCCTGAGGCGCTTCTCCACCAACCACACCATCAAGACTTAAAACCGGCCGATATGTTTGTATTCCATCCTGCACTGCTCCAACTGCGCCACCGGGTTCCTTCTGTCAGAGTGTAAGTCGGAGAAAGCAGAGAGCGCCCGTACCTTCTCAAAGTTCCTGACCGACCTGACATGCACGATTGGAGAGTGAGCACACCATATCATCCGTATATGGGAGTGCGACTAGCTCACTATCAAAGGCCCAAGTGGAGGTGGCGTGAAGGTCGAGCGGGGCCTCAAGGTCTGGCTCCTCACCGGACAGGGACAGCCAAGCTGGATTTTTGCCACCTGGCCAGACGCGGTGGACGGAGCTCAAGGTGGAGCTGGTAAGGGCTTGTCTCGCTGTGCGCCAGATTGCGCCAGCGAAGATGCCACCGCTCAAAGTGGCGGTAGTTGTGGCGATAGTCTGCAAAGACGCAAGTGGCAATGGCCAGGAGTGGAAGAGGAAGGATCCCCCACCATTGCGAAGTTTGGCACCCTAGAGCTAGCAAGCACCTGGCAGTCTCAGCACTTGGGCTGTGAGCCTGCGTGTTCACGGCGTGTTTTCTTGCTCATCAAAGGCTTTCCAGAAAAGCATTGCGCATGCCAACCCGAATCGTGAACAAAACCCTAAAACACAAGTAGTTCGTGGCCTGCCTCAGTGCACCTTTTGCCTCGGTGCACTTTTGACGTTATTCTAGCATCATCTCATTCTCAAGATCGCAAAGGCCCAGCGAGGGCATGCAACTGGGTACAGCCCTGGCTCATATCTGTGCCCTATCATTCTCGTGCGTTGGCATCAGCGTGGACATGCTTGATGGGTCCCATGCAGGTCAAGAATGGGGGGCTTGCATGGGGTCCCAGTGATTCTCGGCTCCATCACGGCTCTCCCAAAAAGACGGCTCTCCAAATCAAGCAGTTTTAGCATCAGGAGAAAGTAGCAAGTTGCAAGAGTGGACTGCAGGCAAATAAACTTTGTGTGCTACCCTGATGGAGACTCCATTTCTACAAAAATAGAACACAATCTCCCTTCAAAACAAGAAGATGATGGGGTTGCAGTTTTGTTGCTGCGACTTCGCAGCCGGTAGTTGTTTCCGACTGCACCGCTCCGCTTTCATGGTGAACGCTGTGCTTGTTCAGGTTCAGGAAGTTCAGGTTCTTATTTCGGCCCCGCTGGAGGCCGAAGACTGCTTGGACTCTGCTTGGGCTGAGTTGTTGCTATGCTGCACATGTCATCTATGCTTTGTGCAGGTGTGGGTCGTGAGGCAGCACCTGGTTTGCTGTACGCTGTAGTTCTGCATCCGGCATTGCAACCGGCATTGCAGCCGCCACAAGGGAGAAGTGCAGGTGTTGGAACAGCTGGTGCAACATCTGGTGCGTCGAGCCGGTGATGTTGGGCGCCTCAGACAAACGTGAAACACTTGGCTTCACGTTGCCTATCTTTCATATTATACGTAATATTTCTGTTTCCCTATCTCTATGTCTATCGGCACATTCTCTTGCCCACATGTAAGCCGCACGCGTTACCAAGGGTTTGGAGACCGATCTCCGCAATCTTCTGCCAAATTGACCGACAGCAGTGTAATCGTGGTTTGGCATTGGCTCGAGGCTTCGCCAGACGTTTGCTTTGACTCGTTGAACCCGTTCATCACCTCAGAGCATTTCCACGATCTGCTCTCAACCAGGTGCCCCCCCAGATTCCAAGCATTGACAGGCTTGTGCATCTTGTCCTGCCAGGCTGGGGATCCACTACGATCCCGTGAAAGCCAAGCAGGTTTTCAAGCTGTGCGGCCGACGTGGCTTAGAGGGGTTCGAGCCGGATCTTCTGGTTCCTTTCTTGCGTAGTTTTGGCAACTTGCGTACAACATGTTCTTGCCGATGCCACATGATGCCAGGATCGATTCCGATCGTGACAGCAAGATTACGCGGTTGGAGTCTGACTCCCGGAGAATGTGTCCACACCTTTCAAGCATTTGGCTCCCTGGCTTCCTGTCGAACACGTGGCTCTTGTGTGGTGTGGCAGCTGTGTCGTGTCCACAAACAAGGCAGCCGACAACTCAGCCAAACTCATTCCCAACATGCATTCTTGCTGTGAAGTGTAGGAGGGCATGCGCAAGCTATCGTCAGCACCGAATGATCTTCATGAAGTCTTAGTTTACCATAGTTTACCTTGCTACGTCCAGTACCATGACCATGACGTGCCTCAAAGAGATACCCTTCCATCCGGTGAAGCCTTCAGGCAACACTTGTCGCAGCTGTGGTGCGTCTGGTGCTGCTTTCGTTTGCAGCCGTTGCCAAAATGCGCGCTTTTGCTCGTTAGAATGCCAGCGGAAGGCTTGGAAGGATCACCGCAGCCACTGTACAGAAAAGGGGCTAGATGAGTGGGTCACCATATTGCACACTGATGCTCTTCCGGGCAATGATGCAGGTACGGTGACTGACGGAGCCGACGTCGCAAAGAAAACGTGCAAAGCAAATTGCTTTGGAGGAATGGTCGCCTGGAATCGTGTGTTCTTTCTCCGGAAAGAACCTGTGGACGAGCTGATTTCCGCAGCACATCATGCACAGGGTACGCATCTTTGGCTTCCAGTATCTTCACTGCTTGCACTCAGCAAAACGACGCTGAAGCCCTTGCCAGTTGCTTTGCCTGAAGTGGTCGTGAGAGGGGCAAAGCAAGTGAAGAAATGCGCAGGTCTTTCAGTGGCAGAAATGGACGAGAACTTCCGGACCAGCACCCCAGTTGTTCTCACAGACGCACAGAAAGCATGGCCCGCACGACAGAAGTGGACCTTCGAGTGGCTGTCGGAGGTGTACGGAGACGAGGTCATGCCCTGCAGTGACCTAGCACCCTTCTTTCGCCACTGTGATCGTGGCAACATCCGCACAGTGCAGGCTCCTCTACGCGAGTTTGTGCGCTACGTCCAGGGCCGGCCCAGCGTCTTTGGACCGCTGCAAGCACCAGATCGGGTGTTTTATGCAAACGGCTGGGCGCCATTCCTCGATCATCAGGAACTGCTTTCGGACGTATCCGACCGCTTATACTGTGTGTCGGATACCATTCCTTCCGATGGCCCCACCAAGGTCTTCAATGCAAGCCTTACCAAGATCTTTATGGGCCCAGCTGGAACAGTATCACGTCTTCACCACGACACTTATGCGACACATGTTTGGCTGTCTCAGATACGCGGCAGGAAGCAGTTTATCTGCTATCCACCATCAGAGACCCATTTGTTGCACAGCCATCCGGTGGATGAAGCAGACGGTCGCACATCTTTGTTTGACCCGTCGAACCCAGACTATACACGCTTTCCCGAGGCAAGCCGGGCACAAGCATACAGCGTGGTGGTTGAAGAGGGTGAGACAGTCGTGCTACCAGCGCGCTGGTGGCATTGGGCAAAAAGCCTTACTCCTTCCATCACGCTTATGAGAAACTTTGTCAACGATTCGAATATTGAGGATCATGTTGAGGTTCGAAAGCGTGCCGAGAAGGTAAGGAGCAGATAGATCGTACACCAGGCAGTTTTGACAAGAAGGCGCATCACCAACCAGACCCACGTTCTGATGCTGGTTGCATGCAGCATAGAGCAGAAAGAAAGCGCAGACTGTTTTGGCCCGATCTTGCATGTTCGCCCTTGACCTGTGATACATTGTGATACTGTTCTTATCTGTTCTTGAGAGATCGAGGTTCCGGCTCATGTTCAAGGCTGTCACTCCAGATGCCCAAGCTTTGAACACGCGGTTGCCGGGTCCTGAATGCACGGCTCGCGTTCGTTCCTGCTTTTGTGCTGCCTTTCTTCCGTCCGTGTACCTTCCTGCGGTCTGGCACAAAGGGAGAGTATGGATGACGATTGGGAGAAAGACGCTGAGAAGCACCAGGCACCGGTGGGCTGTGATCTATTTTGCCCTGTTGAGACCCAGCTGAGAAGCTCAAGATCCAGAAGCATCTTGCCAGATCTCGCGAGACGTGATTCGAGACTAGATTCCTCAACTCATAGAATACGAAAGAAGAATACCGAGGAGAGTGCTGATTTCCAATCCGAAACAATTAAGCCAACTGAGCCATGTATGCAGCCAGCGCACTGGCTAAGCTTGGCTACGAGTTCAGGCCGGCTAGGTGCTTTAGTTGTTGGTGGAAAATGGCATGTCATGGCTTCCTGGCGAACACGTGTGAAGGCCCGGGCCGCTTGGCAAGAGCGACCTGGTTCTGAGACAGAAGGGTGAAGAGAAGGGTTTTGAGTGGAAGGACGTGTGTGTTTGTGTGTGCACATGGTGGCACTTCATGAAGCAGAATTTGAAGTTTCCTACCTCCCGGAAGGACCAGAAGAACTATGAGGAGGTTGCCGATGCTGTCGTGTCAGGGACCCAAGGGGCGACGGTGCTGATGACAGTGCTGAGAGTCGGTGCTGACAGCATGAAGCCATTGGCGTTGGTTAAAATCCTACGCCGAGGTCTTATGTGCAGCTGCAGCTGACAGCTCTGTGCGGCCTGGTCCCACTTCCGCTTCCCGCAGAAGCCAAGGAGGCCAACTCGGTGGTCTATGCCAGCAGCCATCTCAAGGAGCACACTGGTCCACTGCTGCTCCTGGTCTGTGGCTCTGCGCCGGGCGGAGCGGCAGGGGTCTGGGGTCGCAGCCTCTGCATCAACTCGAGTCTCCATGAAGGAGCAATGTTTGACTACATCTTCCGAGCAGAAGAACTGGGCTGGGCAGTGCTGGTTGCGAATCCAAATGTCAACGATTGCAACGGCATCCCCCTCAGTGGCTCCGAGACTCCGCACCGGCATCTGCAGACCCTTTGGACTTCTTACATCTCCCCCGCGCAGGCATCATGCGTACTAGTCGTGGCGCACTCATATGGAGCCCCCAACATGGTGCACCTTCTTAAGGTCGAGCCAGAAGCTCGCGAACGTGTCTCTGCACTTGTCTTCACTGATGGGACTGCATTTCCACCAGGTACCCTCCTCATGGAGGGGGTCCCGAGTGAAGATTCCAAGGATCCCAAGGTGCATGCCTTGAGAAAGGAGATGCTTCGTTTTCAGGAAGCGGCACCAGAAGCATTCAAGCCGGCAACGTCGGCGGTCCAGAGTTGCTTGCGAGCTGCGGCCCGGAACTTCATGTCCTCAGAGATGCCACCAGGAACGCCTCTTGCAGCTGACTGTGAAGGGGTCCCAGCGGTGAGCGCTGGACACACAAGCCACCCTTCTACGACCCATGCGGCCACCGAGCCTGTCTTTGAGTTTCTGAAGTTAGGAGCACAGGCAACGGCCAAGGTCTCGGCTGCAAACGATGAGCTTCGTGCCGTGCTGAGCGGGCAGTGACTCAGCTTCTCTCGCGAAGTGACCCCAGATGACCCCAGCCGGTAGTCTCCTAGCAGTGATGGTGCTAGAAAGAAGTCGGCCTACCGCCAGGGACCGAAGACACAGACCGGCGTGGAGCAGCAAAAAGAGCTCACTGGACTCACTGGACTCACTCGATTGTGCAGCATGGGATATCTAACATGTGGCAGCAAACGTTATAAGACAGAGCCTCGCAGATAGAGCCTGTTACAAAGATCGTTGCAGGTGAGTCGACTTCAGAACCGAGTCTTGCTGCTCCAGCGAGAGGTGGAGGAGTTACGGGGCCCATCTGGCCGTGGCCATTTGGAACCCACGGTTCCCGAGAAGCAGTTTCAGCAGCTGAGCACTTCGCATGGAAAGGCCGGGGACTGCTGGGTGTCGCATGAGCGTGTCATTAGCGCGTGTGTGGCACGCAACCTTTTACCCACACAGTATACTTTTGCCCCCCCAAAAAACGTGGGTCCTGAGCAGAGGTCGCCAACCACTTGCAGGCCTTGCGGGCTCAGCTGCAGGCCCCCGCTGTGCTGGGAGGGAGAGAGAAAAAAGGGGGCCACGCATGGCCACGCCACAAATGCGCTCAGAGAGATGCCGCCAGGTCGTCAGTACCCGCAGCAGCGGCGTGTGGCCCTAAGTGATGTTCACACCTCTGGTGTTCACAAAGTGCTCAAGCTGCTCCGCCCTGGTGTGTGCCGCAGCTTTTTTTGCTGGCACAACCGAACAGAACTTTAGCTGCTGCGGCCGCTCGCTCTGCCGTGGCCGTTCGCGCCATGGGGTGCACTGCAGGCAAGGCAGAGGCACAGGAGCAGCCCAAGGCTTCGAGATGGCAGCTTGGTCAGCTTGGTCTAAGCCTGGCCTTGTTACCAGCGCCTGTTTCACATTGTGGACGTTCTTGTTCTCTCGTACTTTGCCCTGTCCCAGCATTTTCAGTCCACCAGTCCCGGGCATGCTGCCGCTATGGACCTGTTCGCAAAGCAGGCGATGTTCAGGTGACGTCCTTGGTGCGGTGTGTGTGGGCTCTAGATGGGTCTAAGACCAGGATTAAGACGAAGACGAAGAGGAAGACTAAGACGATGACTGAGACGATGACTAAGACTAAGACCAAGACCGAGACCGAGACGAAGACGAAGACGAAGACTGGGACGAGGACTAGGACTAGGACAGAGACTTCAGTAAGACTGAGGTACAGCCACGTGTTGCAGCGCAAGTGGACGTCACACTGCTCATCGTATGGACCGGAAGTGGACTATCGGATTCGATACCTGCCCTTTGAAATCCGAGGCAAGAAGGCAAAAACTTTGTTTACGTAGCTGTGTTGACCGGACTTGAACCCTGAAGGGGCCGGGGTGCTCGTCAAGGAAGACGAGCGCCACTTCCGCGTTGATAACAGCAAGCTTGGAGAGCATGCTCAAGGACTTTGCTACAGGCTGTCCAAAGATACTCGTGACAAGGACTTCGAGCACGTCGCCTTTTGGAATAGCGTCATTGCCGGAAAAGATGTCGGCAATGGGTGGCTTCTCTGTGACCTTGATAGCGAGAACCTCGAATTGTTAGACCAGCTGAGAGAGACGCCGCTTGAAACACTCTGTTCGAAATTCTCCGGAAACTGGATGCTGTGTTGCTCCACAAGCTCAAATATTGATGGCCGATGGGTTTCCAACACCTTTTCAGGACACAAGAGGATTCAGGGCGCTTTCCTGAAGACTTCGACTGGCACACACCCGCTTAAGTGGGAAGGCCTCAATGCGTTTTCAATGAACGTGGGCGGGGAAATGCGGCGAGCACGTTTGGTGGAAGACCGCCTCATATGGAACGATGGGGAGCTTTGGACCCGTGATCGGCGCGACATGGACATGTTAAAGCCGACTGACAAGTGGGGCCATGACTTGGAATCTGCCAATGCCAGATTCTTGTGTGTATGTCAAAAGGGTCTCAAACCTGGAAGCCTCAACCAGGATGCATGGAGCGTTTTACGGATCGAGAATGAGTTTTCCCTGTACACAGTGTGTGATGGCCATGGACCACATGGCTTCTTGTCAACGAAATTTAATGTGTGGTGGGGAGAAGATTCTGGAACCTCTTTCCGGTTTTTGTACCGTCTTTTTGCGTGATGAGGTCATGACGTGGCAAACTTTGTGAAGGATAACTTGCCAAGAGTCCTGATCAAAGACCCGCGCTTCACCCTGGGCCAAGGTGGCCAAAGCCCTGCAAGCCCTGCTTTCCTCGATACTTTCCGCCTGGTGCACATGCTGATCGACAGCGCGGATGCTTTTGATAGGCTCGATGCGCTCTGGTCCGGCACGACCGCAACCACGATCCTCCACAACCACAAGACTGGCCAGCTGCTCTTTGCACATGTCGGGGACAGCAGCGCCGTTGTCGGGAGAGCCTGGGGCTGCAACACACTGAGAGAAAGACTTTAGGACCGGAGTACCTTGGGACCTCGCCCTGCAAGGGGAGACAGGCAAGCCAGTACGGTGGAACATGCGTAAGTATGCGTAAGTCCCACCTTTAAATGGTTTCGTGATGTTTCGTGGTGCTCGCTTTACCCCTATGGGCGGCTCAATGGTTGCACCTAGCAAGTCCTATGAGCGAGGCCAAAAGGTCAAAAGGTTCGCTGCTGGTAGGTGGTTCGGAACATGGTGTTGGTTTCAACGCATGGCTCGAATCATTCGATGTGTGCAGGCGGTTGTTAGACTAGATTTGTGTAGTGGTGAACAGAGAGCCAAAGGCGTGACATTATTGCGAGCGAAGGGTATGGTGTCCTCGTTGACGCAGCCGGGGGGGGGGGGGGGGGGGGCGGGGGTGCCTATCAGTGCAGATGAGATAGATGTTGCCGATGCCTCTGAGGTGCAGCATCCACCGATGAAAGTAGAGTAGCATGGGCTTTCTGAACAAACCGACTGGATCAGCCCGGCCGGCCCCCCAACCGAGGACTCTTCGCTGGTAGAAGAAGAAGAGTATAGATGAATAAATATGGAAATAAACGTCTATATATACATATACATATACATATACATATACATATACATATACATATACATATACATATACATATACATATACATATACATATACATATACATACATGCATGTACACATACACAGACTTGCATATGATATATATATATATATATGTATACGTTTATATGTATGTATAAATACATATGCATATGCCTATATGCATGTGTGAGCCCTGAGCGTTTTCCAAAAGTGAGTTCCGTTTCCCGGCCCCGGCTTGCTTCAGCTATCACTGATGATGGGTGAGGGAATGGTTAGGTCTGAAGGATGAGGAGGATTTCAGGATGCGAGCCCTGCACCTTCAGATTGATGAGGTCAAACCGCCAACGGCAAGGAGGTTCGGGCACATCAGCTTACCCGAGACCACAAGCCCTTTTTGCCCGACGAGCGTGACCGCGTGGCTTCTTGTTGGATCACTATGGATCACTTGAGCAAGCCTTGAGGATTTCTCGTTGTTCATGTCGTATCCCCCGTATGCTAAGGCGGCATTGGGTGGCACGATTGAGTTCGATGGCGTTGCTGATTTCCGCGTCTACAACAAAGACGGTTATGGTGCAGGTCTGAACATGACCCGATCCTTGGGCGATCTCAGCGCTCATCGCGAGTGTGGCCTCATTGCAGATCCAGAAGTGGGCGAGTACATGGCTGCCAAGCTGCAAGATTCAACTCTCAGTGCATTGCAGAGGGCATCCGAGCCGATTATCTGGAGCTGCATCGGTCTTTGCTCGCTTTGCTGCAGGTAGATTCAGAAGATCAAGTCCTTTTGCTGTGCAGCGATGGGATTTGGGAGTTCATGAGTCCTCAGGACCCAACCTAGTGATACTAGCATACTGCAGAGCTGCTGCCTGTGAGCTGGTGCCTGCCTACAGAACTCCCGCAGGAGGCGGTGGAACTGGTGCTGAAGCAGAGCGACCCTTCATCTGCCGCGAGGGCTTTGGTTACTGAGGCACGCGGTCGATGGGTAGAGCGTGCCGCTGAGACTCATCAAGACTCTCATTCCGGTAAGGGGCTGCCACAATCAGATGGGCGGTTGGAGTAGTGGTTCGAAGGTTATCGAGGGAGGAGCCTGAAATGATAAGTTTGATCAGGAGCTGGCACTTAGGCTGAGTATATCGATGACATTGTTGCCCTTGTTGTGTACTTGAACGCGGGACGTGATCGCGCTGTTTGTGCAACCATTGCCAGCGGCGGAGCATGATCGCAGCTCGGACACCGCCGAAGGCCGATGTACTCCGGGATGGATGCTTGAGCTGCAGGTATCACGTAATGTGAGCAGGTTTCTGTAAAGATGTGTGCAGGCTTGAAGTTCAAGTGACTTGCAACTATGCCTTGTACACGTCACGGACAACGGAGAGTCAGTCACACACGAAGTATTGCATGCTGTTGTGCATGGCTGATGCTTTACTCAGCAGTACTTGTGCAGCCAACAGCGTTGCAGTTTGTTTCTGTTGCATAGTTATCTGCAGATGCGGGTCTGCAGCTTGTAGAGAAGGCGATTGATTTCAAAGGCACTGGCACTTGATAGATGTTTACAAAAAGAGAGAAGCGCTTTAAACTTTAAGCTGAAAACATCCTTCGCAGATCTCTGTCACGACCAGGGGGCCATCCAGGGCCTTCTGAATACGTTTTTCACTGTTGATACACAAAGTCCCTGCTGAGATCTGCCGAGGTAGCTGTGTCACCAACTCGGCAGCAAGGGGCTCAGCTCTCACAGAATTGCAGAATCCCATGTTGGTGGCATGTGATGGGGTCCTGCGCTGCAGGGGGAACAGACGCATGTCGGATCCGGTTGGAGGCAGGACACGGGAAGCTAGAGGAAGCCGAGCAATCTTATCAGGGATGCGTAGAAGTACGAGTCAGGAAAGATTGCCCGAGGTTTGTCAATGGTTTGTCAGATGGGTCATCGAAGCCGCGTGACACGGGGCAAAAAACGTGAGGCCCGATCCAGGAACATGAGTCAGGGAAGAACTACAAGAAGCGACTTCGGAAAAAGACCAGGCCACGAGGAACAGCCATTACTTCCAACATCCCCCTTGACCTACGTCATCTTGTAGGTATCATCTGGGATTGGCCAGGGATACTCTGTGGGATACGGTGTGGGATATCTGGGGGTGGGCACTCCGAGGATTCTCTGCCGCATTTTCTGGGGCGGGCATTCCACTGCAGCTCTGCCAGATTCTTTGATCTACCCTGAGCAGGATTCTCAGGAGGACACTCGAGGGATGCTCTACAGGGATGATGTTTTCGGATGTTTTCGGGTTAGCACGCTGCGGGGGTGGAGTCCCAGGTGAGGATAGCGGAAGGCAACGTCTGACAAAATCCCACTTGGTGGGGAAGAAGCGGCACGTATCAGGAAAGACACAGTTTAAGGGTTAGGAAGAAGCAAGGAATCCGGGGAAAGGCAACGCTTGTTTCTGGCTTAGATGGCTTGATTTTGGGGGGTTAATGCTGGATTTAGAGATTTAGCGAGCTTTAAAGCTTCCGGGGCTTCGGCCTTGTGGTTGTAGGGCCGTTGTACGGCTTCAGAGTGCTTGAGGGTTCGAGGGTTCTCGGGTTTAGGGCTTGAGGGTTTTTAGGGTTAAGTGCTTGGCTGTTGGAGGGTTTGAGGGTCCTTGTGTTTGAGGGTTTAGTTTAGGCTGTCAGGGGGGGGGTTCCAGCAAGCGTTTCAGGGCTTTTGGGTTCAGGGCTTTGGGCGTTTTGAGGGGTTGAGGGGTTTCAGGTTTAGGGCTTTAGGGTTGGGGTGGGGTCTGGGGAATGGGCTTTGCACAGATTGAGGCTGCGAGAGGAGGTGTTCGGGTCCTGGGCCCATTTTCCCCTCACATCTTCTCCAACTTTCCCGACTTATTATTCCCGACTCATTCTTTTCCACGACTTGAAGGAACAACTCGGAGCAAGCCTGACAAAGCGATGCTAGAATGGCATCAGGTTTCGGTTTGGCCAGTGTCCCCCTTGGAGATTCTACGGATGAGCATGTGCGAAACTCAGACGTGGCTAAGAGCCGGAGAGTCTCCCCAGACTTTGCCTGTGACGTTGTATCCATGATATCCATGGTATCCATGGTGTCGACTTGTCGCCGGTAACCAAACGCGTGTGTATGCCCACTTTTGCCTTGGCTGCTTAAGGTGAAAGAGTTTGAAAGGACTTTGCAGGAGGAGACCGAAAGCTTTCAAACACAGTTGCAGGTGCGCCGGGGCTTTGTGCAGTTCTTGGGCACTGGAGAACTTACTTCAGTCCCTGAACCATTTGTCGAAGTGACAGGCATTGGCCAGTTCGAACGCCCTTCTTCGAAGGACTCCGCCCTGGTCGCTCTTGTCTCCGCAAGTTTGGTATGGCAGAGCCGCAGCTTGCAGGAGACTGCGGGTGCTGGAGGAAGCTGCGCGCAGACGTGGGGTGTCTTTGATGTCAGATGAGGCGCTGATCGCACGCTGATGAATTGATCGCCGTTGCCGGCTTTGTTCTCCGCTGCTGGCCATTCCCTTTCTGGTTTTCCGTATTTCTGCCTTCTTGGACGAACAGAGATGAACAGAGATGAAGAGAGACGAAGTGCGATGAAGAGCGATGAAGAAAGATGAAAAGAGATGATGGAGGAGCCCGACTCGGACGATGCTCCGTCACCGAAGAAGCCGGAGGCCACCTTATTCCGCCCAAAAATGCAAACATGTCTTCTTTGCCTGTGGATTACCTAATGCTACTTTCAAGGCCCTTTTCGTGACGTTGGTATTCAGTCACTTTCTGTCTGAAAGTATTCGGCTCCCCGGCCAGGTAGTCCTTTGTGAGCAGCTGCTGGCATCTGAGAGGAAGGCCAAATCTGCCATGGCTATGATTATGAATGGTGCTAGCCGATTGAAGTGTTGGCAATTCATCATAGGCGATTGAGGACATGCCAGTTCCGACGGCGGAGGACGCAGACTGGCATTGTGCCAGTGGGCCAAGGCTGTAGAGCGGAGCAGCTCATAAGGGACCATTATCTGGAGGAGCTGTATGGTGATGTGCAGCTGGTCCTGGCAAAGCTGCAAAAGGCCTTGCTGCCACATTGTCTTAATGTCCTAATGTCCTGTGTGGCAGGTGCATGCAAGTGCCATGCTTTCGTTTTGCAATGCGAGGCTCTTCTCAGAAACCCAGCCATGAAGAAGAGCCACGTGCAGGACTCCTGCTTAGACCGTGGCAGCGGCAGCAGCGGCTTTTCCACACCTACACAGACCTTGATGGGATTTCAAGGCGTATAAGCTAATGTTGGAGCAAAGTTGGAAGGAGATGCTAAAGAAGAGTGGAGATGTGGCCGGAACCCTCAGCTCGTGTCTGCCTGTTTCACTCCTACTTTGGGTAGATGGGCCGTGCGGGAGTCGTCTTTCATCACGGCATTGCTGTAACGTAGGGGGCCACGTGCTGGCATGCTCGGGACGACTCAAACCATGATATCTGCCTGCATGTTAACCTCAGAGAACTCAGTGTTTGGGTATCCTTTGCCCTCACTCTGACCTCGACATGGCTGCAGCTGCAGGTGATTGATGGACGATGGAAAGTGAAGACAGTTCTCAGCTACTCAAAGAGGCAAGCACCAGCCTACCTGCCCTTCACGGTCCACCAAAACCAACAGAACCGGCAGTCTGTCAATGCGCGGCAGGATGGTGGTAGCCCTATGTTACGATTTGCATCTCGGAAGAGAGGCGCATGGTCAAGATTGCAGCAGCTCGAGTGAGCTGATTTGCCGGCGCAGGTGGTGGTCAAGATGAGCCAAACCTTGGAAGCAAGCCTTCAACTGGCACACGTCGACTATGCTTCTTGCCTTCCTTAGAGAAGGACTTCGTTGTCATGCTGTCTTCGAAACGTCTTGAACAGCCGCTGCAATTATGAAGGCTCAAATGAACTCAGGTGCTCCGAATGCTGTCTGCAGTGCCAATTATTCCAGAGGCCGGTGAATGTCACTATTGGCTCAGGTGCAATGTAGAAAATGTTGTGGGACGCTCCGATGTCGGAGAAAGCTGCACGCGGTCACGCATACTGTACATAGTTCTGAACCGGGGCGTTGCGATGAGTGTGGCTTTCTGGTCAGCCTTGGATGCGTGCAGTGGTTCGGTCGAACAAGTTTTCTCAGGTACAATACTGCTCAAGCCCCAGCTCTTCACTTCCATTCATGGTGATGGAACTGTTGCAGGCGCGTAAGTTTTTCCATGCCTGAAGCTTCGAAAATGCTCAGTCATGCTCAGCCCACGTTGCTGTGTCATGACCTTGGAGGGTTCAACGCTCAAAGCTCGTTTCCAGGAGAGCAAGGCTCGCCTTCGAAGCAAATCATGCGCGGCCTTCACGCAGCTTTGCGCAGCTGGTTTTGGACGCCTTGCCCGTGGCAACGTTGCGAGGCGCAGCCAATGCTAGAGCTGGAAGCTGCCGAGATTGGGTACGCCCTCCTGATGGGTGGCTTTCCAAGAAGGTCAACGCAGAACATCCTCAGGCATATGCAGAGACAGAAGAGGGGCCAGGGGATGAGGATCTGACTCAGACCGAGGCATGGATGCTTGTCACCAGCAGCAGGCCAGGGAACCTGTGCATGCTGTGCATGCTGGCGTGCTTCAACATTTCACGAATGTCGAGGTCTTCAATCTGGCTCTCTGTCCAAGAAGCATCTGGGCACATGCCCCAGTCGCCCTTTCGGACACAGGACCTCCGCAAGTTTCAGTGGCAGAGCTTGGCAGAGCTTGGCAGAGCTAGGAAGAGCTAGGAAGAGCTAGGAAGAGCTGGAAGAGTGGAAGCGATTCAGGTCGGGCTGCCGCTCGAGGGCTCTCGAGTTCGAGTCCTGGAGCGCTTCGAAGCTGTAGTTTCTGGATTTGTTGGTACGAGCATATAAGCTGCATGCCTCGCTCTCTCCCTCTCCCCCTTCGCATGCATGCAAGCAGGACTGGAGCATCAGCGAGATAGGTGCTGCGGTGGTGGAAAACCCGAAGTTCGGGACTGAAAGGGATCTGTCGGGGTAGCACTGAAGTCATTTTCGCCAGCTTTCCGAGTCTTCGTCCAAGGCTCCATGCGTACATCAACATGCGCAAAACTGGGCTTCTTCGAGGCGCACCGGGGACTTTTTGAGGGGCTTCTGCTTCTTAGGGCCCTCTGCTCAGTCGCTGCTTTTTCTCGGAGGCAAGAGCGGTCCCAAACTTGAAAGTGCTGGCCAAGAGGTCGCCGCAACAGCATCAGAGCTTTGCAAGATCTCGGGCAAATGGAGAGATTTTGGGTAGTTTCGTTGTTTTGCAGGATTCATTCTGTCGGGTTTCGCACCTTAGTAGTTTGAAGCCTTAGGGTCCGTAGACTATCTCGGCCGAGGCAGGCGCAAAGGCCAAAACGCGAGGAAGTTGCTGGTATTTGGGGGGGGGGGTTTGTATCAGTGCCCCGGGTACGCAATCGCCTCAGCCAGAGGCCCTAGACCCCTAGACTTCTAGACCCCTAGACCCCTAGACCCCTAGACCCCTAGACCCCTCGACCCCTCGACCCCTAGACCCCTAGACCCCTAGACCCCCAGACCCCTAGACCCCTAGACCCCTAGACCCCTAGACCCCTAGACCCCTAGACCCCTACACCCCTACACCCCTGTACTGCCTGGCCCGAAACCTACGAACCGGGTCCCCTTGCCCAATTCCCTCTGCCCGAACCCCGAATTGATCAAGCAACGCAGTATGCTCCAAACCTCTTTTTAATCAGGTCACGTCACTAGCAAGACATTCCAGTCCCTGAGACACGGCCTACAAAAGGACGACGGGCCTCACAGAGCGAGCTCCTTCTAAGCAGCATGAAGCAGCCCATTATCATCCGAAAAGTATACTGCATGTACTGTAAGCTTGGAGTGCACTTCTTGCGTGCGTGTAGAAGCAAAGAGCCACCAGCAAGATATGCCAGGCGTTGAGGCTTTCTCTAGGCCCTTCTATACATGATGCAGAAATACATTGCCGGCAGCCAGATACTCCAGGCTCTGAAAAGGACGACAAGTTTCACACGGCAACCAAACCAGGGGCTGATCCAATAAACGATCATATAGCTGACATGCGGGTCTACCGTGCAGGTCTAGCACCGCAGTAGCCATCCTTGTTGTGCACTTGAGAGAACCATCTGTGCCAGCAGCACTGTTTTCCCAAAAGAATTTTTTTTTGCCTGTGCCGGACTCGTGTGATGTCCAAGGTTTCCCCATCGGAGATTACCGGCAAGCGCGATCGTCGAGGGTCTTAAAGATGCTCCAGGTAGCTGTTTCTTGCCCTTTTCGAAGATGTTCGCTGAGGCAAGGACCTTCAGAACCTGGTCTTCAACGGCCGGGAACGGAGTGAATCATGTGTCCAGAGATCGGCGTTCGGATCAAAGTTGCAGGCCATGGCAGTCTTTACTACATGCCGGGGTCTTGGAACCCGAGCAAGCGCTGTTAACACCCACAGTTACTGGGAGTTCGCCTGAGTCTAGGGTCCACTGCCTTGGGCGGCAGGTCCATGGAGCAGCTGTACCAGACTATCAGGTTGGGCTTCGACGTCGATTGTGCATTGCAATTGCTGAGCTTTGCAGGTCCTTTGAGAGGCCTGCGCCTTCATCCACAATGCCGCAGAGTTGGTTCCAGGAGTGACCTGGTATGGCCTTGCTGAAAGTTGTGGGTCATTGTAGGTCGCAGAATGACTCCGCCCTTGCGTGCGTGGCTCCGCGTACCAGCTGTTAGCTGTTGGCTTGAGCTGCGTTGCACTCCGGCATGGCGTGCTGGGCCTCCGTCTGGGAAGAGCTGCAGGCTTTCAGTGCACTGATGCATCTTGCACAAAGTGCCCTTCTTGATGCTTCTTAATGGCTTCCGGTGTGAAGGGCAGCCTTCCAGAGCGCAAGGCGCAAAAGCCGGGATCGTTGGGGAAGATGGTGGGATCCTGTCCAGGTCGAGAGTTGAATGCTTGAGATAGCTGCGGTTGAAGGTACCCGCGTTTGGGGAGAGTGGCCTTCCCAGCATGTGTTCCTGTTTTGGCGCTGCAGGTCGGCTGCGCAACATTTTGAGGATTTCCATGGCAATGCTTGCTCAGGTTCGCTAAAAGGCCTGTCGCCGCTCCGAGCACTGCGGCAGGGCACGCTCCTCACTTTCTTGCTTGGCCTTGCGGGTGGGTCTTGGAGGGAGGGGGGGTTAGCGTATAATGTCAGCGAAGGATGTATATATATATATATATATATATGTATGTATATATATATATGTATGTATATGCATGCACGTATAGAGGTATGTACGTATGGGATTTGCCGTGCGAAGGCTTCTTGGCACATTGGCCGCTGTCTGTCCGCCGACCTGCCACCAGCGAGGCCACTACGTTGTGATGCGTGGCTCGTGTCTGTGAGTTGCAGATGTTTGCAAATTTCGCCTTCATTGAGGACACTTTACCCTACAACGCCGCCTCAGTAGAAGTGCAGAAGCAGCATCTTGGCCATGAAGAGTTGGCTCGTTCATGTGCCGGGTGTCGTTCGTTCCCCATCGCTGGGCTTTAAAAGCTTCAAAATCTCTCTTGACGTTCACGGACATCTCAGGAGCACACTGCAGCCTCCGCTTCTTTCAAGGCAAGGGGGGCTTGATGCGATGGGGTGGGGCGGCCAATCAGTTGTGGAATGTGTAGATGGAGGCTGCTTCCAACTCCAATAGCATCCACTTTGCTACACAGGCTTGGCAATTTGAGTGGGTCGTAGGTATTCTGGGTTTGGAGTTCTGCATCGCGGAAGCGTGGCAATGCATGGCGACTGAAGGCACGAGGAGCACTGGTTTCAGGAAGAGCTTGGTGGCGAGGCGTCGTCTGCCTATGTCTGCACAATCTTGGCAGCTCGATGTGCTTACTGAGGCTTACAGTTGTAGGTCAATCTTTTGGCCATCGCGCTGGAATTTTGAGGGCGTGCGATCGACCAGTACTGAGCAAGATCTTCGTAACATGCAATCTGCTTGTTTCGTCGGGCTATGGGATGGTTAGTAGTGAACAAATATCTCAGAAGCTGACTGGCTGACGGGATCTTACGGTTACAGGGATGCTGTTTTGCAGGGCCGCCATGGGGCACCCTCGGAGCGCCGGATGCTGCTTGACGCTGCCGCGCGATGATCCCTGATGTGATCTGATGCGGCTTAGCATCGCGGTGTCACTGGCTCTGGCAGCGGCAGTGTGGCTGGTTGTGGGCAGCCGTGCGGCTTGCAGAGCATGATTGAGCGTAGCACTTTTTCTTGTTTTAAGCAAGTACAGATGTCGAGGCAGACGCTGCTCGACGCTTGTTGCAGTAGTCGCTGAGCATCATTGACTCCTTGAGGAAGCTTCTTCGGCAAGCCGGACAAAGTATGGCTTCATTGTTGCAGCGATTTGTATTGGTATCGTTGGAATACAGCTGCTTGCATCAGCTCATAATTTCTTGTTGAGCGCGCTGTGCGGCCGTCTTTGTCGATCTTGCCAGCATGCTTCCAACTCAGGTACACAACGGCCTTGCTTCCAAAGCTTTCTGGAGTGGGTCACAAGCTGAATCTCCAGCGCAAGATTCAGCACATTGCCACAGGCAGTTTGTCTGTCCTTTTTTTTCATGCTAAGCTGTGTTTAAAGACGGTGTCCACGCCATGTTTGTGCTTTGTTCAAGCACCGGATGTGGTGCAGGCTTGGCACTAGCGCTTATCTTTCTCCTGTTTTCAGCGCAAGTCTGCACATTGGCTTTGGGTGCGGGAACCCTTGCACTGATTCTTCTTCAAGTTGCTCGAGCCGCTTCTGAGACGGTAAACCTGGAGTTTCTAAGATTATTTGGGTCCATGCTGAAGAAGGAAGAGCGGTTTCTTGGCTCTGTACACTCAACTCTTTTGCCTTGCACGAGGTGATTTGTGAGCGGAGATAGGTTTTGAATTCAGTGTTTAGTAAGGGGAAGGGGCGCGTCTTTTTTTGTCGAGGAGCGCTACGCGGCCACCGGCTGCCGTCTTCTTTCTTCTGGGCCTTTTCCTGTCCTTGGTGACGTTCCCACGCCGTCTCACGCTCCTCTGCACGCTTGTTGCAACGCTGGCCGTGCCATGTCCTTGAAGCTACTGGCTATCGGCTTACTCTCCTTCATCTAGTTTATCTTGCTATTCTTGTTGTGGGATCGTAAGTCATGGCTGACCTGGACCTTTAGAGCCTGACCTCAGGACCCCTTTGCGGCGATTGGTGGCACAGCATTCGGAGGCCCTCTTCTGCAGCTGAGCGCAGCGCATAAAAGCCTCGGCGGTTGTATCACCTGCCTCTCCGCAGCCCGCACTGCATTCATCTGTTCGCTTGTCGCCAGAGAATCACTCAGGAAGCCGCGGCCGCGATCAACCGACCCCCCCATTCAGAAAACAGCCCATGCAGCACTCAAAGACATCGCAGGCAAATAGAAAAAGCAAATAGGCTGGTTCTGGGGCTTCAGTCGAACAGGGGTATTTTTACAAAGCAGGGTTCGGACAAAACAACAAAGCAAAACATCATTCAAGGTATTCTGGCACGTGCATTCGTTCGGCTTGCTGTCGGGTGCCAGTTATGCTTCAAATGAGCTGTAAGTCAATACGCGAAAAATCAACGTCACGCTAGTCTGACTCACTGACTCACTGACTAACTGACTGACTTGACCTGACCTTCGGATGCGAATGTGGGTTGGAACGGATTCTCAAGCATGAGCTTTGTGTGGGTTGGTTTCGAACCGCCGAGGGCTCCGGTGCCCCGGCGATTGTTCAGGGTCCACCCCGATTCTTGCCTTCTCTTTCTCTTTGGGCGCTCTTTGCCCGGCATCTTGATTGCTCTTCATATGGGCCGCCACCAAGCCTCGTCTGCCCTCCGGACTTGCATGGGACAGCATTAACAACAGTTGTTGCTCTTCGTGAACCGCTTATACGGCTTACATGGCGCAGTTGCATGCTGCTTGTCGGCAAACCCCTGGAGTCCCCACGCTAGCTGTCGTCCCTCCAACCTCGAAGTGGAAGCTAGCAAAATCCCTCAGGTGCAACCCAGGATTTAGCTACTCGTAGTGATTTCGGGCTCGTGCCTTCCAAGGTGGCGGCGCTCCTTGCCGTAGCTGTCGTGTTAACCACGCCTGGCGCGGAACATACGGCACCTTCGGCCACAGACACGGCGGTGGTTGGCCTGTTTTGTGGCTAGGCGCCCTATGGGACCATGGCAAAGTGTCACTTGAGTGTCACTTCAGTGTCACTTCAGTGACACTCAAGTGTCGCTTAAGTTTCGGAGGTTGGTTGCTGCTGTTCTGTTGAGACTCCGAGGTGGCCTCGCCGCAGCTGCATGCGAGGTTGCTGGAGGTGATGGGCTCTCTTGTATCCGTTTGCCTATCCAGTTTTGCCTAACTCGGTGCCAAGGATTCTAGAGACAAATGCGTCAGCCTTGTTTTGCGTTTCGGTCCGCCAAGCAAAGCCGTGCAGAGCAAGAAACTCCTCTGTTCTCCAGTCTTTGCTCTTGTGTGCCTTTTCCACACAGCCATGCCAAATTGCTTGGGGTTGCCCCTGAGCGTGATACACCCGAAGCCATCGCAAATCCACTATGTGTCTTTAGACAAGTTCTGTTCCGCCACGCTTTTGCCATTATTTTCCGATGCTTTGGCTCTCAAGTGAGAGGTGCTACATCATGGTTGGACGACAATCTCCTCGTCAGCTTCGGCACCGGACTTCTGATCAAAGTCTTCGCCATGGTCGTGGACTTTGCAGGCAGCTTTGCTGACATCTTAAGGCTTGAAGAGATCCCAAAAGCAGCGGCAGAATCAGTCTTTGCCGTTTTTCATTTGTGCTTTGATTGTGGGTAGTTGTGGGCTTTGGTGCCAGGGGCACCCAAGGTTTGGAAAGCAAGGCTCTTCTGGCTTTGCTCAGCTAGCTGCATGTGGACATCACATCTCCTCACCCTGCAGCAGCGATTGCCTCGCGCGCCAGCTTCAAAAGACCTTACTCCGTGGTTGCCATTTCAGCAATCTGGAGAAGAGCTGTTCCAGAGCCGCTGCACTGGCTCTTTTACATGCGAGACATTTGAAGCCCATGCCCATGACAATGACAGCAGGTGCACACCTTCGCACAAGATGAAGGCTTGCGACTGCACCTACTCCGCCCACCTGCTGAGTCGCAGGAGCCCAAGCCTACAGTAGCCTGCAGTTCAAGTAGTGCAGCTGGTTTGATCGTGAGCGCAGGTCGGAGAAGCCCGGTTGCATGGTGCTGTTCCACGGCGGGTGCCATGCTCATTGCAGCTCATTGCTTCAAAGGGGCCGTGATAGATGCAGTCGTTGGGCTGTTAGAGTGGAGTCCATGCACGAAAAACCCCCTTCCCATGTGTGTTGGAGAGGTTGCTAGCATCTCTACAGATTATGTAGGCGGTTGTCCCATAACATGGCTTCAAGTCGGCTCGTGTGACCGCAGGGGCAGAAGATGCAAAGACTCATACACTGTCGAATTCCCCGATCAGTATCAGAGCACCTTTGTACTGCAGGTCCTGGATGGTTGGTTCCGACCCGAGTCATCAGTGGTGAGATGTGGAGAATGTCGAGATGATGACCCATTGGAACCAAGGCTCCCCTTCACAGTTCTACAAACATGCCCAGGACCTGTGGACGTCAAAATATGCAGAGCCCATCATCTTACATCATCTTACAGTATTCTCCGAGCCTTCTCGTCTTTTCAGTCCATCGCCAAAGACCTCGGAGTGGCCGTCGCCTGCTGCGAATACCGCCTCTGGACGCTTGACTCATCTTGACTCACATAGCAGGAAGCCGACAAACAATTGAAAAACATAATGTAGACTGTAGACAATCCGGAGCGAAATGCTCCGGAAGTAGTTCCGGGGGCAGCTCGGTCGCTTTGAGGCCTTTAAGGCCTGTAAGGCCTCTAAGGCCTCTACGGCCTCCAAGTCTCCGAGATGCTCTGAGGCTGACCCACCCTCGAGCCGATGTGCCCTTTGACGCCGTCGAGGATGCGCAGCGCTGCGTGCGGTATTTACACCAGGAGGCTCTTGGCAAGATGTGCTTGCATGAATGATCTGCATTGGCGTCTGAGCTACCGATTGGTGCATGGAAGCTCATTCTGAAGATGTCTGAAGTGTTGGAACCCTGCAGGACGTAGGAAGTGCTTAGTCGTTGGGTGCAGGAGTTAAAACATGATGGGCACTATCAACTTCATTGTAGGCCGATGGCCTGGGCCTGGACAAGACGAGGTGCTCGACTTGGCACTCTCCTCCGACCATCTATCAGATTCTTGCAAGCCTCAAACCCCTTAAGCTACCTTTCCAAGCGTCCTTAGAATATCTTAGAATGATGCGGTTGGTGCTCACGGTGTTGCTCCGGTGTTGGCAGTGGTGCGGATGATACGTCGAGCAGCTGTGAGTTGCTGAGTAGCCTTCGACGCAAGGCTTGTGGTTGGTGGCCTGAGTGCTGGTGGCCATCTCGCTGCCATGACAGCACTGGAAACTGGCACGGAAATCGGCCTTGCAGGCCATCTCACAGTATGGGAAGTACGTACCTGCAAGCATCTTGCAAAATCTAGCAGATGCCCCATGTGTCCGTATGGGAACCTTTGACTGCCCTCTGGTCTAGCCGCTCGACTGCAGGGCTGGTGCTACTGAACCCTGTCCTGGACCTGGGTTTCTCAGCAGGATTTCGCAGGCCGGAGATCTGTACGATAAACACATCCTGGGGCCCGTACAGATGGTAAACTCGAGCCAGGAAGAGCCCGCTCATTTGGCTTGGCTCTACAGTCCTTCGTGCTCGTTATGGCGAGGCATATGCTGTAAAAATGCTTCGAGACGTCAGATGCGCACTGTGAACCGGACAATTTCCTCAGGAGGCTCTTTTTGCCAAGTCGCCACTTCACCAGGCACAGTCCAATGTCGAGTGCTCTCAGTGTCTGTGAGTTGGAGAATGTAGAAGCTTGCTGGCAGCAGGTTCGCAGCCTGCCCTTTCCCACCTTGATCTTGCACGGCGAGGAGGATGTAGTGGTGATCTCCGTGATGTGAGCTGATGCACTTGCCACGAGCTGTTTGGCACTGGAGGATGATGTGATTCCTCTGGCGCAGTCGGAGGCATTTGTCAACGAGATGCAGCGGTGCTGCGCTCAGCATCACAGCCTTCATGCGATGCAGCACGTTGCGGACTGGTGCAAAGGTCTCACAATGACTGCAAGATGATTGCATTTCCTGAGGCAAGGGTCGAACGGGGGGCCCAGCTGTCTGATAGCATACGTGCTAAGTGTAAGGAGCTTGGAGCATCAAGAATCAAATAGCATCGCTCGCCCTGTTAGGTGAATCACCACTTCCTGCGCGTAAAGCCAGAGGTGGCAGAACGTGGCTTTCCCGCAGGATGGCTCGCGCAAAAGAGGGTGCAGGTGAGCAGGTGGCCGTCGCATCCGAGGCCACCTACTCACTCTCGGCAGTTTCTTGCACTCCGCAAGGGCCCCAGCAGTGTAAGAAGTGGCTATGACCAACGGATACCAATGGATACCAACGGCTTCACGCGGACACAGGCATTAGGCATGGCAAGGACAAGAGGAGACCTTCTCTTTCAGGCTGGCGTGGTGCACTCTGCGGATTGCAAGTCCAAGGAATGACTGAATGACTGGAGTTCCCTTGATTCTTTAACAAAGGTTGTTCCAAAGGCTGGGACAAGCAAGTGCTGCAGCGAAGCTCTACATGCTTGCTGCAAGCCCCTTGTCTTGTGCTTTCTGTCCTTTAAAGTGTACAAAGCACAGTGCTGGAGGCCATTGCGTGATAGGTGCCTGCATCTCACGATGATGTAGGAATGCACTGCACGCGCATGCCAGTGTCGAGGAGAAAGTGAAAGGATACAGACCAGCTGCTCTTGTGTTTTCCAGCAGTTGTTTTGGCCCAATCTTGCTTTCGGCTTTTTCCTCATGTGGCGCCGCCAGTATCTGGGGACGAATTTATGTACAGAGTGCAAGAACACATTGTCGAGTCTCTAAATCACGGTCCATTTTCGGGTGCCCAACAACATAAGGAGCCGCATAGCTACATGGCCGCGTGCTGTTCAGGGAGCAAAAGCCAACAAAAAGACCGGCAATATATCTCCGCAAAGTCCCCTGACAAGGGTGTTTGCAAAGCCGGCCCTTGAGCTTTGCCGGCAGAGAAAAACGGCCGTGTCAGCTGAGAGAAGAAATTGGGTGCGAGTTGCGGTTTTTTTTCTGGGGCGATTAGATCGGGAGCCGATGCGGTGATGTGGCCACGTCTCGTAGCAGCATCTGAAAAGAAACGTGCCTCCCTAGCGTCGCCAATGCGAGTGTGCAGCGACCAGGAGAGCATTGGCAGCGTCGTCAAAGTCGAGGGTCGAACAGTCCACTGGTTTCAGAAGGCCGGCTATCCGGTGGGTCCTGCATCGATGCGTTCGTCCAGTTCGTCCTTCATTTTTATATGTTGTCAGGGAGATGGGTTCGTGCAGACGAGCCAGCCCGTGACTGCTGGGAGCTGAGAGCCTACAACTCCAGGTCCAGCGGGCTTGTATCTTGTTCCTACATGCTTTTACAGTTTTTCCAGATGAAGCCACGCCGACCCATGCCATTCTTACGCAGCACGGCCTCTTCGTTCCCTCAGTTGCTTTGCCACTGCAACTGTGTATGTGGCTTCCTCGGCAGAGTTTCGTGACAGACGAAGTTCGCAAAAGCGCTCTAGATTTATTGCTTGTTCTTTGGTATTCCGTACTTCTAGGCGTATGTCGTACTCAAAATAGCGGCTACCAAAGAAAAGTGTGGCATATGCAGAGGAGTACTGAGACAGCTCCAACCGGACCATTAGGTGGGTTGTTGCCTTTGTTGCCCAACCTTCCTCAGCGGTAAGCCTCCAGACAACGAAGTACTGTATTTGTCTTTTGATCGTGTGCTTCCCACGCGTACTCTGACAAGGTCACCCCGCTAGGCCAGCTGTTCGAGGCTTCGCGCCTGGGGTGGGGGAAGTGGCAGGCATCAACGGGATTGTGAAAGGTCGCAGAGATTGTGAACTACTTGTTGCCACAGGTCGAAATTATCAAGGCGGTGAACCTGGGCCGGCAGAAGACCCAGCTAGCAAGCAGTTTTCCGTTGCTCTTGCAAAAGTCATGCCCAAGTTGCGCTGAAGGAAGCTTGAATGTGAGCTGGGCTTCTGCATAGGCCAGGATTTGCTGTAGCAAGGCAGCAACTCTGAAGCCCTCGCCTGTGCCAGCTTTCTTGCGATTGTTTAGAACAGCTGCAGGCCAGTGTCCTCGGCCATCATTAGCTCATCCTAGCTCTCCACTGCTGCGCTGTGAGCAGGTTTCTGTTCCAAACCACCTCGTGCGAGCGAGAAGGCGAAACCAGAGAAGCAGGAGTTTGCATTCAACTTCACTCGTTGATGTTGTCAACAGCTGTGGCATGTTCAGTTCGCCAAGCAAACACCAGGACTGTTGGATTGCTGGTGGCGACGCATCATTCTATTTGAAAGGGGCCTGGAGCACGGGTCACATCACAGCCTTTGTGCCACATGACCAAGACTTCGAGCCCATGAGTCTTCGCGAGTGCTGGGTAGTCAGTGGTTTCAGCTCAGGCACAGCGGCGTGTTGGCAAAACCTCGGCGGATGGGCAGCCAAGGCATGGCAAAAGCTGGCACATGCTGGCAATAAGGAGTCTCTCCTCTGCAGGTATCTACATATCGCCAGTGACCTTCGCGCAAAGGTGCTCGTCTCAATGCTGGCAGACGATGTAGGCCATGCAAAATTTACACGTCAGGACAAAGTGGCCATCCTGGCAGAATGGCCTCGACCTCTTGCAAGCTTTTTTGCAGCTTCCCTGCAGTGTCCCATAAGAGGGAGTGACGACAGGTCCGGGAAGTTGTCGCTCTTTGTGAATGGTCGTCGTGTCATGTTTGCCCCAAAAGGTTCTCCTCCTCTATTTTCCTTCTTAAAACGTCTCTTGTGTTTGTTGCGCTCGTTTCGTTGCGCATGTTTGTATTGACGCGCTCTCTCTCTCTCTCTCTCTGCCAGGCGAGCAGGTGGGTTGCTACGGCAACGCCATCGACCACTCTGAGGCCAGGGAGTGATCAGCGTGAGAGAGCAGACGAGAGAGAAGAAGAGAGAGAAGAAGAGAGAGAAGAAGAGAGAGAAGAAGAGAGAGAAGAAGAGAGAGAAGAAGTAGAAGAAGAAGAGAGAGAAGAAGAGAGAAGACGCAGAGAGAGCTAAGGAGCAAGAGAGCATGTGACTCTAAAATTGGGGCATACTGAGACATGTTTTTCCTGTCGAAGGTGGTGCTGCCGCTGTACGGAGTTGCAGACATCTTTGTGCGCGAGGCATCTTGTGGGTGCTTCCAGCCGCTTCAGAGTTCGGATGCGGCGCGGCGGCTCAAGAGGCCAGTGAGGAATACACGGTACGCTCGATCGGTCTGATCAGCGAGGAGGACAGTGAAGGCTCGTGCCATCTCGTGCCATCTCGTGCCATCTCGTGCCACGTGACGATCGTGACAAGTGGCTTGTGGCTCGATTTCCGATGCAATGTTGCAGCGTTGCGCGTGTAATGTTCAGGTTGCTGGCCTGTTCAGAAAGAGCATAAAGAACAAATGGAGCGCGTTGCGCTCGAGTCAGCTTCCCAGACCACGTGCACGACTTCCAGAGCGTGGAGTGCAGAGAGGTGTGGAGAGGCCGCTATCAGCGAAGTCTGCAGGCTGACGGGAATTCATCAGCTGTTGCACGGGGAGGCTGCAATTGCCACCACGCTACTGGCTCAGTGGCTCACCAGTCGCCCATTCACCAATGGCCAGTTGCGCCTAGCTCAGTGGCTCACTAGGGCATGCTAATCCTGGCACCAAGGATTGGGCCCTCCTGTGACCTGTATGCTTGTGGTCCACCTGCGATGCTTGTGCCATCGGGCCAGCAGAGTTTTGCCGTTATCCCACGTGTCCAGCTTGGGGCGCTTGGCGGGGATTGTTCGCTGCAAGTGGCACATCGCAACTGAGACTGTCCGAGAGCCGTCTTGGAATTGTCCGAGAAACAGGTTTTTTAGCTGAAAAAAGAGGCCCACAAAATCCTCCTCGCCTGAGCACCAGTTCTTAGCTTGCTGGATGAGACAATGCCCGCCAGGTCGAATACTTCTGAGCCTTTTCCGCGGTGGGACTTCTGCACTGTGCACTTACTGGGGTGTTGTGTCATGTGGCGACCAGGTGGACTGGAGCTGCTGCCATCAGTGAATCTTGACAGGCCCAAGTCCCCAAGTCCATGCAGCCGGCGCTGATGTTCAGGGGTGTGAAGTATTGGCAGGTTTGCCTTGGCCTACGCCAATTGGGCGCAAGCCGGGCGTGGCGCTGAGGTCCTGGTAGGTGCGTGTGCCAGCACAGCAATACAGCAGCACGCCGCAACAGGGACAGGAGAGGCTTGAGAGGCCGTGGGTTGTTCAATGCATCAGGTGTCCACCAACTGAGAAGCGCTACGGCCTCCTCTGGGCACTCAAGGACACGTCAGCAGCCGGCCGTACCAATTAGTGACTGCTGGAAACAAGAGAGCCTTGTCCAACGTGCAGGAGCTCAAGAGCGAGAAAACGGAACGCAGCGAGGAGAGAGGGTGATGAAGGGGCAGGGGGGGATCCTTTGTCATCTTTTTCAGCATGAGTACGGCAGGAGCTGGCCGAAGTGGAAAAGGGAGAGGTGAAGCTGGTCCTGTCTCGCTGCTTAAAACGATCCAGGCTCGCGACGCCAAGACACAAGAGTCACCTTGACGAGATTCAGCACGGGCGGAAGGTACTCTCGTCTTGGCAGTTGCTGGGAAGCCGCAGAGATGTTGGCTTCTGCCTCGTCTTGGCGGGGAGCCCTACACGCTTGCTGTCCCAGTACAGGCAAGCTTACTGGTGGTCCCACAATGTGCATGGGGCCATTTCTGGGGGTCAAGTTCTCTTATCAGCATGTGTAGTTTTTGAATACTTCCTGGCCTTAGCTTGCGGAGGAACCCAGTATCCCTCAATCTTAACCTCTTAACACCTACTCCCCAAACCCTAAACCGGCAAAGACAGATGTGCGGAATGTTTCACACCAGGAGTCCCCGAAGTCGGGGACTCCGTGTCCCCAACCTCCCGAAACCTGTAAATCCGCAGCAATGCAACACGGGGTTTCCCGTGTTGCCAACCAAAGGCTGAGTATGTCGGATGACTTCGTGAACTCCCATCTGGATGCTGTTCGGCAGGCAGGTTATAGATTGCCAGCAGTATCTGGCCTTGTGGGTCTGGTGGAGGCAAAACGAGCTAGTCTGCTGGATTCCCACTACACTCTGGCACAAGAGCTCTACGAGCAGGCACAGCCTTGTTCGCCACCACGTAGATGTGTAAATCGTTTATCAGACAACATTTCCAGAGTCCATTCGTCGCGGTGGGACGAGTCTCACAGCTCCTGCTTTCACTCACTCACACACACAAACACACAAACACACAAACACACATACACACATACACACATACACACATACACACATACACACATACACACATACACACATACACACATACACACATACACACATACACACATACACACATACACACATACACACATACACACATACACACATACACACATACACGCACACACACACACACACACACACATGGGGGGGGGGATGTCTGATTAGGGTCTGGCTCATCAGCTACACTGGACCTCCAGGAGCGAAGACACTTGTCAAGCTCAGCGCTCCTACGGGCTGCCAGCTCAGGATGCAAGGATGTTGATGCAGTAAACGTAAATTGCCTCATCGGGTCTTCGACACAGGCCGACCAGGCTGTCCAGCGGGCGGCACAGTGCCGGGCAGAAGGCCTGATGCCATGGAAAGTGTGATGCAAGACTGCCTTGCTCGACAGCCGTCTGGTCAGGTCCTTCGATCTCTTCTCGGTGGAACTTGCAACCGTACGTCCTCGGTCCTGCACACATCCAGCGAATCCTCCAGGCTGCGAGAGCAACTCTTTCTGTGTCGAAGGCATGCGGCATCATTGATAGGGGAAGAATGTTGCTGGATGTTGCTGGATGTAGTTGTCCACCAGTCTGGAACGGCTGACTTTCGCTGCCAAACTCGTTCATACAGGGTGGAGAGCCCTTGTGCAACTTTGTGCAACTTCATGCAATGTAGGTTGCGGGCAAGTCGTAGCTGAATGTGCTAGAAGCCTGCATATCGCAGTAAGCCTTGGCACACCGAGACACAGCACAATGGGAAACGACCATGCTCCGAAAGTGTTCTTGCCTGGACAGCTGCGCAATGGCGGAGACACGCTGCCGAGCACGATGTGAGGGCAACATTCGCCATCAGCCTTCATGCGACTCGCTATGATCTTTCGATCAGTATGTTCTCGGGGGGTAGCATGAGGTAGCAGGGTGTTCAATACGATATGCCAGGGACATCAGTTCTGGGGGATCATCTTGCTGTCAGGGTTATGCAAGTACAGCTGCGCAACTCTCCCAAGTGTTTGGCTTGTGTTGGCTTACTGGGTGTTGTCAGTTTTTGTCCCTGCTCGCCTTCCCTTCCGTGGCGGACCGACTTAGGAGATTTCGCGCCTGGGGTCTGATGTTTGATCTCTCGTTTTGTGCGCTGGATCGCGACTGAAGAGCCGGGTATTGTACGCTATGACCGCACCGATTCGGGACTCTTGGCTGCAAGCGAGTGTGCCAGCAGGATAGGTATCCTGCAGGATTCATGAGCCCCCCCCCCCCGCGCTCGAGAAGTCTCATGGCCGAGAAAAATGATGACATTCGCAACGTAGTAACTTTTCGCCAACATCCGTAAAGCTTGCGGGTAAGGATGTCAAATCCAAGCGGTACCACCTGCAACAAACTCATGGGGACTCCTTTGTGGGCAGCTTCGAGGCGCGGTAGCAGCACTAGCAGCACTGGCAGCACTGAAATGATCAAAAGGTCGTTCTTGAGCAGTTGAAGGCTTCTCCGTCTTCAATCCTTTGGGGCGAGCTCTTTCCAGAGAAGGAGCTGGGTCAGCTGAGTGCAAAGCGAGTGCTGCTGGGAGTGGTTCGTGGGAATGCCAGCAAGTGCAAGTTCGTGCACAAGCGCAACGCGCAAACCGCTCAACCACAATTCACAGCACGTTCATGGCAGCACAACAGTAAGATACTCAAGGGCATAAACGAACTAGGAAATGATAACCAAGGAATGTAAGGAGTTGGCTCAAGCCGAGCATAAAATCTTGGCAGGACGGTGTTTTTGTTGGCAGTTTTCTTGCTCGTCTTTGCTTCTGTAGTCATTCTACTGTACCTACCCTGTACTGTTGCTCATTGTTGTTAGCACCTTCTCTGACGCCTCCCTCGTGATGTGGTAAGGCGCATTAAGGCACCGTCTTTTCCAGCTATTTTTGTCACCAGGACCGTGCTCTGAACCGGCCTTCCCTTTAACTTGTGTACTTGTACAAAGGTCCGAAAGGTAGAACCTGCCGCGCAAAACGAAAGAACGTTTTTACAATCCTATCTTCGATGCAGCTTGTTTACGGCAGCTCGACATTCAGGACGTCGGCAGTTGATTTGTTTCTTAACGTGAGAACCAGAAGTATCTATTCTTGGAGAGTTTATCTTGGCCCATTCGAGTAGTGCTGCGCTTGAAGATCTTTCGACACATAGAGCCCCGCAGGAGCGGAACTTCTTGCGTCAAGTTCTTGAAGAAGGAAACATGTCCTTCGGAGTAAGGCGTGCCGCTTCATCTTGAGAACAGCACGCGGAAGTATTGCAGCTACAAGTCTTGTGCGCAGGGATACTTTCCAGATGGAGTACCGGATTGCTTGGGAGCCCATCGCAAAGCAGCAGATGCAAGCTCGGGGCGAGACCCGAAGTCGAACGCTTGTTGTTGTCCATGTCCATGGCCTTTGGGCATTTGGGATTTCGCCGTGTTTTCTGAGTATTTTTGAGATCTGGGCTGTTGGGGGTGTGAGGTGCTTCAGAGTAGGTAGGGGGGGTGGGGGGTGTCGAGGGTTGGAGGGTTTGGTCTAGCAGTCTGGCAGGCTAGCACTGCTTATCAGTGCTTTTGCAGTGGGTGTTGGGCTTGGAGGGTTTGGGCTTGCGCTGCAGCATTGCGCAGCCTTTGGGGAAAACTTTGCGGGTGGGCACTGATGCTCCTTCCAACCCCTCCCGCCTTCCCAATCCCCCCCGCCCCAACCCGACACCAGGCAACCTGCAACACAAGCAGTAATTGCCAATCAGCTTGCTATGGGCCCAGACAACCGCTGAAGACCATCAAAAAGGTGTGATTTCACGTTGGTTCCGGCGAGAATGCACGCACTGACTTACCGTAAAGCAGATCAAGACATGTCTATGGCGATGCTGGCGGGGGTGGGGGTGGGGCGACTCCGGTGGGACGGTGACGAGGGCAGATGGCTTGTGTCGGCCCTGGTGTTGTTGGCAGCCGCAGGACCATCGATGGCAAGCTGGTGATCCTTCTTCATGGCTCAAATCTGAGAGTCTTCTTATTTTTTATCCTGGTAGAAGTTTGGTAGATCTCAGCAGATGCCCATGAGGTTTGTGTTGACTCCAAGACTCTAAGGGTACAGCGGCCGCATTACAAGTTCCTGGGGCTGGTCCAAGCTGGTGAAACCTTTATGGAAACAGGGCTTCACAGCTCTCCAGTGGCACTCAGAACGAGTTTAGGGCCAGTTTAGAACGTTGGGATGTTTAGGGTGGTTAGAGCGCTCGCAAAGAGGTGTGCCTCTTGGACATGCCTGGCTTCGGAAGGAGTAGCATCAACATGCTTCCCGCCAGCAGGAAGAGTGATGGTGAGTGCATATCATGCCCAGCAATGCTTTCGGCTTGACCCTTCGTGGCAGCTTGTCCTGGATATGTCTGCCCAGGAAGGTCCTACATAGCACGCCTTCAAACATGCAACGAGGTTAACTAAATGGTCTCTTCTTTCTTTGCAATTTCTCGACCTGTTCTTGCAGATCTTCAGCTGAAAAGAATCTAGATTGAGCTTAGCTGTGGCTGTGAGATTTTGGGGAGGAGGTGCCGTCACACAAGCTTGGCTTCCGCAGGCTCGCAAGGTACACATCGTCGCTCGGAGCTAGAGCAACAGAGTTGTGTGTCACAGTAGCCACAGACTCTGTTGCACTGTCGGCAAGGAACGGCACTTCTCTATGAACGACTGTAATGCTTCTAACGGAGTTACAAGGAAGCGACAGAACTCGGTTAGTTGGCGAGGTGATGCTATGATTGATGCTGGAAGTCTATTGAATAGGTAGTGTTTTTCATTATGTCTCTCCCTCTCTCATCTCTCCGTCTTCGGGCTTCTTTTGATTGCAAATGTTTGTGCGCACCACCTTGGCAGCCAGGCCGGCCCAAGCCACGGGACGTGGACGTCGGCGGTCCAAGCGGTGCACCTCGGAATTTCCAGTCCCCACCGTCGGGCTGCAAATGCAGAAAGCGACCACGGGTCGAGGAAAAAGATGCCGGAGAACAGCCGACCCGCAAAACCCGAAGCCTTGAGCCGGCATCGTTTGTGATCTTGGGGACGTGAAGCCATGTTTGCCTCGATTGGCAGCATGCAGTGTTATACATAGGCTTAGGGCTCCAAGCATTTCTGGGGACCTGATCTTGGTCCTATTACATATTTAACCGTAATTCGTTTTGCTTGTTTAGATTTTTGTTTGCTTGACAGCAAGTTGTTTGCAATGCCTAAGAATGTAGGCCGCTAGGTGCCATCTGTCTTTCGAAGCCCGTAGGTGATGCCATGACGTGCAGTTGTCATGAACACCTAAGGCGATGGAATGCGCCCTTGTCCAGCTGGCTGCGTGTCTGCAGTCCCTAAATCCCTACTAGCATGATCGGGCATGGGCAAAGGCAGCTGATTTGTGCGCATGGTCATGGGGTGTTTGTGTCAGGCTTTCTCAGACAAGATAAGGCAACATCTCGACTCTCTCGTGCTGTCGAAGTTCATTGAAGCAATGCGGTTCCGCAAGCCAACCAGGCAGCATTGTCACCGATATGACTGCAACGCGTTGCGTCTAATGATGACACCCTGCATCAGATTCGAGTTATGCGTGGCACGCGTGCGAAGCATGCAAGGGACGTTTCTATTGCCTTGCAAAACCTCAGTGGGGAAAGTGCAGCAAATCATCGATATATTCAGTACCATACAGTCTCAGAAGCGGCACAGAGAAACAACGAGAGATCCCACGCTCACGATGTGCAGTCAGTGCCCTTTGTTCCTGAGAGAAGTAAAATGCAGCACCTACTCCTGAAGAGAAAGAGTGGCAGAGATGCCACTACCACACTTTCGTTCATCTGTGCACCCCGTCAGTTTGGTCTCCTACCGCGAGTCTTGCCAAACGGCACTGCGGGTCTGCCGGGATTCACCGCACCTGGTCTCACACCAGCGCCTGGGCTGCACGAAGCTGCAGCCATCCGTGTTTTTCTTCTATAAAACGCACAGAGAACTCCACTAGCGCCCTCTGATCTCTTGCGAGGCACGCTCTGATTGATCCCATCTTCACCCTGGACGACATTTTCCCACTGGAGGCACCATACGGAGCCTTGAGCAAGGAATGGATCGCGGAGAAACCAGGCTGGCCAATCCGGACAGTGGGCGGTTGTCGGTTGCCGGATGAGAGCTGTTTTGCCTTTCAGTGCAGGCAAGCAGGCTGTGGAGTTTGACAAGTTCTTGGGGAAACTTGGGCAAGAGCCTGCTTGTTCTTCTTGATCTGTGGAACCCGGCCCACCGTCTGATTGTGGTTGCAGCTTGCTCAGGAGAAGCAAGACATTCCTGTGGACCATCTTCACTGGTGGCTCGTGCTGCAGTGTGACTTGTTCTGCGCGTGCTATTTGCAGGATCTAGCTGCTTGTTCAACACTTTGAGGCAAGTCAGATACGGACCCTGGTCGTGAGGCCTTGCAGGCTGGCTGACTAGCTGACGAGTCGAGAATAGAGAAAATTTCGAGATCTTCGCTTCAGAGAGGGTGTGCTAGGAAAAAATTACTTTGCAAGCTTCCCACCAACCTAGTCGTGTAGCCTGGGTGGTGCGCTGATGTTTGCTGATGTGCGCCCTGCTCTGGCAGGCAGTGATGCGTCTCAGGCAGCACCTGTCCATGCGGATCTGCATATCCCATGTCACAAAGGCTCGCTCGACCCGCTTGCTGCCTCTTCTCTCGCTTCTTTCTCTTTTCCCTGGCAGCATGCTTTGTTGCCAATGTAACAGGAGTTCATCTCTGAAGCTCGAGCAGGAACCAACGGAGCTAGTTCTAACGCCCACGTGTCCTATGCTTATTTCACTCTGACCTGTGTGGTGCGAATCTGCAAGCTGCAAGTCCATTGGGCGGTGCAACGTGGCTGGGGGCCCTTCATTCTTTTCTCTTCTCTGAGGCTGTTCTTCTGCAAGTGCCCTCTGAGGGACTCTGATCACGAGTGCATGGACGCAGCATCCACAGAGCATGTCGGGTGTCCACAAATTCGCAAAGGTACATAAAGGACAGGCTATCCGCATTCCTTGCAGGTGTGGAGAAGGCCCTTGTGCCCCACACTCTCACATTGCGTGCGATGTCCACCACAAGTAGCCTTTTTTTTCTGTAGTTTTTCCAGGCGCCGAAAGAGATCCCGCCATGGGCATTGGAGGCCCCTTCCTGTGGCGGTGTCACCAGGGTCACACATACCATCACAGCAGTGTGTCACAGCCGTGTCACACCGTGTGTCACACCATGTGTCACACCATATGTCACACCATCAAAAGCGGATGGTGCGAAGCAGGTGACCTCTACCACGGCGTCAAGCTCCATCGGCTCCAAGTCTCTTCCAAGTGTCCTTCTCAGGTCTCGGAGGCCGTCTTTGGAGTACTGACCCTCCCACAAAAGGTGTACGTTCAGACTGCTCTTCTGAGGTGTGGACTCTCCAGCGGGCAAGGTTCCATCCGTGTGATCAGTGATCGCAGTGATCGCCCATGTCGGATGTGCGGCCTGGAAGGCCAGAGCCTTCAACGCATTGGAGACAGTGCAAGAAGTGGCGGAGGCACACCGGCACACCCCAGAGCTCTCCAGACATTCTTGAGAGCTTGGCACCAGCTTGGCTTGGACAGGTGCTCTCAAGATGTACCACGGCAAAGCAGGAATCGCGGCCACAATCACCTACCAAGGAGGCGTGGTTTTCCCGACATCTCCTCAATTTGGGGGATAAGGCGGGCACAATCCCTTTGATTATTGTTGTGACTGTTTTTCATATGATTGTTAGTGGCATGTTCTCCTCGGGGCATCTCTCCTAGAAGATCGCCCAGACGGTCCCGTGCACTCCTTGCAGTGCCCCCCCACAGATGATCCTCGAGATGCCCATAAAGCCATAAAACCACGCAGGGCGCGCCAATGAATTGATGAATTGTAAACGCGGAGGACTTCGCAGAACTTCCAACCTTATGCAGCCTGAATACAATCTTCATACCCATCCCTAAACCAATTCACCCTGGCTTACAGCAATCAAAACACGTTTCTACCAGGAAACAGAACCTCCCAGACCGGCAAAAGTTGAGTTCAGGCAGGCGATTTTGTGGGTGAGCTGCACATGGACAAGCTGGAGAAGCGTTCTCTTGCTGTTCCACTGCCAACATTGCACCTAGTCGGAAATCGATGGTGATGAATGCCGACTCCTTGTTCGTGCTTCCTCCGCGCTACTAAGGCCCATGCAGCCAAAGGGAAGCCAGACGCATGCTCAGTCGTACGAAAGTTGCCAGTCGCATGCTCTAAGCATGTGCTTCGTGATTGTCCGAAAACTTGGAGGTTTGCAAGCTCCAAAGGCTTTAGGGAGACTGTCAACCTGCGCGAGACATTGAGGACAAGCGGGTCATGATGGCAGAACGCTGTGCAAAGAGGGAGAGAGCGAAAGAGAGATTAGGGAACGAGTAGCCACTGCCTGTTGAATGACACAACGGGCCAGTTACGGATGACTAGGACAGATGCAGGCAGCTCGAAGGGGTTTCGAGATCGAGCAGCGGCGCACGTCCTCATGAAGACTTGTCTTGAATTAAGTCTCTCTTCGGAGGTTGCTTGTTGTTCCCTGCATTCTTTCTCAAAGCCGCAGAGTTCCAAGAAGTTCCGCGTGTGTAAGGAAACACAAGCATCGCTCTGCAGCTTCCTTGGGAATGAGCCGTGACTTGGGCAGCAGTGGGTGGCATTCTGCCAGGCTGTTCTTTGAGTTGGACGCAAGGATTCTTTGCAAAATGTGCTATCTGTGACCACCAAGAAAGGATACGGAACTACCTTCCTTGCCCAGACTCGATCAGAGCCGAAGCTTCAGGAGAGCAATGCGGGGCCGTTCAGGTATTCCAATGTATTTCACCTCTGTTCACCTTCACCCGACTTGTTGCTTCTTGCGCTTCAAATGCACGTCGCAAGGACTATGGCAGCGTGGGCCCAAAGGGGCCTGAGCAAGTGTCGATGACAGGGCGCAGAGAAGCCTCGGAAGCAGGTCCACCTGTGGTAGTCAGTGTTGTGTCTTGCGTTGAAGCCGGATTGTGAGTCAACACACTCGCACCCGACTGCACCGTACTCGGGTGCAAAAAAAACACAACACCATGGCCGGGCAGTTTACCTAATTCCTGGAGCTTGGCCCCCGAAATAGTGCCGCCGAAGGTCACGATCTGAAATCGCTGTTTATGAATGTGGGGGGGATCACCGTTGCTGAGGGTTGTGTTCCTGGTGACTGTCGATTTGGCCCATCAATGGTTGAGGGGGCTGCCTTTAATCAAGGACGGGCTGCTAATCCTGGCCGAAGCCCTGATTTGCAGGCCTGCCCAAAATCGGTCGTGCACACAAGGCCGGGGGGGTGGGGGGGTTGAAAGTGTGCAGCAAGCAGTGTCTCAAAAGCTGGTTCTCAATCGCCATGTAGTAGTACGCAGCAAGTACTCAGTAGAGGGTGGTGAGGTAGTAACGTTCCACCCCCAGAGCTCCGCAGGCCCCTCGACGAACTGCAGGAGGGCTGGTCTCAAGGCTGCAAATGTCGCACAGTTCAAAGGGCCAAGGGAGCCCCGAAAACCTCTTTCCACACGTCGTTTCCACGCGTCGTGCCAAGGTGGTCTGCCGAGCAGAGCTTCCACCGCCTCCTTTCAAGACGGAGGCACGTTGCCATTCGCTGTTGTGATATAGGTCGTGATGTGGGTTGGGGTTGTCAACGTGTTTCAGGCCGTGAAATGCAGCATTACCAGATGTGCCTCCAAAGCAACTGAACAACGACGCTAGGCCTCAATGCCTCTCAGAAATCGGCTAAGCTTTAAGACCTTTTTGAGTTGTGGGACTACTTGTGGAATGTTTTGTCACTTAGGACTCGAGGATCCCCAACCGATTCGACATCGGCTCATTTGCAGCTCGCCTGAGTGTTGAGAGAGGACGAGTGACACTGAGTGAGAGTGGTGCGCTTGAAATTTTGCCCCCAGCGAAGGCCCGGCCAGAAAAGCGAAGGAAGCTGTTGAGGCTTTGGGCTACAGCTACTCACCTCGCACGGCCCAGGCAAAACCATCAGCCAGAGACCCAAAGCCTGTGCGTTTGAGGAGGATACTGTGAAACTTTATCTTGGCAAGGTCAACGAGGTCTTAGAGGAGCTGAAGGGGAAAATCCCAAATTTTTAGCGTGTGTGAACATGAACATGAATAGAAATTATGACTGCCTGCATTGGCCGCATTGGCAGTGACAATCAAAAGGTATGTCCAGGTTGACGTCGGTCAGCCATCAAAGATGGCTGACCTTCTTCAACGCATCGCCTACAACTTCTCTTGGAAGGCAGTCTTTCCCGAAAGGGTCGCCTGTCGCACCCTGTCGTCTGCTGCCAACAAGGGATCCATTGCCAAAGGCAATATAAGAATGTAGTGTGAGTGCTGCTCTCGCGCATTCAGACTTGCGCTGCAGCTTCGGATTATGCTTGAGGCATGTGTTCCTCCATGTGTATAGAGCAAGGGCTTTGTGCGCGAAAACCGTAACAATCGACGGTCGCAGTGGGTCAAACACGGCACATTTTTTGATCAGCAGCCGCTTCAATACTTGCAGGTCCTTCAAGAATGGCCTGATGGCCGGTTCATCCAGGCTGCTGACTGGCCTCGCAAGAGTGGTGTCACGACGTGAGCTCGTCTTTTGTGTGCTAGGCTGTGTCGCTTGCACGGTTTCATCCGAGCGTTGAGGAGGAATTGCAGGCCCCGAAACATGCGGCGGCTTTTACATGAAGCTTGCCTTTCGTGACTTTTGAAATGTCTCTGTAGTGCTGGCAGGAGGGCTTGATGAGCTGCTTCTCACAGGAGTTGGAGCTTGGTGCTAAGATTCCCCCCGATGCCTTTGTGAAGCGGGTGTGCCTTTATGTAATATCCCAGGCCGCAGAATGCAAAACAGTCAGCAAAGCCCAAGAGACGAAGGGCGACATGGCAGCAAATGGCAATTAATGGCAGCAAAGGGAGGAGAGGAGTGGATGAGGTTCTGATGCTTAGCCCTGCTGGATTGTGTTGGCTGAGGCTCTGCGCCATTCTGTCGCAAATATCCATCTGGGAGAGGAATCGAAGCCTTCGCTCCTCCTGGAGGTCAGTAGCTCAGCGATGCGTCCCATCCAAAAACTTTTTAGCACAGGATTGTGCTGTTTCAGGATGTCAGGCTCCCCACGGAGGAACTCCCTCGAAATTTTTTTCCGCTCGAGGCGCCTCGAAAAGGGAAGTGTGTGAAACATTGTGAAACCGCGCATAAAGTCTGCACGGCATAGGAATCCAGAATTTGCTGTACGTTTGTAGTCGGCCGGTGGAGCCTCAACGTTTCTTTTTCGCATCCCTGTTTCACCCTCTTTCCACTCCCTGGCTTCCTTGCATTTTTCGCAGTTCTCCTGCCTGCCATCTCTGCCTGCTTTTCTCAATTCTTTTCCTCTGTTTCAGGAAATCCTTTCACGCAACATCTTGTGGTTGGTGGCGCGGCTTGTGTGCAAATTGGCCGTGCCCCTGCTACGCAATGCTGAATCCTTTACCGCATTGACAGGCGTGCCCGACCTGCATCGACCAAGGACCTGACACCTGCACCGCCGGGACTTGGGCAGGCACGATGCCGCACAGAGTGCAGGGGAAGAAAACTCTCCATCAACACGCCAGCACATCTGGAGGAGAAGTCGGCTTCGGTGGGAGGCGACGCGGGAAACAAGCCTTGCCGTTAGAATGTTGGCATATTTTTTCGATGATAGAATCGCACTGCCGCGATGAACTGGCAGAGGAACACCTGGTGCCATGGACACACTCGTTGCTGGGATGGGGAGGCCAAACTTCTACTTAGGCCCTTGAACGCTGCCGAGAGCATCACATCTCACCAAAACATCACCAATGCATGGCTCGCAGATGCTCGACGGAGCTCTCATAACGAACGCTCGCGAAATGAACTGAAATGAACGAAGAACCGAAGGTAACCCGACCAGCCAGCTTCAAGAACCCAATATGCATGACTTGTGATCAGGAATCTAACTGGCACGCGCCACACCACTTTGCATCAAGCTATCGCAATGGTCTTATGGAACATGGCGGTTGGTTGTTTCAGTGCTGGGAGTGTGTGGAGTCCGCGCCGATGCTTGCCGAGTGCGAGCTACAAGCCTCCATTGCTCTCTGAACAGCAACCGGCGCAAGCACATCATCTTCCCCGCCTCGCGCAAATCGCGAAGAAAGCGGAGGTCTCGCCACGTGGCAGCGGCTTTCTTGCAGGTTACACGATGGCATTCGTCCTGCTTGTCAGAGGCTTCAAGGGAGGCATCCTGGCCCACAGCAGACAAGACAGGCGACTGTCTGTGCGACGCAGTCAGGACGAAGCTGAGAAAGCAGAGGGTACAGCGGCTACAGGGGCTTCGGTTCCTACAAGGATGCAGTTGCTCAAGTTTGCGGCGCCTTTGGCGGCAGTGAGTGTCACAGGCCCCATCCTCTCAACAATTGACACCTCTTTTGTTGGACGATGTGCTGGAACGGTGGAGTTGGCAGCGCTTGGACCTGCTTGTACTGTCACTGACCTCATCTACTTGATCTGCAGCACAGTTTCAACCGCAGCTATCAATCTTTACGCAAAAAGCGCGCAGGATGAGCACAAGCTCAGAAGATTCAATGCGACGTGCCTCTCAGTTGCCTTCTTTGTGGGAGTGATTGCTGCTGTGGTCTCCCTAACTTGTGGCGAGCAGCTGCTGCGGGCTCTTGGAGCTATGCCCGTGATGATGGGAGTGGCACGCAAGTATGTAGTTGTGCGGGCTCTCGGACTTCCACTGGCTAGCATGGCCTGTGCTATGTATGGGCTTTGTGTTGGTCGGGGAGACACGCAAACACCTTTAGCTGTACAAGTCTATTTGTCCGCTTTGTTGAATGTTTGCTTTGACTGGCTACTCTGTGCGATCCTGCCGTGGGGAGCAGCCGGGGCTGCTTGGGCAACGGTTGCGGCTCAGGCCACCAGCTTCTGCGCGTACTTTCTGTTAATGCGCAGAAAGGGCCAGCTACCGTTGCCGAGCGCGGAAGAGTTCTTACCAGATTTCGCCGAGATGAAGCCGGTCTTTGCAATTTTCCTTCCCGTCTCTTTCATTGTGGTGTGCGTCCTCTCTATGTACGCATGCATGTCAGGGTTTGTGAACAACACGCAGCCGTTACCGATGATTGCGGCGTACAAGATCTGGATAACCGTCTTTGCGTTCTTTGCTTTATGTGCAGACCCGATGGCAGCTGCAACCTCCACCAAGCTTCCTCCATTCATTCTCGAAGGATCCAGCCAAAAATCACGGCTTTTTGTCCGTCGAGCCATTACCTGCGCTGCCGGAGTTGGGGCGATGGGAGGTGCCTCGGGCATGTCACGCGCAATAACGACTCTAGTGCACCTTAGTGCAAGCCGGGCTTGAGTTGTTTGGTTTTGCTTGAATAAAAGGTTCTTGTCAGACGATGCGTGGCAAGCAGCGCTTTTATGGTTTGTCAAGAGGTAAGGGGGGGGCATTTTACTTTGCAAGTTATACACGGGGGTTTATTTGAAATGTTCCACAATAAAGGATTCTGTAGTATGTGTGTGGGATTGAATTGACGCACCAAGCACGTTTGCAAGCTTCAAGCATGCTTGCGTGTGCTCATGCTTGCTGAGATGCATGCTTGCTGACACCCCACACTTGTGCGCGGTCCAATGCCAGAACGTTGTGTTTATGCTGTCAAGGGCGGGGCTTTCAGAACTGGAAAGCTCACACCCCTTGGGCGGCAAGAGGGGGGAAGGTGGGAGCACAGGGAGTGAGACTGATGCACCAGCGTCAAGGTACAAGATCGTGTACGCATGTGCACCTCCACCAAAATACAGGGGATGCCTGTAGCTGCCCTCGACAGCTCAAAATGCCACTGTATTGTTTTCACACTGATGCTGAGGTCTTCTTGGTGCAGCCGTCTTAAACTTCGCGCCAGGCGTCTTTACCCAGGATGCGACGGTCATGGAGGGTGCCAGAAATGGGTTGTTTCATTTTGTTGCGTGCCTTGGATATGAGTTACGTTACCATCGAAGGCAAGACTCATCCAACAATCTTGAGGGACAACATGCCATGCCCCCTGATACATTAGTGATCAATGCCGGTCAAGGTGCGTAAACGGCAGCCCGACCCAATCGTGCGTGCAAGGAATCACTTGTTTTGCTACTTGAATGCTACCGCTTCAATTCAAGGATTCTTTGCTTCATGCACCCCACTCGGGTGTGCCAGAACTCACTTGTTGTGCACGGTGACCTTGTCTTCTACGTCATTGCCCAAACTTGTTTGTCCCTGCTCTTCTTCGCCGGCCTAACGTTGCTGGCGGGCAGGCCGGAACGGTAGAACTGTATGCGTTTTTGAGGCGTTCGGGCACTGTCGAGAATCTTGAGAAGACTCCCTCAGTTGTCTCATTCCCTGAAGGTGCGTCGCAGGAAGCATCTCTGCCTACCGCAGCATGCTGACTGCCACGCTGATCTTCTACATGGCCAGTCTTAAGACCTACGGATTCCGCGTGCGGTATTTGAACCGCAGAGTCCGCATCAAAGATTAGGCTTAGTGGGCCAAGTGCTGCAGAGAGGCAAAAGGAATCGCACGTGTCGCCCCTGCTTTGCCCGTGTGGCCTGTCTGGCACACCTCACAGACATTAATTAGACGAAGTCTTGGCGCTGCAGGAGCACCGTTCTGGTCAGCCTTTCCCTACGCTCGTCTGGCCTGAGGGATCAAGCTGTCTTCCAGCTTCCTGGCTGGAGCTGATTGCGTGCTGTGTGTCCCGCTGCTAGGATTTCAAGGGTAAGCAGCCCAAGAAGCATAGAGAGGAAAGGAATCGTGTCAGAGCCCCCTCTGCTTTTCAAAGGCTGGCCGCAGCTGCTTTGAGCTCAGCATCTTTGCATTTGCGGCCCATGGATTTCTTGCAGCCTGGCTCGGGGGACCTGTCCGTGGTAGTTCCTTCTTGCACTGGCAAGGTTGCGAGATGTCAGACGCCAAGCCCCCAGCAGCCAAGGGCAGCGCAGCTCCGGACTGTGCTAGTTGGGCTAGGCAGAGCTTTCGGGTACCTCTGTTTTTCACGATGGCTCTCTACGCCTTATATTATGCCGCTCTGCCGCTCTGCCTTGCTGAGGTTGCGCGAGCTTGACCTCAGCGACAACAACTTCGGAGCCAAGGGAGCTGCAAAGGCCACGGTCTTCTGTTAGAACCGAGTCAGACCCTGCGCACTGTCTCGTGGCTGTCTCCTTGTGCTTTCAGACTAGCAGGCGGTGGGCTCTGATCGCCCCCGGCAAAAATATGCCCAAACGGAAGACTTCAGAACTCCAAACCCTACACCGGAACAAGTGCTGAACGAATGGATCCTCCCGGGCCGCTTCTCCGACTTGATACCTCCAAGACATTGCTACGTACTTCAACAACGATTCCCCCGTGTTGCCTTGGCAGGTGCTTCATGCTGGCAAAGACCACTTGGAAATGCTGGACCTTAGCCAAGCTCTCAGCCATTCTTATAGTTATGCTTAGGCCCCCTGACTCAGATATCCTGGGTGTGATGCTTGGTGATCGTGGGTCTCAGGCCGGAACCGGTTGGGTGATGTTGGCGCCAAAGCGCTTGCTGAAGTTCTTCTAAATTGTGCGGTGCTGAGTGGCTGACTGTACTGTATTGCATGTGTTGCAATGTGCTGCGTGTGTTGCGTGTGCTGCAAGTGTTGGCTGCGCAAATCGGAACCTGGAGGCCACAGCATCTCAGTTCTGCGGCTGAGGGCTAACGGTGCCATGCCCTTGCCCGGAAGCATACATAGGCGAAGGTGAGGTTGAAATCTAGGGTGTTGTCAGGATTGGTAGGCACCTTTCCAAAATAGCTTCCTTGTTGGCTTGCTGCTACTAGTAGATCTTCATGTTTGTAGGTATTGGCGAGGAGGGTGGTGAAGCTTTGGCAGAATCCCTGATGCATGCGCCTCAGTAAACCGCCAGTAGCATGCTGTTGCCTTAGCACATGTTCTGTGACGTCACTGCCAAGGTTATGACTCATCCCTGGATCCTAGGTTAGGGGGAGTGGAGGTGGGACACCGGGTGCCGGAAGCTGTTTGGGGAGTGTTTCAATCAGCGAATCAGCTCCCGGCCCCTTATGAATGAACTTGGACACTCTCTGGCAGAGGCAAAGAATGACAACGGAAGTTTATTAGACCGCGCTCTGCCCCCTGATGCGCTCACAGCTTCCCCTTCCCTCCCGGCCCTTCACAATACGCGGCGACCATTTAAGAGTCTACCAGTGTACCTTCCTCCTACCTTCTCGTTTGGTGAGTCGCCTGTTGATTCAGTGACAATGGCGGATCTGGCCTTTCTCGGCAAATGGCGGCAACAGTTGGAAGTTGGAGAAACAATCCCATCCAAAAAGCCCGACGTGTGCTGCATCTCATGCGGGGTGGCCATTTTGACTCGTAAGGTCAGTCACCTCCTTGCGAGAAGTTGACTTCTCACAGAACGAGGCCTGGCTTGACAGCGCCAGGATGCGCAATGACATGCCGCCACAGCAACCCAATTGGTAAGCATGTTCAGATCAACGTTCAAACATCAGCGGTGATGCTCCGCGCCGGCACCTTTGCAGTTGCATCGCGAAGCAATGTGCTTTGAGCACTTTCTCTTGTTCAACTTCTTGACCGTGCTCTTGCGTCGGGGTCTCCTCTGCTTGGCCCTCTCTTGTTGGCCCGCTGAGGCCACGTGTGCATCTCGAGGCCTTCAAAGGCGCGCCTTTTTGTTTGGTGCACATTTCTACTGAAAGTTTGAAGGCTTTGCAGGTTTTCCCAACTCTCTTGTGTGTTGATTTTTGTGTCTTGTGCTGCGGCTTCAGTTCAGTTTGTCGGTTGGCAGTGCCCGTCTGCAGGCTCCGACTTGACAGTAATTTGCCGTGGCCGACAAGTGACAGCTTTGAGGCCAGGCACGACAAGCTTCTCACCTGTGTCACCAGAATGCAGAATGCAGCTACTCGCTGGTGCCTGTAGGTTCACATTGCAGCTTTCACCGATCAGCTCGGTCGGCTCCTCGCGCAAAACGCAAAGGAAACAGCTGCGACTGCTAGCTTCTGCATAACCCGACGACAGCCCAGCTGAGGTGGCCTGCAGGCAGTGCCGTCACTGCAGCTGCTGAGTCTGAGGCCATGGCTTCTTTGGACTTGTGGAAATGTTGCGCATTGTTGCGCATTGTTGCGCATTGCTGCGCATTGTTGCGCATTGCTGCGCATTGTTGCAGTTCAGAGCTGGTGCGACTTCTCGACCCGGCATGGCCAACTTAGTGGCCCGGCTTTTGACAGGCGCTGTGGGCTCTCAACATCTGCGTGCAAGCTCTTTGAATCGTTGGCAACGAACTCTGCCCGGCTCCCAGACTCCAGATATCCCGCCAGGACATGTTTTCTTTAGATCCAAAATGCACTGGCTGAAGCTCCAAGACCCTCCGGCAGCTCAATGTTGCTTGCAATGGATTGCGGCAGGCCTGCATGCTGGGGTTTCAAGTCCCAGTCGGACTGTCAACGCCGTTTTTGCTAAAGTCTTCTGGATATAGAGGAATTTGAGGAGGTCAATTGGTGGTGACAAGCGTCAAGCTGCATCAAGCTGTGCGTCAGGGCGTGGCGCCCAAGATCGTGGCGACACTCACATCCCCCAGTACGGGCCTCGAGGCCTGGAAGATGCTGGAAGTGGATGGCGCATGGCATGTTGGGTTTTCGTGTTGCAGCGTTGCTGCCATTGAATGTTGCTTGCTCTGAACGCGCTGACTTCTCTTCATTCTTCTTTGATGGCAGGAACTCGACCTAAGGGACAATCGGCTTGGTGTGCAGGATGCACTTGCAATAGCTTTGGAGCAGGCCGGTTCTTAGAGTCAAGAGACCAGGCAGCTCACGGCAGATCTCCCGACGTGTCATCGAGTGTCTGCTCGCCAGGCTTGCCCAGCTGCACCTCAGGCTCCCCAGCTGGTTACAAATTTACTAGGCAATACAAGGTAAAGGGCGGTATGTCGCGTTGCTGAGACGGAAAAAGGCATGACAGCACCGGTGTTTGCTTGACACTTGATGTCAGGATGCGAACTGCACCATGCGACCACGGGAGCGGGAGCTGGGCCCAACGATGTCAGGAATGCCACGGAATGTTTTGTGGTTTTGCCTGTAAGCCCTGCATCCCAGGCCACATCAGAGGAGTTCGAGGCAATCGGAACGCTTTTACTACTATTTCGCTTTCCATTGCTTTGATATGCCCAGTGATTGACCCGCCTAGTGCACAGAGGCAACTGAGCCTTGCTTGTTCAGCTATCGTCAGCAGGGTTCCAGGTAGCAGTTGCAAACAGCACAAGGCAGGAATTCGGGGCAGGCAGATCCAGAGCCTCCGAGCCGCGGGCGGAACAACTGCTTGCGGTTACTCGTGGGCGCTCTCAGATATCATCACCATTCATCGCCTGTAGTAGGCCTGTAGTGCATTGTTGTGCCCGTAGTTCCTTTGGAATCTGATCTCAGAACTTGGCAAACAACGAGATCACTGCGGAAGCGGTCTCGAGGCCACGCCCAAAAGAGTTGCGCGCGTTCAACTGGTTAACGCATCGTGCAGGTTTACGGTGGCCTTGCCCTTCTTCCACGCCCTGGAGGACTTCCAAGTTCGTGAGCCGAAGGAAATTTAAGCAATCGCTGTTGCACACGAGGAGCTCCTGCTGTACCACAATCCCTTGATAGGGGACGCTGGAGCCCAGGCACAAAGCGATTACATCGCCTCAGCAATGAGATTGTTGTCACCCAGGTTTGTGTAAAATATGTATGCCAACCGAGAAAAAGGGGAGGTCACAGCGGCCCGTAGCTCGACTGTTTCCTCCCACCTTATGGGGCTCTACCATGTATTCTTTGAGGTTTGGGGACTCGTTTAAAGATCTTCTAAGGTAATTTAAGGGCCATATTAGGAGTATATCAAGGGAACCAATATCAAGGGAACCTCCTAGGGGGACATCCTTAGGGGTCCAAGTTTGATTCCCTTGAAAATTGGGGGAATGAGCTTCGTTGGGATACCACCGAGCACAACCCGGAATCGAGCCTCATTAAGCAGAGTACTGGCCAGCAGTGCGGTGGCCACTGTCAGACACCATTGCCTCATGTCCGACGGACAACTGAGTCGGATCTGTAGCTCAGAGCATACTGCATTGCATGTCGCAAATGTCGCGTTGCAGGCGCTGGCTGAGATGCTGAATCCTGAGACCTGGCCGCTGCGGCCTCAGTGTGCTTCTTGGAGATCCTTCACCTGCGATGCATGTTCTATCATGAACTGAAGGTCAGGCAAAGGCCTCAAGACCCTCAGCTTGGCCGCGTGCAGTATCGGGGACGTCCGTGTCTCGTTGTCCATATCGGGAGCTTTCAAGTGGAAAGAATGCGAATGATTTTGATTGGTTTGTTTTGTAAGGCTGGATGTCAATCCCTCATGGCCGCAGTCCGCGACTCTCAGGAGCCTTCTCTCTCACCTGTCAGTGTGCAAGCGGTAAACCAGCAACCCGAAGACCCGAACTGAAGGGTAGGGGAAGGGGGAAGGGGGTTGGGCACGAAGGGAGCGGGGCTCGTTGGAGCCTTTTAACCTTTCTGGAGGGTGTAGGTTGTACAGGGTGGGGGGGTAGGGAGGGGGCGGGGTAGGGCAGGGGGCCCTTAAAATTTATCCACCTGCCTGAAGCCTTGTCTGGGTTGGGCTGTGGGGGTAGGGGTGGGGCTGCGCTGAAGGCTATGTAGCCTTCTTGTCATTGCCGGTAGGGGGTAAGCGGTGAGGGTAGAGGGTGAGGGGAGTCGAGAGGGGAGATGGGGCAGCGAAGCACTGACTCCGCCCCCGCTGCAGCAGGGGTCGGCGGATATTGTGTACATAAATATGAATACATATAATGCATGTGTACTGAAAAGTTTATCTAGTTTTATATTTATAGCAGATAGTTAGTTATAGCAAATATTGTATTTTATATGTGTATATATATACACTACACATGTACTACATATGTGTATATTCAGGATTGTACGTATGTATGCATGTATGTATGTATGTATGTACGTATGTATGTATGTAGACGTATGTATACATATGTATACATATGTGTACATATGTTTGCATATGTATACACATTAAACACGTAAATGCATTGTATCGAAACAGCATGCAACAAAGTATGTCTATATTGTTTTCAGAACATGTCGAATATGTAGTTTATGTGTATTATTTTCAGTGTATGTGTATAGTATTATATGCACAAAATACAGTGCATATACATGTATATAGAGTCACCTACAACCTATCCAGATTTATACACACACAAGAGCGCATAGCATTCTGTCAAGGCTCTGACTTCGTTGGACTTGTCCTGCAACTCCATTACGGATGATTCCACACCCGCAGTATCTTTGGTGCCGGCCTTGCAAATCTCCAGCCTTCCTTGGCCTGGTGGGTTGACAAGCCAGCAAAGCTTCGCTAAAGTTAAGTTCTTGGCGAGGTGCTGGCACACTCCAACTCGGCTCTGGAATCCTTGGGGCTCTCCATGAACTTGATCAGTGTGTCTCTGAGATTTGGCCGAGTCTGGTCCATTTTTCCAAGTTACGCTGTGGTTCGTGAATGGCCACTGAACTGCGATTTGCATTGGGCATGTGCTATATGGCAGCGTGGCATACGGCGAAGGCTCGTACGGCATCTCCCAGCTCATGGATGGGGTACCCCTGCCATGCAGTGATGTGACAAATATTGATAACATTGCCAGATGTAATCTTAAGGAGCTGCATAGGGACGAGAGTTTAGCACGCCTCTGGTGGAATTCTACGAGGGATCACAAGGACCAAGGCGTCTTGCCAAGTGTTTTCATCCAACCCTGTCCAGCCGGAGGGAGTGCGGGGTGCCTGGTTCGTACCCTACCCTACCCATATATATATATATACACACACACCCCCCCCCCTTGGTGAACTGTGCATGTGCGTGATGCTGTGGACGGGCGGTGCTGGAGCCCAAAAGCTTGGACTGTGTCAGCTTTGCTGGTTTGGGCTGGCCATCCATCTGTGAAGGGTCAGCGGACAACTAGTCTTAGAAATGAGTAGTAGTATTAGTAGTCGTCGTCGTCATCGTCGTCGTGGTGTCGTCATCGTCGTCGTGTCGTCGTGTCGTCGTGTCGTCGTGTCGTCGCGTCGTCGCGTCGTCGCGTCGTCGCGTCGTCGTCGTCGTCGTGTCGTCGTGTCGTCGTGTCGTCGTCGTCGTCGTCGTCGTCGTCGTCGTCGTCGTCGTCGTCGTCGTCGTCGTCGTCGTCGTCGTCGTCGTCGTCGTCGTCGTCGTCGTCGTCGTCGTCGTCGTCGTCGTCGTCGTCGTCGTCGTCGTCGTCGTCGTCGTCGTCGTCGTCGTCGTCGTCGTCGTCGTCGTCGTCGTCGTCGTCGTCGTCGTCGTCGTCGTCGTCGTCGTCGTCGTCGTCGTCGTCGTCGTCGTCGTCGTCGTCGTCGTCGTCGTCGTCGTCGTCGTCGTCGTCGTCGTCGTCGTCGTCGTCGTCGTCGTCGTCGTCGTCGTCGTCGCGTCGTCGTCGTCGTCGTCGTCGTCGTGTCGTCGTGTCGTCGTGTCGTCGTCGTCGTCGTGTCGTGTCGTCGTGTCGTCGTGTCGTCGTGTCGTCACGTCGTCGTGTCGTCGTCGTGTCGTCGTGTCGTGTCGTCGTGTCGTGTGTCGTCGTGTCGTCGTGTCGTCGTGTCGTCGTGTCGTCGTGTCGTCGTGTCGTCGTGTCGTCGTGTCGTCGTGTCGTCGTGTCGTCGTGTCGTCGTGTCGTCGTGTCGTCGTGTCGTCGTGGTCGTCGTCGTCGTCGTCGTCGTCGTCGTCGTCGTCGTCGTGGTGGTCGTCGTCGTCGAGGTCGTCGTCGTCGTCGTCGCCGTCGTGTCGTCGTCGTCGCAGCAGCAGGAGGAGGAGGAGGGGGAGGAGGAGGGGGAGGAGGAGGGGGAGGAGGAGGGGGAGGAGGAGGGGGAGGAGGAGGAGCCGAAGTCCGGTCCATCCATCGCTATTCTGAGACTTAGAAAGAACGGTACGGCGTTAGTCCTGCGCCATATATGCTGATGAAGCGCTGGGTTTGGCAGGTCGCCCGCAATATTGAAGGCTCACTATGTGAGATCGATGTGTCGACACAGGCCATGCGGCAGCTAGCATTGCAACGTGGTGAAGAACACGGAGATGTAGTGATGTATCAGCCCATCCGCTGTGCAAATCTTTCCAGGAGGGTGGCCAAGGCAGGACCAGCTTTGTGGACAACGATGCATTGAGCCTCCGACTTAGTCTCGTTGCCTACACACAGTTGTGCAACAAGTGCAACTGACATACGTCGTGCGATGTCGTGCGCATGTCACCAACGTGACAGCAGTATCGAATCGAGGAAGGTGTACCAGGTGTTGAAATCTCGTCTGTTGTGAGCCAGTGGACCATCACTGTCCTGACCAGAGAAATATTCTGCTGCTTTCAGCTGCGACAAGGCCCTCGAAGCAGCAGCAAGGCACTCTTGCCTGTTGTGCGCAATGGGAGGGGCAGATCGGCGGGTTGATCTGTGTGATTCCTGCATCATGTTCAGAAGCTGTGTAGCTCCTCTCTTCTGGCGCAGGTAAGGTCCAAGTTTCAAGGCCTGCGCTGAAACGAGGCGAGTGACAAACTGCTGGACACAGGGTTGAAAACACACTGTGTGATGTTTTACGCTGGCCAGGCGAGGGTCAACTGCTGCGACACATGTGACTGTACAGCTCTCGAGCTGCAAGACGCAGCTCTTGCCATCCAGTCCAACCGATGATTCCAGAAAGTTATAGTTCCAGTCAAAAGCATGAGAGGCCATGCCACAAGCCCCTTCGCCCTTTGTGCGAAGTGAACCGTTGGACATGGGGCTTGGCTTGCATGTGTGCAGCCTGGTGCACAACAGCGCCAAGCGCATTGGACCTTGCAAGACGCTGCGAATACGCTGCCAGAAACATGTAGTACACATGCCATGGATACCTTCTCACATTTGTGACGTGTGACAGGAAGCTTTCTACGTGGTTTGCGAGCGTTGCTAGCTGCCAGCTTCAAGCCGCTTGACATCCGAATCAGTGGAAACCCACTGGTCGAAACATCCTCACCTAAGGCTCTGGCAGGATCATCAGCAGCTTGTTTACCGCCTGAACATCGCATGACCTCTGAAGCATGTGACGCTACGTTGTCATGCTAAATAAGCTTGACCAGATCTTGCCCCAACAAGGCCCGCTCTTTGACAAAAGAGCCACTTCGGCTGTTCAGCAGATGAAGCCATGGAACACATGCTTCGCTTGTTGCGGAAACACCGAAGAGCAGGACAGGGTCCTGCAAAGGAATGGTGCACCAGCACAGATAGCGGTTGCTATGGCTGAAAGGCGTCTTTCTATATGTTCTTGCAGGACTCCCCTTGCTCTTCGGCATGCTGTACCGTTACAGCATGCCACGCGCTTGGGGTCTGCCTGGCTGCATTGAGCCACGCTGGGTGGCGGTGCTGTCGGGATTGTTGGAAGATGTTGGAAGCTTCTGCCTCGAGCCAGGCTGCCGGTCAGCCTCGAACTTACAGTAGGTTGGAAAGATTCGGAAAGAGCCGGAAAGATTCTCTCGACTTCGGTGCAGATTCCCAATGACCAAGTCGGTCTTATGCTGCAGCTCGGCTCACAGAACAGCACGCGCAAACGGCACTCGCAATTTGCAGCATGTGCACTGCATACTTGAGTTCGTGTTTGTCAGCACATGCCCACATGTTAAGAGCTTATTAGCCGGTGCCCGAGGAACAGCACGTAACTACGCAGTTTCTTTGCGCTGCATGTTAGCCACTCTTGGTCAGAGAAGCTTCATTTTGCCTGGGGTTGCTACTCGGCGACGTGGGGCCTTACGCATACAGTGTTTCCATCCATCCCAGGCTTGCCTAGTTGGTCGGCAAACCAGGAAGGTACCTGCAGCTCGAGATCACAGACGCACGCTTCTGGCGTGTGCTGCGAGCGCTGCAAGCATGCATGGAGCGGCACGCAAACGACGTCAAAAGGTTGCTGTTGTTGGAGGTGGTCCTGCAGGAATGGCAGCAAGTAGGTATCTCGACGAGTTTGGCCACAGTCCGGTAGTGTTCGAAGCTGGAGATGAGAGTGGTGGAATATGGGCACCGCGACCAACGAATCGTGTGGTTTACCGAGGTTTGGTAACAAACATTCCTACCATGTGCATGCAATCTTTCGATCTGGATTTTTCCGACGGTCTCAATAGCTACGTCACGGGACCCGAGCTGGGAAACTATTTGAAGCAGTACACCGACCACTTCAAGTTGAGACGGTTTGTGCGCTTCAGCACAACGGTGAAGAAGGTGCTGCCCTTAAAGTCAATAGATGAGGAGCTGGCAGACCAAGGGGCCTGGGAGTTAACTTGGGAGAACTCCGATTCAAGCAGTACCGAAATCTTTGATGCTGTTGTTGTGGCAACGGGGCATTACGAGTTTCCATACTCGCCAGAAATTCCTGGTCAAAATGAGTGGCTGGCGGCATCAGGACATCGGCAAGTCGTGCACGCGATCTCTTATAATGACCCGGATGCCTTCAAGGGCCAGTCAGTCTTAATTGTCGGTGGGCGATCCTCGGCAGTCGACATAGCACGAGAGCTGCGCAGCAGGGTTTCAACATTATATGTTCTAGACAAGGGCTGCCAAGAAGTAGAAACTGCCGAGAACTGTTTTCATGTTCCATACGGAGCAACTTTGTCTGAAGATGGACATCTTGTCTGGGAAGGGAAGGCCTTATCCGGAGATCCCGTGGACACTGTAATCCTTGCTACAGGGTACACGTACCAGTATCCCTTCCTTGATGAGAAAGCCGAGCTGACCTTCGGACCTGAGAGACGATATGTTGCCCCGCTCTACCAACACATCATACACGCTCGCCGGCCAAGCCTCTCTTTTATAGGCATTCCGCTTGCTGTACCTTGTCCACTTCCACTCTTCGAGGCGCAAGCATATTTTTCAGCTGCACATTTGAGTGCGCCGTGGACTGACTTGCCGGAACGGTTGGGGTGGGTGGATGCTGCCTTTGAAGCCGTCCAGAACAGTCAGAATCTGCATTTTCTGTCTGACACCTCCTGGGACTACATGAAATGTCTGCTCAAGGAAGCCGGTATGGCTGAGGAGGACCATGCAAGGTTTGTTAAGCGTCTCTCTTTAGTTCAGGCAATCTACCGTGATCGCGTACAACGAAGGCCGAACAAGCCCTGGGATGATGATTTGTACCGGCGCTGCCAGTACAAAGCCGACTACGAGAATGACCGCTTCCAGGTCATCACAGCAGACGGTGGCGAATTCTTCGGGAGCTCGAAGATGTAGACGACATAGGCGATGTAGGCAATCTAGGCAATGTAGTGTAGGCAATGTGTTGTTCACACACGGTTCGGGCACCTTGCCGTTTGGTGCGGGGTCGGTTCTGGAGTTCCGACTCTTCTCCCTTGCTTTGCCTGGATACCCAAAACAGAGCCAACAGTCTACAAGAGTCTGCAGTGTTACAGAAAGAAGTTACAAGGTTCTACAGTGAACCCACGCTGGCCCACGCTGTCTCCTTTTCAAGGCCCTGGTGCCATCGAGCCGATCCAGCAGCTGCCGGGCTCCAATCCATGTGTTAACCTGGTGTGACCTGGCGTGAGACGGCAGAGAAAGTCTGGGGGTTGCGTTGGGAATCCAAAGGTGCGGCGCGCGCAAGCCAGAATCCGCCTGCAAGGACCTTGGCACGCGACGCTGTCGACACAGCACATGTCAGCCGTTGCGATTGGAAGTTTGGGCAGGCAGGTGAAACTGCGCATGTGCTCTCCATCGCCACAGAGTATAGACAAGAGGCCAAAGATCCTGAGCCGACCTGCGAGATTTCGAGTCTAGTCTCGCTTCAGGCAGTCATACTGCAACGATCGGCTCGACTCCTGGGATACAGGCATGGCCGAGCCTCAAAGCTGCGCGTTTCAAGGGCTCGTGAATATTTGTGAATGCTTGGCTCAGGGGACTGTGTTGTCAGACAAGCTTCCTTTCTGCCAGGTTTCAATTCTGCGGCTTCCGTGTGCCGCTCCCTTGTCTTAGCACATCGTAGCCACCCTTGGCATGCTGCAAAGACTGTCTATGCCGTGCGCAGGAGCGCTGGGTCGGCTGGGGTACCAAGCTGATCGAGTATCGGAAGGTGGTGGGCCGATTGCGATCGACAGCCATCAAGCAGGTTGATTCACATTCGATGGTTCCTCAGTCATCAGGCACTGCAAAAAGGCTTGGCAAGTGGACGAATGGCAGCGTCCCTGTTCCCTTGCTCAGTTGTTGTTTTGAAGTGAGCAGAACATCTTTAAGCCAACAAAAGGCATCGACAGACCCTGTCCTGTTGATCGACGGCTGGGACTGCACCTGGCTCAACTGCAATCAGAAGGGATATCTTCCATGGGGCAACGGCTTTCAACTCGCGAGCGTCTTTCTGCACCAGATCATGCATGTGTTGGCAGCAGCCGGGGAATACGGCTTTGCCTTTTTCAGCATGATTGAACATGCTGGGCACGTGCACATAAAAGTAAGGGGAGGAACAACGCATCGCATCCGAGCACAGATCCGAAAACATTAGCAGCTAAGTCTGAAGATAGAAGCCGGCAGGCCTCAAAAAACCCAACCCTTCATTGAAGGATGTTTGGGAAAAGCCGCACGTAGGTTCGAGGATGCGAGGATACGGGATGGGCTTGGGGCTCTCCTTTTTTCAACTCAACGGACGGAGTTTGGCTTTGGGTTTTGGGGTATCCTCTAAAGCTGAGACTAGCAACTGCTAGCTTCAGCCCCAACCTCTAAACCCGCATTCCTTTCCCCATAAAGAGAAGCCTCAAAACATTGCGGCCGAAGTGAGCCAACTGCAGGTATGCTGATTGGACCCGCCGCTGAGTCGACCTGGCCACCTTGGTAGCCACTGATAGCTTTTGCTTTCCGACTTCAAGTGCCCGGCAGGGCTTAAGTTGAACAGGCATGTCGCCTCTCTGAGAATCCCAGTGACGGGCCGGTGGTGACAGGTTTGTGCAGAAAATGTCGTCGCCTCCATTCAGTGACGGTCATCAGCCGTGGTACGCAGGCTCATTCACGGGCTAGTTGTGGAGCAAGCACGTGCTGGAGCAAGCACGTGCACGGAGTTCATGTGGAGGTGAACGAATTTGCGGACCGGACTTCTTCAAGGTGTGATTGTGAAGGGAGACTGCAAAGGTCGTAAAGGGTCCTCAGTGACATTTCCGGGAGAGGTCTTATGGTGTTTTGAATGATTCAATTCATACTTTTGTTGTTGTCGAATCCTCTGAACATGTGGCGTTCATGTTGTACGATCGCGATCGCTATCAGTGCTTATCGCACTTTAACAGAGTAGCTCCTTTCTGTCTATTTAATGTTTACAACTGAATGGCGGTTGACAGCGCCGCCGACCGCGACATGCATACCCAGGCCGTTGACACGTTGCCTTATGTCCCTGCGTAGGGCTGGACACGAGAGATGCGAAACTAGAGCAGCACAAAAACTACCTACAGCAGATAGGTGCAGAGTACGATTATCACAGGCCGCGCATGGATGCGCATGGATGCGCATGTAATCTGCTAGTTCGGGTTGCCACACGATAATTGATATCTGCGCAAAAAGAAATAGTATCAGAAGGGAAGCATTGATGTTACGTGGAACCACGAACCACTTCTTTGAAAAGCAATTCCTCAGAAGCCTGCAAGATGGTTGCAAGTGGGACAGGCTGCGGGTTTCCATGATTTCCCCTATTGAAGCCGGGCAGGGGACATGTGTGGGACCATGTTTGACGGTTCAGTCGCATGATTGGGCTCCTTTCTTCACATGGGTTTTGGCGCACGCGGCCATGCAGTGTAAACAGCATCAAAGCAATTTGCACCTGCACTGAACGAGAGAAGAACGTTTTCTTTTTTTCGGCCGTGCAGCTGCAACGTCCTGGGCGTATTCTGCAGGCACAAGCAGTTTCTCTGAGCCCCTGGCAGAACCAACATTCTTTCAGAAGAACTGAGGGTGCGAGAGGTCCTGGATTCTCATTAGGTATGCAGGCCAGGTTTCGACACAGATGAGTTGGTGACAACGTGCAAGCGGAACGACTCAGAGCGCCTCCACCCAATTGCGGAAGTTTTTGCAGGGTGGCCAAGAGAGCATTGAAACGGGGCGCCGCATGGCATGGAATATGAAAAGTCTTGGGACATACTGGGACTCCAGCGATCACATGCGGCAGACGGTTCGTGTAGATTCGCCACGCTGCAGCTGACCTGACAGGCGAACCGGATCGATGCGGTTTACCCCGACCCGGGAACGCCATGGCGCTACCCGAACGCAGGCCTTCTGAAGCTGAAGACCACGGTCCCTAAGGGGACACAGTCCGCCCTCCGAGGTTGTGTGGCCGGGAGGGCTGTCGCCCCAATTGTTCCGGCATCTTCGAGCCGCTCCCTTGTTATCTTCCAAGTGCCAAGAGTGCCGAGGCAGAACCAGTGCTGGAGCTTATCAACGAGCTGTTGAAACCGTCAGGTGAAAGCCACTTGGCCCGGACCTTGAGGCACTTCGGTTTCCCTTTAGCTCCCTTCAGGCGATGGAGAGAAGTTTCCAGAGGATGGAGACGACCAGGACTCGTCACGTGTGCAGCCTTCACTTGCTCAAAGACTGCGTTGCAGGGCAGGCTGCATGAGTATCTCTTGGACCGAGGTGCAGAACTCAGACGCAATTCGAAGATGAGTGCAAGTTTGCCATAACAGGGTCAGAGGTTGGGACGGTGAGGAACTTTTCAGGGCAAAAGGCTCTCCAAGCAGCTTCACAGGTCCCTTTTCCCCGGTCGTCCCTCACCTGAACTGTCAGAATTGCATGTCTGATTTGTAAGTCTGAGGTGAGCGTGGACAAAGGCGGGCGGGGTTGTTACCCGTCACCTGCTGCGAGCATCACGACTCCACCTGCTGAGTCTCCCCTACTTCGTGGACTCCGAGTGTCGGATCTTCCAGTGTCTTTATGAAGCAGAACCACAGCAATGCTGGCATGCTTTCAGAAGAGGCTTAAACGGCCAAACGTGGTCATGTGCAGGCAATGGAACTTGGCAGGTGGCAACTTGAAGCAGCGAAAGAAGGCCAGTTGCTCCCACGACTGCGCAACATCCAAACTGGCCAGCGGCCGCCGGAGGCTCAGTCAAAAGGCAGATGGCGATTGCAAAAGATCTCGAGAGGGCCTGCAATAACACCTTGCTGAGGATTGTGCTGCATGGCAATGGGCACACAGGTCGCTGGTTCATGTCAGCCACTCTGCATGCCTTCACACCCCTTCACTCCACAGCACCTTCCTTGTGGCCAAGGTCAGGTCTCTGGCGTGATATGGGCCTTTTGCAGAGAGAGCCTTTGGCATGTTTGTGCTCCAAACTTTTCACGGTGAGCAAGTTCCCTGTGCAGGTCGGTCTGACGGTGGAGGAGCTTAGTCACCTTCCGCATGATGGGCCTGTGCCTCCCGGTACTATTCCAGATGAGGCGCACCTGCACATGGCCAGGCACACATGGCAAGGATTCTCAAGTTGCTGCTGTTGCCTGGCCCAAGCAGGAAAGTGTTTTAAACATGGACTTCAGCAACTCTTTGTCTTCCGCGAGCGTGTCTACACGCAGAAGTATCCATGCTGCTATGAAAGAAGTGCGTGTGGTGACTCGAACCCTGGCGTATCCTGAGTAGCAGCTCATAGTCCAAGCCAACACAAACAAGACTAGCAGATTGTACCAGACTGGAACAGACTGTGCCAGACAAACCAGACTGTACCAGACTGTAGGATCTGGCTTGCACTTGTATCGATCTAGAGCCTGCGCTCGTGATTACATCCGCGGAAATGCCGATGAAGAAGTCGCTGGACAGAAATGGGCATCAGTGAGCATGTACTTTACTTAGTTGTACACACTGAAGAGCAATCTCAGCCCGAGAGCGGTGGAACGCTGGAAAGGGGTGGAGCCGGGAGGAATGGGATGGCAGTGGCAAGGTTTAGGGCCTTTTAGACTCAAGCGGCAATAAAAATCTAGTGTCTTCCACCGTAGTCTTCAAACCCTTGCAATCGCGAAACCTTACCCCTGAACCCCAAGTCGCTGTAAACCCTGCCCGTACGCACCCCTAACTGGTACCCTGGGGATGAATCGCAAGCTGCCCAGGCCGCTTCTCCGCTTCAAGTTAGAGACAGGCCAGCCCCATGTGCTATGGGCGCTATAAGGCTAATGGAACCGAAACAGAGGACGCATGGAAAACCGACTGAGAGCCTCAAGGCCTGGATGCTATACGGCTATGTAGGCTTCAGATCAGATAGGTCAGATAGGCCGCTAAGCCCGGGGGGTAGGAAAGGAGGTTTTGTGTCATCGTATGTCTCGGCGTAGCCTGCTAAGGTTCAGAATGACCAACACTGAGCTGAAGCTCAAGCGCGAGCGCAGCCTGTTTGAACCTAGAGGGCGGGCATTGCATACGGCAAGCGGAGTAGCACACCCGCTGCGATGTATCTTGGATCAGGCATGATGGATGCATTCAAAGCAGGGAAGGCTGCTCTTGAGGATTGCAGCATCTTGCAGCAATACGCTCAACTTGTGACTTGTTTCCTGTAGCTGTTGCAATGGCAGGACTTGCGGCTACCCTACTTCTTAGCTTACGGATCTGCGCTGGCAGCCTTGCGAGAGGGGCAATTCCAACCGCAGCTCCGACTGTGTTATACTGAGCTAATTGGCAGGCAGCCCACAAGGACGGGAGCCATTCTTGTCCAAGAAGCCAGGTATGAAGATGATATTCATGTGGGTATCTATTCCTGGGACCTTGCAGCACTGCAGCGCCAATGCACGGAATGCCACTCGGCCAAATCAAGTTGCACAAGATGTTGCATGTAGTGTTGTTGCAACAGCAGCCTGCCAGAGCCGACCAGGCACGGCCAAGGAGCGCGACCACTTGTTGAAATCGACCTTTGACAGGCGCCATGGTGCGACTGTATAAACTATAAGTCTGTATACGTCTGAAGTCAAGTCTGCAGCAAGCCCGTATGGCTAGGGGATGCGCAGCACCTGTCACTGTCGTCGCAGGTTTGGTTTCGAGCCTGTGCAAGAAATCGTCGAGAACCCACTGCAGGCCTTCCAAGAGCACTAAGTGACATCTGAATCACTGAAGGGCGATATCGGCAGCACAGGCATCAGCCGGCAACAACGTTCAGCAGAACCAGGACAGCCTCGAGCAGCATCAGTATAGCAAGTGCGGATGCTAAAGGCCAAGGCAGGCTAAGGTTCAGCGTCTCAGCACTGTGCCATGATGTGTCTTGCCTCCAAGGCGGTCCTTGTCTGTCCAAGATACTACATTGCAGAGGCCACGCGGCTTTTCATTAAACTTTAAACCTGTGATTCGGGTTTATTCCGATTGTTGTGGCCCGGTTTTGCAGCTTTGCGGTCTCCATGCTGGACATGTCAGGGATGGTCTGATGACATGGCCTTCCCCATTTTGTACAAGTTCACTCATCGGGACAGCTTCGTGCGATTCGACATGATGGTCTCTTGGCGGCCAATCGGTCCATCGTTGCTTGCCGCGTGCACAGCCCTTTCTAGGTCTTCACGATGCAGTTCGGGCAGCTCTGGGACTTCGCAGATGGTGGTGCCGAGACCTCATCAGGCCTCCCGAAGTCCCGAAGAAGACCAGACGAAGCTGGAGTGTAGCTGCAGTTGCTGCAGTTGCTGCAGTTGTTGCTGTTGTTGCAGTTGTTGCAGTTGTTGCAGTTGTTGCAGTTGTTGCAGCTGGCAGGCTGGCGCTACAGCTACATGGCCGCAGAAAGCCAACGATGGAAGTCTTTACACAGACATGCATAATTCTTGCAGGCTTGTTTGCGCCACAGCCCGTTCAGTTCGAGAAGATTATGACATTCACTATGCCTGCGCAGCCGATAGAAGACCACTATGGGAAGCTTGCCAGCAGAAGCTGAAGATAGTCACACCAGACACATCTCGAAATCACCTTGCGTCGTTAAGACCAGTGCGTGTTGCCCTAAGGCCAGACTGGCATGTTCCCCGGGTCTACAACTATGTTCAGAGCTTGACCTGCTGCAAGAATCGCTGCCAAGTCCTCAGGCCGAGTCGTGTAGCTTCGTGTAGCTTCGCCTCGTCCCATCTTGCAGCTCTTGCAGCTTGCTTGCGGAACACACTTGACACTTGCTGCAGCGAAGGCCCGAAAAAATAAAAAAATCAGTTTGGGAGCCCGCTCACGGTTAAACCACGACTTAAGCTGGGTGGGCCTCTAGGCAGTGCCTCGTAGTGAAACTGATGCTTGGGGGGGCAGGCGGGGTGGGCTTGGGCCCAGGCAGTAGAAACACAGACCCCTGCAGAGCCGGGTGTGAGGCGTTGCGGTGCAGGTTGCACATGGGGGCCGCAAAACGGGACTGGGAGGCCGGGAGGGGCTGGAAGAGCCCTCTGGGCAAGTATTGCAGTTGGCCCTTGGTCTCAGAAGGTCGGGCTTTTGGTTTTCGGGGGCCTTGAGCCCCAACTTCCCGTCATGAACGCCGCTGTAAACCAATGGAGCTCTTCAGCGTGTATGCGTGTGTACGCATGTCTGTGCGTGTACATGCGGCGGCTGCGCTTTGCAGGGTCCATCCCTTCGATGCGCGCATGAGACGTGTGGAGCTTCCCCCAGCCGAGCCTTGGGAGGTGTTCAAGAAGCTTGGCTGCATGATCTCACCATCTTGGTGTCAAAATCATCTCACCTCAGCTGCTGTATGAGTTGGCTGGGGCGCCTGCTTGAGGTCCTCGGTTCGACAATTCCGCGTGCTGTATGCCAAAGCCATGGCTGTCACATGCTCAACTGTGGAAAGTATGTCGAGAGATGGACAGTGACGTTAAGTCCATGACTCGCTTTGTCTGTCCAAGGACTCCGAGCATGAGTTTCCAGAGCAGAAGCTTGACCTCTACAAGTTGGAATCGAAGCCAGTCGTGCTCTTCCAGGCAGCCAGCATGTGTGGCTGGCATGGAATAAGTTTGGGATGGGGTAGGCTGTCTCTGTTCGTACTTGTACATGGCACGGCGCGTCGCATGGATCACAGATCTGCTGAGGTAAGGATGAGGGCAACGCTCCTGGGTTCAAGTCTATTTATAGTAGAATGACAGGCGAACGTGCTCATCTGGACTTTGTTTGCGAATGCTTTTGCAACCGATAACGCTTTCCTCGTTTGCCAACCATCCGTCCAAGCAGTTGCAACGCTCCAGGCTTCATTTTGCAAGATCTGGGCTGCCAAGGCGCGCCTAAAGGACGGCAAGCACAGCGGCGCCTTAGACAAGTATGATGAAGGAATTTACATCATCGAAAAGTGCAGAGAGGCACTCCCAGTTTGCAGAATGCACAGAGAAGCAAATCGCAGCCCTGGCATCGCACCCGGGTCAGGTCCTCTTAACATGGCGCCTGATTTTTCGGCAGATTCATAATGAGAAAGCAGAGAAAGACAGGAAAGACAGAGGCGCGCCGATGTGTGTTTTTGAGGATGTCGAGAGTGGTGTGTGTGCAGTGGGACGTCCTTGTGATGGCTCTTACATCTGAGTCATACGTCCTTGTGATGGCTAGTACAGTCATACGAGTCACACGGAGGTCTCAAAGTATCTGATCTACTTGAGCCCGATATGCCGCGTGGCTCGTCTTGCAGCTGATGAGTTTTTCAAATTCTGGAGTCGGTGAAGCATGGCCGGTCTGCAGCAAAGTCACGAAGAGCAAGCCCAGCCCAGCCAAGCCAAGCCATAATTGACTGTAAGTCCGCTGAAGAAGCTCAAGATGTCATGGAGATTTGAGGTGAGTTTCGTTCGGATGAAGATGAGGAGAGGTCTCTTCGGCTTGCTCTACTCCTCAATGCGGCGCAGGCTGCCCTCCAGCGACTTGGCAGCTTATTTGGCACGGCTTCATGAATCTTGGGGCAATCTTGGCCGATCTTCGAGGGCGGCGCGCATTCTCAGTCCTGAGGTGTGAGAAGTGGAGCATCGCTGAAGCCCGGGCATCTGCTGCTTTGGAGCTTGAGCCGCAAAACAGGTGTCTTGGCCGCACTCCACTGTACCCATTGTGCCGTCGCTTGCTCAGTCTTCTGGCCCATCGCATTGCGCTTAATGGCTCCGTGCCACCTCCAGGAAGGCGCTGTACCGGCGCGGGCTAGCACGAGCATCCTCCGCAAATGAAGAGGCCCACCTCATGCTCTGCAGTGATTGAGGTTTGTCTGCGTGGATGACTGTCTTCTTTGCTGCACTTCAGTGCGAGTGTGACAGGGCGCTAAAGCGGACTTCTGGTCCTTGTTGAAAGTATCCGGCTTCGACAGCAAAGACGCTGTGTTTATGTGGAAAGTGGGTCTGCTGATGCTCAGTGCTTTAAGTGGAGTCCAGTGGTGCACCATGGCGCACCACACCTGTGAACCGCACAAGGAAGCTCTCAACCAGCTCCAGAAGCTCCTCCCCAAAGATGCGATTAAAGCTGAGTGGCGAGCTTAGGGCTCTTATGGGACTTGGGGATCCTGACTGCTCTTGCTCGCTGTGCTTCGGAGAGTGTGGTTGATGCCGTGCGCTTGTGTAGCGCGCCACTCGCAGAGTGGTTGGCCTTGTTCCAGTCAAGCACAGAACGCAAGTAGCGCAACGAACCAACCCGGAAGCCACATTGATCACCATGAGTTTATATATATATATATATATGTATGTATATAACTTGTATGCTCAGGTTCCAGAAGATACGAAGGGAAGCTGCCAGGGAGCAGAAAGTTGGCGCAATCCTCAAGGACATCCGCTCTCCTTTTCTTTTGCACTGGGCATCTGCAGCTAAGCAGGCTGGCAAACGTAAGGAAGAGGTACTCATCGCTTTTGGATCCCGCTCGCTTGCTGAACGGGCATTGGCAAGCTCGGCCTTGCTGGTGCAGATGAGTTGCAACACTGTCGACCGAGGAGCTTGATGAAGATGAGAGGATTGCCACACAGGATGAAAGAAGCGTGACTTATTCGTAGATGCACAGAATGTTTTGATCGTGGGCTCATGGGTCAGCGTTTGTGTCTTGATATTGCCAAATCAAGCAATAAAGCACGCACGCGCACGCAACGCGCACGCACATGCACACGCACGCGCACGCGCGCGTGCTCACGCGCGCGCTCGCTCGCCAAGCGCGTTCGCACAGACGCAGACACAGACACTCAGACACAATCACTCATGCAGCATGCACTTTAGATTCGACGAACGGCCCACTGAACTGATTGACTTAGTGGTTTCAGCCTTGGCCTTTGACCATCGTTCGTGTTCCCTAATCCAAGGTTTTTTGGGCGGCGACATGTCACCACGCATGATGCAACGCTGACTAGACATCACTCAACACACAAACAGATCTCAATGCAGGAACGTCGTCTGGGACAATTTCACAGAATGCATTTCCTGCAGCACCCCTCTGCCCCAAACTGGTTCCTGAGAAGGCTACTAGACCGGACGAGTCTCCTCCCCCCCCGTCCATTCATAGAAAGTCATATCTTCAAAAATGACGGCAGTGTCTTGACGGAGAATCTACAACCAAAGCTCCGAGTTCAGAGTTTTCCCGGAAGTGCACCGTGTGGTTCTGGTCGGTGCGACCCAAGGATACCAACGATATCTGGGTGACTGTGAGCAGAGGGCGGCAGATGGGCAACGAGAGCTCACTTTCGACGAGTGGGCCAAGCAGTGCGCTGGGTTTTTCCCCCAAGCATGCAAAAGACGATATAAGGCTAGATACGCTTGCATCAGGTATGAGTGGCGTTATGATGCCGACGAGCGGTTCAAGGCAAACAAAAACAGAGAGTCGGGGAGTAAGCGGAGCAAAGGAACCATTGTCAACGGTCAATCCACGACCGAAGTCTTCAAAGACCATTCAATGAATTGATTCAAGATATTTGTTCTGTTCATGTTTCGTCTTCAGGCAAGGCAGCTGTACCCTGAGTGTTTCAATCACACCGGGCCGGCTCCACTCCCTGTAGAGGACTGGGAGGCGCAAATCGATTCAGTTTATGCTTACGTGGTGTCTACCCGTTCCGCTTCGGCATTTCGGTTCGTCCTAAATTTGAGTCGAGGTGGACTACTTGACCCACAAGGAGATCGAGAAGATCATGCAAGCGGCTCAGAGTCAGCGATTACCAGGTTTCTTGTCTTACCAGGCTTACCGCTTCAGTTCTCGAAATCTGCTGAGGTACAGGCGTCAGACCGAAATGCTAGCTGCTCGCCGGCGAGAAAGGGAAGCCAAAGTACCGGAGAAGACACCGCCAGAGGCAAGCGACAGCGGCGTGTTCAACGACATCTTGTCGACAAACGTGCCATGCCAGGACTCTTTTTGCACCAAACTTCATGTGGACAAAGAGGATGAGCAGATTCTTCGGGATGCTGTCATCAAAAGAGGCGTGGGCTGCCACGGCTGCCACAAGTGAATACTCTCGCCACCAAAAGAATCATCTTGCAAGGATACAACTATTGGTGGTGACCTGTCAGAGCCGCTGTGATTCGCTGCCGTAGCCGGGAAAGCACAGCTGGTGTTGTGCAAAGCAGGCCACCTACCAGTAGGGCTAGTGTGGCCATGCCGTCGGCATCGCCAGAAAGGCCACGAACTGCCAGGATGAATTTCTGGCACCGGCCTCCAGCATCAAGTACTTCCAGAAGAAACTGGCTCCCCCGTCGTGTCCCAGCCTGTACAGAGCCTGTACAGAGAAGGTGGATGCAACGTAGCAGGCAGCCCGGGTCTGAGTGACTTGCTGAAAACTGAGATGCGGATGCACAAGTGCACGGTGCATCACAGAGCATCACGGTGCATCACAGAGCATCACGGTGCCCCACTCTAGGCTTCAAGCGTGGTAGTTCAAGCGTGTGGTAGCTGCAGGCTACCGAAAGAAACTGGATGGCCACCTTTCAGCTGTATCGCATCATTGAGACATGGCTAGATGTTCTTGTGGCTGCACATGAGTGGCAATCTCAAGCAAGCTGAGGAGCAACAGATGGCTTACGCGCGTGTCTGTGGCCCCAGTCGGTCAGAGCTGCGAGGATTGTTGCTTATTGATGCTTATGACAGAGGAACTCCGGCATCTCTGAAGGCTTTAATTTACAATCGTTCGCTCACTCTTTGGAACCTCGATGTACTCACGTCGTGCATCCTATTTTGGCTTCTCGAGTCTGTCCATGTCCGCACGTTGCCACTTGTTCGTGCTCTCGCGACTCGCTGACCGCAAGATCACGAGATCACGCACAAGCCTTGCGAGCAGACATAGAGCCAAGGTTGGAGTGGAGTGGGACCCATGGAAGATTGCTGCTGAGCAGAAGGCGCCCTGAAGAGCCTTCCAGGACTCTGCGCCTCTGCGCCTCTGCGCCTCTGCGCCTCTGCGCCTCTGCGCCTCTGCGCTCAATCGCGCGGTCGCTGAGCACCAGAAAAGTGTCAGCTGGGCTCTGTTACATTCAACTGTTGTTTCGATTGATGACGTAGACGTATGGCAATGTGCACTTACAGGGCTCGGAGGAGATGCAACTGCTGTTGCTGCTGCCACGCAGTGTTGAAGCTAAGCACTGATCCCGGTGCAATGGTCAGTCATGAGAAGTGTGACCATTGCACAAGGATACGCTCTGTGCTTTGACATACCTGAACCGCATGTTAGTTGAAGTTGTCGTGCTTGTGCTCACAGAATCTGAAAGGTAGTACGAGCTCTCCATATCGACCCAATCTGGTGCCACAACAGTTGCTCAACAGATGTATAGAAGCTCCAGCCATGCGCAAGTCAGAGAATTCTTTGGTAACAGTCCGGATAGCTATTTCAGCATCACGGTAGACAAGGATGAAGGTTGCCATGTGTACCCCTGCATGACAGCAATGAGCTGGCATGAGCTGACGACTGAGAGTCCAATTCTTGCACCATTTCGGCCACACCCGCCCCAAGCTGCTTTAGGCCACTCGGGCGCCAAGTTGGATCCAATACTGAACGTTCAGACCTTACTTGGCTGCCTTCGTTGGGTTTGCGGATAGAATGATAGAAGCGTGCCTGTGACGATCCAGCTAGCAGCCAGCATTTGCCAGCAGCCATGTAGTACTGTCTGCGTTTCATGAGGTATTGCCACTACCTGTCTTTGCAGTTGATCGAGACTGCAGGGTACTGGACCTTCGGCAACAGCATGCAGCACTTCACACGTCCATTTGGTTCCATACATATCTCCCCTGCGGAGGAAGCGAATGCTGCTGCGATCGACTTCTGCGGTACATGGAGCAAAGTAGCCTGGATTGAAGGAGTTTGTACGACACAACTGCTGTAGAGACAATCAAGCGAACCATCAAGCTTAACAGGGCAATTCCGACTCTTGACGCTCGCGTCTTCCGTCGTACCAGTTTTCCATGAATCAGTGAATCTGGAGCAAGGATGACCTGCTGCAGAGGGACTTCTTGCAAGTCCTAATCGCCGATGAGGAACCGCATGGAGCAGCAAGTAAGATGCAAATAGATTCGCCCAATGCTTTGCTTTGGTGCTTTTGAATGCTTTTGACTCTTCTTGCAGGACAAGGCAGAGACCCGAGTCAAATTGAAAGAAGTGCTGGAAGGGCACGACGATGGGCATATTTTGAAGGCTTGCTCCGACTTTGCGTTGGCTGCACGCTGCATAGTCTCGACAGACGAAGCTCCCTGGATCTCAACGCAGGTTACGGCGGTTTCGCGAGCGGGTGGCCGCCTCACATTTCTGACATTTTGCTTCAGGTACGCCAGAGAGCGAGAGCATTTTGCCAAGTCTCGAAACTCCACCTTGATCTATACAGTTCATACCTTTGCATAAGGTCCCCCTCCTCATCTACATACCCTGAAGCATGAGTGTGGCGCTACACGCCAAAACATCGCAGTGTAAGTGGTGCAAGATAGTGCAAGTGGTCCATGCCGGTTATTCGTTATGCTGGACAATGGGTAGCCCCCCCGCGAGACCTTCCCCGACGTTTGGAAAAGTGATCCTTGAGAACTGATTTAATGGCTCACAAAACTGTCAAGGCAAAAGCAGCCGGGAACAGTTTGTCCAGTGATATTCCCCCAACTGCGATCGGTCCCAGCTGTCCGAGTGTTTCCGTGGATTGTGTTCTAGTTCCGACTTGGGCAGCTCACTGCCCCCTTGGAAAGTGGGGATAGTTCCTCGCCCTTTTCCGACATCATGATCTACAACGGGAGCGGGGTGCTTTGCCATGGGCTCCCGTCCCCATCAGGTCAGGCGAATCATCTCACGGCTTAAATGCATGACGCCTTCGTGTTTTCCCTACGGTCGGCAAGTCCAGCGATGGCAAAACGAGCAAACCCAGCGACTTCCTGAGGCCGGAAGCAGACTTGCCTGAAGGCAGCGCCAACCCGCGGCGAATCAGGACTCTACGGTGTCCCTTGCCACTTTAGTCATGGATTTGCTGACCTGAGTGGTGAATTGTACTTTGCTGACCTTGCCATGCAGGAAAGATCAATGGGGCTGTGATATCAGTCCAAGACATGAGCGAGGTTAAGGCTCTTGCAGGCACACCGAAATGGTTCGAAGAAGTGCACTCTCTTGGCTCCAAGGGCTGCTTCAGAAGAAAGGGAGAGAGAGTGGGTTCCTTCACTTCAACTCGCCGATTTTCGGGTTTTGGATTGAGTAATAAATTTTTGAAGGCAGTGGAGATGACTATGAAAAGACTCTTCCAACAGACGCCAAAGAAATGGTCCACAGTTTTTTTCTGAAAACAACATGGGGTTCCTGGAACCGTCTCACCAACAGACCCTCATCTGGGGGGGGGGCCACGACCGAGGAAGGAAGGAAGGATCGAAGGATGGACGGAAGCATGGAAACATGGAAGCATGGAAGGATGGATGGAAGGAAGGATGGAACGAAGGAAGAGAGAAGGCAAAGAAGAAAGAGAGAGAGTGGGCAGGGGGGTATTTTGGGTTCCAGTTAACCAGCCCTTTGGTTTTAACCCGGCATCACAAGAAGCCGGGGAGTGCACCCCCCCCGATGCCCCACAACAAAGGAAGAAAGACCAAGACTGCGAGCAAAGAGACCAGGGGCCCCTGGAAAGAAAGAAAGAAAGAAAGCGACAAAGATACTTGTCACCTTTTCTTCTCATCTTTGAAAAGAAGCGAGTAAAGAGAGAGTTTGCCCCGTTGTTGCTTCCTCTTCTCTTGCTCTTAATTTTGTCTTTCCTCTCTTGCTGTCACGAGAGGCACCGCCGCGGACGCCGGTGGCGCAGAGCATCTCTCGGGCGCGTTGGCCGCCACTGGCCTCGCCGTGCCTCCCGGATCTGAAGAAAACAAAAGAGAGAGGGAGACTAAGAAGGAAGGAAGCAAGGAAGAAAGCAAGGAAGGAAAGACGAGACAGAGGGGAAGAAGGCAAGTTCTGGCACGCTCTTGGGCTCATCCCAGGTTCTGTATTGACAAAGAGTGCAAGATTCTTGAATGGACGCCGAAGCTGGAGACGCTTTCCTGAACATGGATTCTGCGACCTAACAAGTATTGACTCAGTCACCTTTGTCAACATTCCTCGATGAACTGCGTTGGTGCAAGTCCGCGATTTCCCATACGGCATTCGCTTCGGGGGGGGGGGGGGGGCAGCCCCCCCCCACCCCCCCCCCCCCCCACCCCCCCCCCACCCCCCCCACCCCCCCCCACCCCCCCCACCCCCCCCCCCCCCCCATTTGAAAACACAATGCTCGCATGATGGGTTTGAAAAAATATGCCTATGTTTAGGGGTTTTTGGGCTTAGGTTTTTAGGGTCTAGAGTTTTCGGGGTTCGACGTTGAAGGGTTTTTAGGGTTTAGGGTCTGTTGGGTTTAGGGCTCAGGGGTTCTTAGGGTGTAGGGCTTAGAGCTTTTAGGGTTTGGGTTTTTAGGGTTTAGGGTTTAGGGTTTAGGGTTTAGGGTTTAGGGTTTAGGGTTTAGGGTTTAGGGTTTAGGGTTTAGGGTTTAGGGTTTAGGGTTTAGGGTACGGGGGGACAACCAAGGAAGGAAATCAACTCCCCTAATCGCCCTGAACTTATATTTCCCAGATCGAACCAAGAAACAACCAAGAACACGGATAAGAGCAACCCAGGGGGGAAGGAAAGGGGGAAGGAATCCACACCCTTACCAAACCCTAAGAACCCAGGCACTACTTTTTGAACTTGTGGCTTTCTGTTCAAGCCCATCTTGAGCCAAATACGATTACCGGGTTCATTAACCCTTCCAACTTCCAACACTAACTCCTTTCTACAATACCAATTGCAGCTCCGCACTCCCCCTGTCCTAGGATTTCCTAGGACACATTGGAGATGCAGATCTTTTGGCCAAAAACTGCCATTACGGCAGCAGCCAGCTGCTTGAAATGCAAATTGTGGTTTAACGTCTTCCAGGACGGAATTATAGCACATTGGCTAACCTACTACCCATAGAGAATCTTTTTTCACCTTGATCCTCTCATCACTGAAGACTCCTTGGCCTTCTTCACCACAAACCGTGGTCTTCGCTACGCGAAAA